TTTTTGCAATGAATATGTTCCAAAAAAAAAATACATCAACTTTTGGCTTTTGCAGAGAGTTCTCACTATTTCACCAATACCAACAAAGTTTTTGATACCACACAAAATGATGGAATAAACTGCAAATCTTTCACGGCATATGGGCACATTTTGCTGCCATGTAGGCATTTGGCAAGACAGTGTCACGCACCTTGCTTTGGTCATGTCAAGTTTGACTTAACAATAAATAGATTTGAACCACATTCCACTCTAAGATTTAATGATGGAAAGTTGTTTCAAAATTTAAATGCCTACGTATTGATAAACGTCAAGATATTAATTTTTTCATTTTTTTCCCTAATATGTCAATATTGTCTTAATAACTTCACTTCAAATTCTGAATGATTTCATCTCCCATTGCAAGTTTTTAAACGTCTTGTGTCTTTTAGAAAAAGTTTGTTGTTTAAAAGGGGCAAGTATTGCATTAGTATATAAATCACTGAGCGCTTGGCTAGGCATGTACCAATTACCATGAAGTGTATTCAATAATTCAATTTAATTTTAAAAAATTAGTTTTAATTTAATTCTATAACTGCAGCTGGTAAAAATGAGCATCATAGGAATGAAGGTAAAATTGTCATTCGTACATCCTAAATTGAATGACAATGAATGGATTTGATAGCTATTTTATTAATCTTTTTGTATATAAGAATGGAAATGTTGCTTTTATTTCAGAATCTCTTCTTGGATACATTCATGAAACTGCCATAATACTTTGCTAAATATCATAATGTAATACTACAGTGTTTGCATACCATAATATTATGGTTGCAATGTCATTCTTCCGGAAGTGGCAACGGCATTGCCATTTGCCTACTGTCACAGGCTGTTGCTTGTTAGCTTTCACTGAGTGAATGTGCATGTGATTTTGCTCCCGCAAAATAGCTTTGCGGTGCATCATGTTCAACTCCTATTGGCAGCAAGATTTGTTATTAATTCATAAATGTTAATTTGTTGTGTTTGACTTGGAGACAAATAGCTAATGAACAGAGGTGGGCAGTAGCGTGCTACATGTAGCGGCCGCTACATTTTCAGTGGCGGCGCCTTTAGATTTTACTCAATAGTATTAAATATTATTTTAAAACCAGCATGATACTTACATAATACAAATTAGAGAATAAAGCTGTACAAAAGATGTTGGTGTAATGTTGTCAACCTCAGCCTGTTACTTACAGTGTCAACTTGTTAGTTGTTACTTGTTAAGTTGTTACCAGTTACCACTTACAGGTATTTTTTCATGTTTAAGTTTGCTTACAGTTATTTTTACGCAGTTATTTTTATATTTCACCTTCCCTACATGGATGTCTACTTTAATCTACCAATCTCAAAAATTATCCACATATATATATATTGTTTCAACACGGGTTGTTAATGGCCAGAGAATTCGTCAATTTAAATTTTCAGGGTCGAACAATATTATTCAGATGACATTAGTTGATCAAAATGCAGGTTCAAGGGAGTAATATCACTTTATTAACGACGTTTCGAATGTAACAACATTCATTTTCAAGTTACAGGAAGTATTGAATACAGAAATTTTGATGGAAATAAGTACATGATACAATTAAATAGGATACAACACAAAAATTTGGAACCATGAAAATAATTATTACGAAATTCTGAAATTATTACGAAAATTTCGTATTCCAAATAATTATTTGGAATACGAAAACACGAAATAACCTGGCCATTAACCACCCGTGTTGAAACAAGCTTATTCTGCCTTCTGATACTAACTTCTAAACTCATGACCCGGCAGCGAGAGACCAAATGATAACTGTGAGACACAGAGCTGAATTAATTCCGAAAAAAATCGCAGTAACCAAAAGTGAATTCAAGAAAATGAAATTTGAAAACAGGGAAATCTATTTTGAACTGTCTCAAGGCATTTCAATCGAGCAAATTCATCTCAAGATTCACGATGAATTCATCTGGCTCCGTGACACCAAGGGCAACAACGTCAAACCCCGAACTATACGCAGCAACGGACACTTCAAAAGAGCAGGAATTCTTCATGAGTCTGGTGTAGTCAGGAAATTTTGCTTCAAAGAAGGTTGTAGACTTCTTCATTATTTTGACTGCATTGGATTACTTGGCGTAATAACTGCGACATTGAGCAGCCGTTTATCCTGCCACCTGAGACAAGCTCGCAATCAAACCAGGTCTCTAAGTATTACAATCGAGCAACTTCATCTCACGATCCGCAATGAATTAAACTGGCTCCGTGACAACCTTGACAACAACGTCAAAACCCGAACTATACGCAGCAACGGTCACTTCAAACGAGCGGGAGTTCTTCAAGAATCTGGTGTAATCAATAAATTTTGCTTCAAAGAATGTTGTAGACTTCTTCATTATTTTGACTGCATCGGAGTAATTGGAGTAACAACGACGACATTGAGCAGCCGTTTATCCTGCCACCTGAGACAAGCTCGCAATCAGACCAGGTTTCAGAGAATTACAATTGAGCAACTTCTCGAGATCCGCAATCAACTCAACTGTCTCCACGACAACCTTGATAACAACGTCAAACCCCGAACAATACGCAGCAACGGTCACTTCAAACGAGCGGGAGTTCTTCAAGGATCTGGTGTAATCAATAAATTTTGCTTCAAAGAAGGTTGTAGACTTCTTCATTATTTTGACTGCATTGGAATAATTGGGGTAACTACTTCGACTTTGGGCATCCGTTTATCCTGCCACCTGAGACAAGCTCGCAACAAGACCAGGTCTCAAAGCATCACAATCAAGCAACTTCATCTCAAGATCCGCGATGAAATCAATTGGCCCCGTGACACTCTCGACAACGTCAATCTCAACGAGACTGTCACTTGCACTGCGCTAGAGGAACCCACCAGCATCGTCATCTTGCGGTGGCCTGACATAATCCGACCGACGATAGCTGAAGCCCTTTTCTGCGGATTGGACTCCATCTATCCATCTCATAACTACCTGATTTTTTAAGCTTTGAGATTGTTTTGGAATTATTTTCATGGTTCCAAATTTTCGTGTTGTATCCTATTTACTTGTATCATGTACTTATTTCCATCAAAATTTCTGTATTCAATACTTCCTGTAACTTGAAAATGAATGTTGTTACATTCGAAACGTCGTTAATAAAGTGATATTACTCCCTTGAACCTGCATTTTGATCAACTAATGTCATCTGAATAATATTGTTCGACCCTGAAAATTTAAATTGACGAATTCTCTGGCCATTAACCACCCGTGTTGAAACAAGCTTATTCTGCCTTCTGATACTAATATATATATATATATATACAAATAAAAGAGTGATTTTTTATATGTATGTGTGGATAATTTTTGAGATTGGTAGATTAAAGTAGACATCCATGTAGGGAAGGTAAAACATAAAAATAACTGTAACTTTTATTTACTGTATCTAACCTGTATTAGTTTGGTTAGGTTAATTGCAATAAAGTTGCATTGATATGTTTTGAAAATGTTTTATTATCATTAAATATTTATGAGTAAATCCCAATAGCAGAACAATAAATATTTAGAGATTTCCAATAATTTTGGCCATTGGAGCGGCTAATGTAGCGGCGCTACATTTTACTGTAGTGGTAGCACACACTACAATCTAGTGGGAGTAGCGGTAGCACCCGCTACATTTAGAGCATGTAGCGGTAGCGCTGCTACATTTCAAAGTAGCGCTGCCCAGCTCTGCTAATGAATTAATATTTAGTCTAATATAAATCTTAAAATATTGCAACCTTTATTCTTGATTCTATCAAGTGTAACTTTAATCCCTCCTAATCTCCCATTTTTCTCCTTTCTATCTTAACTAAAAGTTTTGGATCGAAAATGTGATGGAGGTGGATCAAAAATAATATATGAACCTTAATTTTCAGAATTCCATCATTCAAGTGCGGATTGCAACAAAACAACCAATTGAACCAAAATGGCAGACAGGCAGTTCTTGCTATGGAGCACAATGGTGCAAAAGGCATTTAGTTTTAATTTTAATAGTCCAGCCAACTTGCAGCTTGATTTGAGTGGCTTGTGTTTGGAAACAACCAAGAAAAAAAAAACTTGAATTGTGACCATATTATATCGCTTATCAAGAAATTTCTGTTGTCTACTTGGTTGGCTGCATTTGCAAAAGGTGCCCGTACTGTGCCACTTATTGAAAAATTCAGCATAAAAGGAAATCATGAATAAATAATAATATCATAATTTGCTCAAGATCCTTACCTAAGTAAAAGCTAGGATTTTTATATAACTGGAAGCCAATCTGGAGTAGTTGGTGATTTTTTTTATTTTTTATTTGAGGTAAACACTCTTATTTTATGGGCAATTTAGAAAAATCACAGCTGAAAATGTCATGTTTTTCTTTTATATCGAAAAAAATTTGGCACCTGGCAAGGGCCTGGTGTAGAATATATTTACTTTTTGAGCTGCGATCTGAGCTTTTCTGCCATTGTCAGAGCCACAAAATCCCCACTAGATGAATTACCTTCTATCTAATTGTTGAGAAAAATACCTACATGATTAGGCAGTAAGATTAAATAGTCTCAGACTCTAAAAAACATTTTTCAGTTTTTTCAATATCTTTTGAAGAATTGCACTTAGCACTGTAAATTATGTACCAAACCTCAGGAGTACTATTAGTGTATATTCTCAAAAAATAGTCAGGCTTTTAATTAGTGCTACTAGTTTTTAGTTAGGAATTATAGAGTGCATGCATAAAACATGAGTCTGCATTTTACATGTAGTGTTGATTTTAATCTATAAATTGGATCAAACTAGTTTATGGCACATAACACAGCTGTTTCTATTATCTTCTTTGCGCCTCTCATTAGAATTTGTTTCCTCCTTGCAGAACCCTGAAATTTTGTGAATGTGCAACTCGTGGGATTGGGATAATTTGAAACAATGTTATATAAGTTAATAATACCTGCTCAAGCACAATTATAAAATTTAATAGCATTTTCTTATGTTACAGGGTTTGTGTAAAGATTTCAGTCTGATCTCTTGTATTTGAATAACTTTACTAGTCTATTTGAAACCATGATGTGGTCTGCTATGAATTGGCTCAGCCAAAAGGCTGGAATTAATTTAGATGATGCTCATGAAGTTTTGCATGGCAGTGATGCCAGCTTTACCCAACAAGCTGACAGTGATGATGAAAATTCAGAATCAAGCAAAGAAAACCAGACTTTGGCAGGCAATGCAGTGGCAACTGCAAATGGCAAGCGTTTTCGTAGATCTAGCCGTTGGGTCCCAGCCACAAGCCTCAGTCCAGCAGGCAGTAACAGCCCTGCTCATCTCAGCAACAATAACTCTCTGTTGTATCATGGAGGAGTATCACCTTCTCATGGTCCAGGATGTAGTCCACTTCATCCTCCTCTACCAGGCTCACCTCTCACACCAATTATGGTTCCCAGTGGCATCAGTTCAAGTCCGTACTGCAACTCAGTCACTCCTACAGGAGCTCACCCATCCATGCCTCCCATCATGGTGCCCACTGGTGTCAGGACTCCAGTTAATGTGGGCTTTAGGGTAGGCAATGTCCCTGGACTTATTGGTCCAGGCTTGGGAAATACGGGCAGTTCATCTAAATTATCAACTACCTCCAGTCAGTGGAAGGAGGCAAGGTTAGAGATGAATAATTTTTTTCACAAACTTGGTATTTGCTTGGTATATTGCTTGAATTTTTGTGATCATAATTTATGCCTGTTATTCATTAAATAAATATTCATCCAAGTAAGATATGTGTAAACTATAATTATTTCCATTAAAATGCCTTATTTTCCATTATTTATTGTTATACAGTTATTGAATATCTAGGAAAGGTATATACATGAAACATTTGTTTATTTTCATGAAAATATGTTGTTATCCATTATCCATCATTGTACATTTATTAATAATCTTGTATTCCCATGCAGCATGGCTGCAGACATAAACAGTCCTGGTTTTGCTTTTCGGATTGCAAGACAGGCAGAGAAACACGCAGATCTTGGCAGCAAGCTATATCCTACAGGTTAGTGTTCAATATTTAATCATATCAATTTTCCACCTGAACCCAAACTAGTGTTCAAATTCTGTCCACTGATTGTGATATTATAAGTGCAGTTCAGACATAAGTAATATTAGGCCTTATCATTCTATTCAGTTGAATATGTAAGTAAAATATCTTCTAACATTCATTTATTGCTATGAATGTGCTTCTTGTCTCCATGAAAAAAAAATATATATTTCCGAGTGGAATAAATTTTTGGAACCAATCAACTATAAAGCATCTAACTGTTTATGTGTGGTGAAATGATATAGGTACCGTAATTGTTCTATCGTATTTTTTTATTCTAGTATTCAGTTGGCTGAAATTAGGATACTGGGCGATAGATCATTAATGCATTCCCTTCCATTGTTCAACTGAAGATTGGCATTGATTGATATGTTCACAATCAAGCTGCAACTTCCTTTAGAATGGAAATGTTGCTTCCATAAGATTAAATTACTCTTAGACAAAATCAGATGTCGGAAGTATTCTGCTAATTGCTTACATTGAAGAAAGGGGTTTTCATTTTTGAAAACCAATCTTGTAAGGTCTATTTTCCATGTAATGTTCTATGTATTTCTCAATTAATGCATCACTTGTTTCCAGCGCAAGAGAAGTACTTGGTGGCAAAGCATCTGCCCAGGGTGCGGTTACGAAGCCCCTCCAAGCCTGTAATGACACCCAAGAAGCCCCAGTCAGTGCCTCTCATCCAGCTGCCTTCCTCACCAAAGCCACCCTCTGCACTGGCTCCCTTACTCTCCACTTCACCCCACATGACTCCCTCAGCCTCCTCGCTCTTCTCGCCTTCATCTCAGCCCATGCCAGATTTCAGACACACTGATTTTTTCACCACATCCATACGGTGAGTTTAGATTTATTCCTGAAATTGGACATTACGAAATCAAAATCTATTAAATTTTGAACTTCCTATCATTTGATATTATGAGATCAATACTCGTTTTTAATCATTTCTGTTCATCAGATCATCTGCTGACAGCCACCCGGTACTTTCTGGACTGCTTGATGGCACAGGATCTCCCATAGATCACCACAGCAACAGCCGCTCTCTTGACCCTAGTGACCTCACAACACTCGGTAACGGAGGTCCCTTTGGTGAAAGCTTTTGTGATGATGACTGCACTCAAGATGATCCCACGAGCCTTAAAGCTGTGTTGGCTGCCCTTAATAAGTCCAAGCCTGGCAAGGGTATCAAAAGAGCACGGATACTAGTGAGTATAATGGAAGTACAGTTCAATTAGATTATTTATTATGAAATATATCCCAGTTAAATAATGTGTTACTATGACATCTGAAGGAAGGGAAAACGGTATTTGTTTTTAATTTGATAATTTATAACTGTTTTCAATTTTGGAGTACTCTCAGATCCTGAATCCGGCTTATTTTTATCTGACATTGCTGTTGTGAAGAATAGAAGAAAATACACATACAGAAGCATTTCCAAGCTCTGTTTTTAATAGGTTAATTATAGAGGGTAATTAATCATAAAATTTATTTAATATGAATTAAATCTTGGTTGGTTGTATAAACAAAACATAATTCAAACCATCATATTATATTTTTATTTCTTCCAAAAACTATAAGCATTTATTTTCCGCTGTAGGACTGTGAGGACTCTGATAGCAAGCGTCAATGTTCTGATGACACTCCACTCCTGCCTGAACCATTTCCTCATGGCTCTTTAACCAGGTAAAGCAAAGCTAATCAAATGCAATGTAATGAGCGTTAAGTTAACTGTATTTTTAGACACATTTTTTATGCTACTTCTAAGGCACCCTTGCCTGTTTGCTGTAATTTTTAGTTCAACTACTAGGAATACCCGAACTATTTTTTGCTATCATAATAAATAATAATCATTTCACTGCACGGAAGTAGCACAGTATAATTATTTGTAAATTTGTCTATGAAAGGCCATTGTAAAAAAATTCGCCATAGAATCAGCTTGCCAGGGCAATAATAAACTAGTGTGCTCAGTGTTCTGGCAGCTTAGCTAACCACTCCAGTCAATGAAAGCTGCGGCTCATCTGCTGGACTATTATAACAAAAATTCTTGCCTCTTACATTTCTTAACAATTTTCGACTGTTTGTTTTATTATAGACATAAGTGCATCAACCATATATGTATTTTAATAAATGTAAAAATACTAGCATCAGCCTTGCACAAAATGTTAACACTATGTTCATGAAAACTTTAGGTTCAATTTTGACCCTCATTTCATTTTTCTTAGAAGTTTGTATGTCTCCACTCGTGTCATTTGCTGCTAGCTATTGGTTTTAGAACTAATAAATTAAAGGTACTGAAAGTTTTTTCTTTATTATAATTCATCCTTGTTGAACAGTCACAACAATTTCGCCGGAGGAGGTGGAGAGAAGCGAGCTCTGGACACAAGTTCTTCTTCAAGCCTAGATAACTCCGGCCATGGTTCACCCTGCGCAAAGGTGGCTCGCACCTCGCCAGATATACTCGATGGACCGCTCTTATCCAAGGCAGTTTCTTCTGACTTTGCTGCATCGTCAACTTCTAATAATATTACTCCTTCTCCTCCACGAGCCAGCCTACAGCGTGTTGCTCCTAGTGTGGGGCTTGGTGGAGGTTCCCATTTGTTAGAACGTGACTCCGAAGATGATGGAGCACCAGCCAAGAAGCGTAAAGTCAACCCTTGGCTTGCATCCTTTTCTTCCTCAAGAAAAATGGTAGAAAGGGAGGAAAACGTGAGTCTCAAGTTCATTTATATTTTTACAGGCATGAATGAGTAATTAGTATACATTTGAAAATAACATTTCGGGCGAAATTGGAAATTATTTAATCCTAAAGTATTAATCCTTCCTATTATGGTGATGTTTCTCTAAATAAAATAAAATTTTGAGCTCGTAATGTACTGGAGTGTTGGTACGTTATTTTCAAATAGGACTTGATGACAATGCATAAGAGTATCAAATTCTACAAATTCTTGTCCGTTTTTTTTTTTTTTTTTGTTTGTAATTGAATTTTTTTCTGTTTTGTAATTGCACCTTTGAATTGACCAGAGTTCCGACACTCGCCTGGACTGCGAGAATCTTGACACGGATGGTGAAGGCTCTGATAAATCTTCAGACGACTCGGACAACTCCATGGTGAGTCGTACATTAAAAATTAATGACCTTCACAGTTTTTCTAAGGCTTTGTGCACGTTTTTTTTTTTTTTGCAGTCAACCTTTGAACGACATACATGATATTGTTCAAAATGTCAATTGTTGTCGATGAGATGCTGTTTACAAAGTTTTTCGCCATTTCTCAAACTCTTTTTTTCTCTTAGTGAGTAAATATAGGTTTTATCGAGACATACATAAGAATATTCCTGTGCAATTTGTGTAATTGCATGCGTAAATAATTCATGTAGAACCAGTAAACCCGCGCTCCTGATCTTATCTTGTATGACGTAAACTATATTACGTCAGTCTATGTCTCGGCCTGAACCTAAACGGTTGTTGAAGAAACTACGAACCGTTCAACCTTTAATTCCAACCCTCACGGAATTAACATGGTGCCATGACCAGGATAGTGTTTTCTTGCTTGTGGTCCAATCAGCAAAGTTAACCGCTGTATTTAAGTTATTCATAATGGCCGACCGCGCCATCACGAAGAGAGGAGGTCACCGAGCCGAGGTTACAAAGCTACGTAAGCGAGTCGATGCGCTTCTTACTGAAGACGTCCAGCGGTCTGAGGACCTTCAAGTGTTACGAAGTGAGGTGTGTAAACAACGTGAGATTACCTTCAAGCTTGATGAAAGTGTGGTAGACCTCATTGATGTGGCCGAAATTGACAAGGACATAGCAGAGGCTTCATTTGTCTGCATGCAAATTGCTGAAACGCTTTCTGTGATTGACAAAGTTTTACTTGAACCTAATTCAGAGCTTGCAATCAATGCTCGTGCTTCTGTTCCTAGTGCTAAGATGGTCAAATTGCCAACTATCAGCTTACCATTTAATGATGGGTCAATCCTAATGTGGCAGCAGTTTTGGGACCTGTTCAAAACCTCAATTCACGACTCCACTGATGTGAGGGATGCAAATAAGTTTCAATACTTGAAATCGCAGTTGCGAGGCGAAGCTTTTCAACTTATTGTTGGCTTCAACCACACAAGTGCAAAATACCAAGAAGCTGGCAAACTTCTTAATGAAACTTCTGACAACAAAAGGAAATTAGTTGAAGCTCATGTGCACGCTATTCTAAATTTGCAACCACCAATGGCGACTGCGAAGGATCTCTCCAGATTCCGGGCACTGTACGAGGGGTATATCAGAGGTTTAAAATCCATAGATGTCAACATCGATGATGCAGGTTATGTTTATGCCACGGTTATTCTTCGCAAGCTTCCCAAGAAGATCATAGAAAATAATAACCGTGAGGGACGATCTAATCATTGGGACTGACGTCGCTTCGCAAGGCCCTAGAGACAGAGATAGGACACATGCAAGCCACAGAAAATCTCGAACCAGAGAAGTGTTATCTCGATGATCAACTCAAAAAGTCCAAACGCAGCACGTTATATTAACCGGTGAGTTCTGGTTCTCACCAGCAGAAATGTCCCTTTGTAATTCAAATCATTTAGTCTTGAATTTCGACAAATTCAAGACAGCCCAAAGTCGACAGCAACGAACTAGGAAACTGAAGCTTTGCTTCAATTGCCTGCGACCAAGACATCAAGCTATGCAGTGCAGCAACAAGTTGAGGTGCCGGTCACGTCAACGTAAACCTCACACCGCACTCAACAAAACTTGGCAAGTATTAACACAGCTGTGATGCCTGGAAGAAGATATTACACTGAGGAAGGTTGACGACGTCACTGTGGCAGATCCTGCGGCCGCGTTGGTTGGTGTAGTGAACGGGTGCTCGTCCATGTTGCCAACAGCACTCGTTACGGTCAGCAGCGGTAACGCTCGACTTGACTCAGCGGTAACGCTCGACTACGACTGTTGCTTGACTCAGGTTCGCAAAAGACTTTCATTAAGCGAGAAGTGGTGAGAATGTTTAGAATGCCAGTTGTCAACAGTGTAAGGTTAATAGTTGATGGATTTCAAAGTAGCGTAGAATCTACCATGTGTGGTGTCGTTCAATTTGAAATTCAAACTGATAGTGAATCTATTCCAGTAGAGGCCGTTGTCGTGGATTCTATCTTGGATTATGTCTCTACACCCGGCAGATGCGATGCAGTCAAGAATTGAAGAATTTAGGCATTATTTTAGCTGATCCTACAAATTACAGCGATAAGTTGAACGCAGAAATTCTCGTAGGTATTGATCAGTATTTCAAATTTCCATCATCGCCTCTAAGTTAGTCAACTTGATAGCAGGTTAGTCAACTTGATAGCAGGTTAGTCAACTTGATAGCGGGTTAGTCAACTTGATAGCAGTCTCATGTTTCAACTTGCGCGAGTGGGCTACATATTCAGGATTATTGAGATCAGTTATATCTGTAGACAGTAAAGAGGGAGCCAGCAATGAGATCGATACTGAACCTAAACATGTTGATGTTTTGGGATTAAAATGCGACACTGCTAATGATAAAATGTACTTTGAAGATACGCACTATAAATCCCATTCCCTGTACGAAGTGATCAATCCTTGAGAACTCAGCTCAAATCTTCGATCCTCTTGGATTTCTCTTGCCTGTCTCACTATTAAAGCGCGTTTGCTAATGCAAGATTTGTGGCGATTGAAAGTAGGATGGGATGGTGGTTTGACTTCCAAAATTGGAGATAATTGGTCATCTCTGGCAACAGATTTAAATGTGTCTTTAAGAATTGAACATGCACGAGCCGTTATGTAGGAGGAAAATTGCGACACCTTCCTTGTCTTCTGCGATTCCAGTGCGAAAGCCTATGGCGTTGACGTGTACGTCCGAACCGGGTCTGGAATATACTTTGTAGCTGCTAACGCTAGAGTAGTACGGATAATTTAAATGACGACGTGTTAACGCCTTCGCATTTGTTGCATGGTCATCGAATCAGAACCCTTGGTAATTCAAGTGTAGACTTGGATACTCTTCTCGATCCTACAATGTACGAGAAGGAAATTTTCAGCAAACGCGAACAGCGATTGAGGCTATTACTGGCACATTTTTATTGTCGGTGGAAGAATGAATACATGAAATCTCTTAACACGTTGACTCCGAAGTGGTACATATGCGTACCACGAAATGTATTTCTTCAGGACGTAGTGGTACATAATTCAGGTTGCCTAAAATCGGCCAAATCATAGAACAAAAAAGGCCGATAACTCAATATATACTAGTTTATTTGCAGGTTCCGCTATAAAAATTCCATTTATTTTCTTTTTGCAGTATTTAAAATTTAATTAGGAAGTACCTCTTATAAATTTTAGCCGGCCAACGCAATTGAGACAAACTAAATCACGGAATTTGTCCGGAAAAAATGACTTCCTGGCAACCCTGTTTAGAAACAGTACTACAAAAAATGAAATAATAGTACAAGATGAAGCAATCGGAGTCAACGTGTTAAAGAGATGGTCATTTGTCGACGACTTCAAAGTGCCACATCGTTCCTGGCGATATCGTGTTGAAGTTGAAGTGAGACGATGCTCCTCGCATGTTGCTTTTTCATCGCATGATGCTTTTCAGGTCTTCCCTCGCTATATTTAACTATCACCTTATGAGTAGACAATCTATTTTTAACAAATTATCGCATAAAGCTATATATGGGATTTCAATGCCTCAAATGTAATAATTATTCATTAGAAATTGGTTAATAGATCTAGGAAATTCATCAATTTGAATTTCTAGACATTTAGTGTCGAAACATGAACGTCTTTGCTCATATTTAGACAAAATTTATCTTCATCAGAGCCAAGAAGAGGACGAAGACGAAGCTCCTGCGCCCCACCAGGGCAGTCCCGCCCCCACCTCCCACCAGCAGGCTCCTAAGGAACATGGGTAACAAAGTCTCTTCGCTACTCATTATTGAACAACGCAAACATCAGACTCAACTCACTTCGGGCCCTAGGCCGTACCAAATTCGGCAAAAACAAAGAAACACTAGCACCAACATACAAACAGTTCATCAGAACAGTGCTGGCTTATGCCAGCCCCGCCTGGGCGCCCGCACTATCCAACACCAACATACAGAAACTCCAAACACTACAAAACAAAGCACTCAGGATGATTACAGGCTGCACACAAAGCACCCCCATAGAACACCTTCATGCAGAAACAAAAATACTTCCCATAAAAGCACACCTCGACATGAGAGGAACACAATTTATAGCCGCAGCCATAAACAACACACAACACCCATGCCACTACCTACGCGACCACCCACCTACACACAGACAAATAGTGCAAACCCTACACAGATACTACACCAACATACTAGATACAGTACCCCCACCCCAAGGCAACACCAGCACAAAAAAAAAACACTTTCACAAAATTATGACACTTAAAACGCTGGAGCTGGCCGGCAACAACAAAGTCCTTGGGCACCCACCACCTGACATAAGCAGCACAGAAACACAGCTCTCTAGACTGGAGAGAGTACACCTAGCCAGGCTTCGCTGCGGCCACCACCCCTCACTACAAACATACGCAAACAGAATCGGCCAAGCAGACACAGACACCTGCCCATCCTGCCAGAGAGCTCCCCACACAATCACTCACATTCTCCTGGAATGTCCGCTCTGGCAGGACCTCAGACAACACCACCACATAACCTCGACCCTACAGCTCTGAAGCGACCCACTGTCGGTGGTGTCGTACCTGCGCGAGGGAGGTCTCCTATAAAAATGAGACCGGGGAACCACAACAACAACAAAACAACTAATTATTGTTGTCTTTAATTTATAAAATGAATACTTGTCACAGGTACTCATACGAACTGAGTTTTGAGGTTATTTAGGCTCTTCAACCACATTCTTTTGCTTGTTTATTAATATGGAAACTATCATAAAAAAACTCTGGTTTGAGTTGAAGGATAAAAGAAGCAAGTCGATGGCCAGATTTTATATAATAGTGACTAGATCTTTTTTTTAAATTTATGGGTGCAAGATTTTTTTATCAATTTTGAATTTATCATATAAGCGCTTATTCCGTTTTATCACTGGGTTTGTGCTAATAATTTTTCTCAAAAATTTGTTAATTTATTTCAAGTGGATCCGTTATCCGTTTTAACATTAGAAGTATCCTCATTATGACCAATGTCTAGGATGGTGACTTAACATGACATGGGTATAAAGATCATTTGATTGCTGATCTAAACGTACGTATGTTAAACAATAATTTGAAGCAAAGGAAATGCCCCCTCTCCCTTCCCTCAAAAAAAGGCAAAACACCATATTATCATTGGTAATAATTACGGAAAGCAGCAGTTATTGTGAAAACATTGTGAATTTTCATTGAAAATTCACAATGTTCAATGAAAATTCACAATGTTCAGTGAAAATTCACAATGTTCAATGAAAATTCACAATGTTCAATGAAAATTCACAATTTTCAATGAAAATTCACAATTTCAATGAAAATTCACATCGAATACAGTGAAAACATTGTGAATTTTCAGCACGTTTTGACATATTTTTCATCTGCACTTATGTTCACAGCGACGTGGTGCTAGAAGAGACTACGAGCGCCGCCACGCCTCACATTGTGACGCTGTCTGCCCATCGCTCCGACAAGCGCATGCAGCACACGCGTCTCAATAAAATGCTCGGCATGCTATTCCATCTCCCAGGTAAATTTTTCACTTCTTTGTTTGTTTAACTGGTAATGAAATTTGAATTCTTGAAATTGAAATGTTGAAATGGTAGTGAAATTTGAATTCCTTAAAATTAAATTTTGGAATGGTAGTGAAATTTTTATTCTTGAAAATTAAATGCTAAACTTTATAAGTGAAATTTGAATTCTTGAAAATAAAATGTTGGAATGGTAGTGAAATTTGAATTCTTGAAAGTTAAATGCTTCTGGCGATTTTTTTTAACGCGATTCTTTGTTTATGCGCACAGTAGATTATTTTTTCAATCTATGGAGCAGCTTAAAAATGTAAATTTTGCGCTATATACTTGGTCTGCTAGCAGTAATTTGTATTCTGCCAAAATTGATGTATGTTGTGAATTGTTTCATCTCATTACTTTTAAGAACAGGAAAAACATAAAATTAAAAAAAAAATCGGATTTAGGCATTGTTACTGGCATTTCACCTTGTGCAATTCAATTTAGGATTTATGCATTAAGCGTTTATGTGTTTAACCAAGTGTTCTATTTTTCGAAGTTTCTTCTTATTTTACCCATTAAATCGAGTGTAAAGATCTTTCTTCATGTTGATTATTGTTTTGTTCTTTCAATTTTATACGTTCATATTATCACACACAAAATATGTAGTTGCGCCATTTTCATTGAATGTGTTACATGCCCAATACTCAATGCTGGAAATGAAATAAACTTCCTCGATAATTTAAATTCAAAGTAAACTGAAAATAGCAATGAATAAAAGTTACTGAGAAACCTAACTGAATAGCTCTAAGACATGAAATTCTTGTTTATGAACCTCATTGAGTAATTTAGATGGAGATTCAGCAAAAAAAAGCTGCAACATTCACGCAGTGCGATTCCGATTCGTGCCAGGAATGTACTTTCTCTCCTATTTTAACAATCGGCCTATCGCTTTAAGTGCAATTTACCTAAATTGATTACTAGCCAACTGTTTACTGTAATTCTGAAGCCATCTATTAGGCAAGCAAAGTTCTGCAATTAGTTTACTCGTAATGAAGGTTCAATTGTGGTGAACGTATGAAGTTCTTTCCTCACAAATTATTTTCTGGTTTCATTTCAGACGACGAAGTGGCGTCCAGCACCGCTAAGACAAATATGGACATTTCAAGGTCTAATTCTGTGTCAGCTGCCGGTTTTGTGGTAGCGTCTACATCAGCAGCCACATATCAGTCTTCCAGCCTGGGCTTGTCAATGCCCTCGACAGCTGTTGAGTCTTGTTCTGAGACCGCTACGACAGAAACTTCTGTTGTTGGACTTCAGGCGTGTACGACGAGTAGTTCGACCAGCAATGTTACTGGCATTACCGCGATTACAGCACCTAGCTCAGAGGCAACTTCTACAGCTGCCTTAGCTTCTGTTGAATTAGTGCGACAAGCAACTATTTCTGCTGCAAATGTCTCCGAGTCGACTTCATCACCGGCTACAACTTTCTCATTCAAAGTTCCGACATCCACTATATCCAGTGAGGATGCTAGTATCGACCCAAAACCATCTCATGTGGTTGATGGTTCTAAACCCTTGTTAAGTTTCTTGGCAAATAATGCCGCTTCGTGCCCCGAGAAACAAACCCCAACGTCCAGTAGTGTTGGGAACGTCGCCCCATCTTCAATCGCTACCACTACAGCACCTTCAATGTTCTTCGGCTCAGGCAAGGAGACAGTTTCGTCTAGACCACTGACGACATTCAGCTCCTCTTCATCAATAGAGCCCAGCAATCAGGGAAACTTATCAACACCTATGAGTAATGCCTTCGCCCCACCAAATATCTCCGTGAATACCATCGCGTCTACTGCTTCTTCCGCAGTCTCTGCTCCTTCTCTAGCGTTTGGCAATTCAACGAGTTCTGGAAATACTGGCATGTTCACCTTTGGAAAAGCTCCTCCTCCTGCTTATACTGCATCAGATTCTTCTCCTGTGAATCAACCAGTTTCTGCTTCCGGTCTTAAGCTTCCTTCATTTGGATCACCGGCAGTGTCGGTTGTTCCCAGTACCACTACAACTAATACTACTATCAGCGCCATTGGTGTTCAAGATAACTCATCTGAAAAGTCCAGCGGCTTTCAATTCGGCTTTGGTGCCGCATCAGGTGGCTTTGGAAATCTCAAACCACAAGAACCTGCTGCAGCAGCATCTGCAGGTGGATTTAGTTTCGGTTCTTCTGCCACGTTTTCACAAGCCAAGGATCCTATAGTATCAACTGTTGGATCTTTCTTCGCATTTGGTTCAAGTTCTTCATCTAATGCCGTTGTAGACTCTCCTGCTAATGTCGCAGTTTCCGCGGATTCAGCTTCAAAGAATGCCACTTCGGGTACTAATCCACCCATGCTCAGCTTTGGTAACAATTTAACTACTAATGTCTCATCTTCAAACAGTTCCACATCTGCTGCCAAGGCTTCTATTCCTACTTTTAACTTTGGGAGTGCAGGAACTAATACAGTTGGGACTTCATCCTCTGTAGCTTCGTCTGGAGCCTCTACAGTGCCATTCACTAACTCTTCAAGCACATCTTTTAGCTTCTGCCCAACTAATTCATCATCTATCAATGAAAAATCAGAAAGCAATTCAACATCTGCCAGCTTTACTTTCATCGTCAAAAATGACAGCAAGTCTGTAGAGGCAAGCAAAGCCAGCGTTGTCAGTTCTGCTTCTCCTTTCACTTTCGGATCGGCAGCTACAGTTGCACCAACAGTGACACCGAATAATTCCTCATCCACGTCTCTGTTTTCCTTTGGCAATGTTGGTTCTACAACCGAAGCAAAGGCGAATACTAACTCAGCAGGAGGCTTATTCGCATTTGGCGCTTCCAATGCTTCTTCGACCGCTGCTCCAGTGTTTGGCGGTTCCGCAGTGACCGCAACCGACGGCTTTGGTTCTGGTGTACCTGCGACGACCGCTTCAACGGCTCCACAGTTTGGCTTGACCACTTCAAGCACGTTATCTTTTGGATCGTCCTCTATTGCTACTAGTACGTCATCAAGTGATAAGCCTTTAACTGGTTTTGGAGGCTTTGGTAATGCCGGCAATCTTTTTGCGGGCATAAAGAATGGAGGTTCTAACTCGACATTCGATTTAGGTGTGGCTAGTAACAATGCCACATCTGTGACATCAAAAGCAGTTACTTTTGGTGGTGCCAGCCTCGTTACCGGAGGATCGGGAAATTTGTTTGGGCAGACTGTTTCTGACAACGGTAATAACTCGTCTAATTTATTCGGCCAAGCTGCTTCTGTAGGCTCAAGCGGTCTCTTTGGCAAGATAGCTAGTAACAACAGCACGCCAGCTTTTGGTTCTTCCACGTTCGGACAATCTAGTAAAGAAAACACCGATAAACCGGCTTCTACTTCATCGTCATCTTCTCCATTTCAGTTCGGGAGCTCTTCTACCAATGCCAACACTGCAGGTGCTGCTTTTACTTTTGGAAGTGGTAGCGCTTCTGGCAAAAGTGATACTACTTTTGGTTCTTTTTCAAGCTCGGCTGCCAGTCCCTTCGGGGGCGCTTCGACTGGAACAGGCCCAACATTTGGAGCCTCTGCATCGAACTCGGCTTCCACATTTGGTTCAGGTACATCAAATCTTCCACCTAGTTTTGGTTCTACTACTTCAAACACTGCTCCGAGCTTTGGATCGGCGCCTGGTATTCCGGTTCCGAGTTTCAGCTCCGGCACTGCTTTATCAATACCATCTTTTGGGTCAGCATCAAGTGCCGTACCTTCTTTTGGCTCACCTTCGCTCGGCGCTCCATCGTTTGGGTCTCCGTCACCTTCGTTTGGTTCTCCAGCTCCTGGCCAACCCGGCATGTTTCAGTTTAATTCTGGAAGCACGACGCCTCAACCGCATAACGCCTTCAATGCCAGTGAGTTACTTTCTAATTTGTATTTTTTATTCCACTGTACTCCTATTAACTTCATTGACTTTAGCACACATTGTTTTCTCGTAAAAATTGTTGCCTAATAGTAGAAGTACTGGGATTGAAATAGCTTTTTCATGATATATTTAACTCTGTCGACGTATTGTTCATAGTTCCTGCCTTCTTGATGTGTAGTGTACTGTTGAAGTATTTCCCAATTCTCTAACCCGTAGTATTGATTGATCTCTATCCCACGATCTCTCTTGAAAATCTCTAACAGACAACACTACACCCACTCCTATCAATCCACACGGTCGCTCTCCAGTAATAAAGTTTAAATAGCTCAGCCCCAAACTTGATTGCCACTTGTTAAGCTTAACTGGATTACAAAATATTAAACTAGTCCAAGATTGTGATTGGTAGAGTTCTAGGGTCGATCACTTAGCGAACCTCAATTTATCGTTATGGATGTTGTGACGCAAGTAGTAAACACGCCTGTCTGTTGTCAGGTCTCAATACGTTAGGAAGTTCTTTTGCCGCCCAGACTGCTGGCCTCGATCATCAAAACCTCTTCAGTGTTGGTGAGTCTGGGCGCTTTACTCACTCGTTGCTCGTTTCTGGCTTTTCTTCATTTTTTCGTTTGCTTCTTCTTTTTCTAGTTTTAAGTTTTCCCATAAGAACGATATCAACGTCGAAAATAGTAATGTAAATTTTTATATTCTTGGTTTTAGATCTTGTTTAGTTACTGTCAGGGTTTTTTCCTTGCATGGGAGTTGCTTTACAATGCGTGGGCTACACAAAAATACATTTCCTTTTCATTCATGTTTCTAAGGGAACATATCCAAGTTGATCATCCCTCTACAGTTTCTTCCGTTTATTATATTTGCCTCCAAGATCAAGCACGTTCATATCTGTAGTTAGAATTTTTCTACTGACTACAATATTGACTGATATTAATGTGCTTGTCATTAGTTAATTAGATTAAAGGGACAAGGTACGAGTTTTCCAAAAAGAATTGCGTGGCATGTACTACAGCTCAGCAATTCTGTCTTTTGAATTAATGTATTGCTCGAGTGTTTTCTGATCAATAAAGCAATGCCATCTTCAATTCGACCACAATATGATTTTAGAAGTTCACGTTCCTTAATTTCATCACACCTTTCTTCTTCACACTGTCGTTATTCTTTACTCGCATTAAATACAGGTTCTTTCCCTGTTCCGTAAGAACGCAAATGCTACGGTTGATCCAATAAGAAACATTAATATTTTTTATATTGAGGTTTTCTATCGTACATGGTGGCCGATCATATTCTGTATTGACGTGATACTTCAGAGTTCAGTTCTTCATTTCAGTCAACTTGATGTTGCAACCTGAGTAAAATTACGATAGTCTTTTTTGACAAATTTGTTTTTTCTTTAATTCTTTGTTATTTTAGTTATTGACAGCAATGTTGTGCTTCACAGGTGGTGGAAGTTCGAGCAACGCTAGCAGGAGACCACGCGCCCGCGCCCACAGAAGGAATCGTTAAGACTATCATGCAAGTTGGAGGTTACTTTTAAGCCTACGTCATGTCGCCCGTTTGTGTCCGTGGCGGTCATCTTGTATTTTCCAGCCCAATTTTTGCAACTTCAGATAGTGAAGGATCGATGTAACTTTCGCTTAGAAGTCGCCTTACAATCTAATATTGCAGTTTAAGTCAGGCCAGTTGACAAGTTTTTTTTTGCAAGACTTCGTGATCAAAAAATAAGGGTTGTGATACTGACTATCTGATGAACTACTTAGTACGTATAAACATTATAAAATGCCTTGCCTTATTACTCTATTATAGCAATTATAAGAGTTACATCTAGCATTTTATCGTTGTTATCTTAACAACCGTTATTTGATTTTAATTTGATATTGGACCTTATTACTCGTACACCATTGTATTTTATTCAATTCTGTGTAAAATTTCAAGCGTAAGTTTTACCTTGTTTGTATTTTAAGTGTGAAAGTTACGCGATCCTCTGCAGCGGGAAGTTCCTGCGATTGTAACATTTTTATTCGAGCGTTACGTTCAGACTTCAGACTGAGCCTATTATTGAAAAGACGAATTAATTATACAATATTAAGATCTGATGTGCATATTGGAGTGATGACCGATTGTATATGAAGTAACATTACCCGTTTTGTATGAACATAGATTCGAAGGTCAATTATACTGAAATTTGAGTCTACAGATGTATATCGCGAGTACATGAATCGTATAATCCCTGAAAGACATCGGATCATCGTCTAATCCCTGATATATTCATGAGAACGAAGTATGACTGATGTGAGCAACGAGCGATATGAGGAAAACTCGAACTTTTCGACCATGTAATTGAAGAGGTGGTTTGTTAAGCACATAATTTGTTAAGTGCGGGAATTTGAATATTAGTTATTGATGCGTAAGATTCTTAGGACATAGACTAACAAACTTAACGATACGAACGTTGTCATGAGTAAGCATTAAATCTTATAACCTAATGTCAATGTTTCCTTACTTCACAACTGTGTCAGTCAAATTATCAATCGACAGTACTTGATGTATACATTAAGTGCAGAGATTTTTTCCTAATCGTCCAAAAATTTGATCGAATTGAGCTCAATCTGTTTCAATATCTCATTTTTTACTCGAGAGAAGAACTGCATTAGTTTCAACACGTTGACTCCACTAATTGCATTTCTTCAAGACGTACTGGGACATATTTCAGGGTTCCCAAAAAATGAAATAGTACAAGATGAAGCAATCGGAGTCAACGTGTTAATTGATTATTAGGATGACAACTCAACTATAGATTTTCAAATTATTCTATAGACTTATATATGAAAAGTTCCGGGGGAACTACAAAGCTAATAAAGGCACGGCATTTGAGCACATAATATTAGATGGTACACTGATTTGAGCATAGCATTCGTTTTGGTAATATAGTTTTATACTGTAAAATGTCCACCACAAATACGCGCGTTAGATTACTGTAACTCAAGACAGTGACAAGGATTCTGCAAGAGACTCGTCGGCAGTGAACTCTGAAATAAACACACGCTTATAACAATAGATGGCACAGCTTATAGGGAAGGTTTAGTGTTAACCAAGGTTAACATCGTTGCATACATCGTCCTCGACAATAGATCACGGTGATGAGAATAGATTTTAGGCAAGATGTAACTACGAACATTAGCGTTCATAGTGATGTACGACTAAGCTCAGAGCTGAACACGGTACAAGGTTTCTTCTGCATGCTGAAGTGGGCGAATTTATCTTTTTTAGACTCTGGAGAATCATCCTATAACTCAAAAGCCAAAAGAACTCTAATTTCTTTAGTCTCGACATGTGCTGTTCGTGTCTGGCGAACAAACCCGATGGAATCTACTTTTTGATAAGGCGGTTCATAAATTTGACGTCATGACTGAATTCATTCTCGAAATATAATTCGAGTACTCCATATTCATACATTTCAGGCATGCATACCATAAATATGGACGCTGTAATGACGGGCAGTTTATCACGCATGGAAGACATCCAGAATAATAGGAAGTTTTACGAGAATTCAACAAATTATGATGATCGGCGAGTGCGAAATCAATAAAATTTTGGAGTTAAACACGTAATTAACCAATAAGCTAGTCTACTAGATGAAAATCGAGTAACATCAGACGGCATAGGATTTTAAAACTTGTCCTTGCGTTTTGGAAATTGTAGTTCACTCATGGAGCTTTGGTAAAAAATTTCTTCTGATTGATATACGTACTCACTGATTTAGTACTTGACGTTTAAAAACGAGGTTACATTTCTATATAGAAATACGAATACTGAACCCACAACATAATAAATAATTACCTCAAATACGAGTGTTTTATCATGAGGTATAGATCTACAGTTAGTTAGTTTAGTGGCCAAATGTTTACTAGCGCTTCAGCTATTTAGCTATCTCGCACCGAAAGTCAAGATGAACATCACCATAGAGGTGGAAGGTCTCAATTATTCATCACCCACAAGGGGCGGAAGGTCTCAGTTGTCCAGCCCGCTGAAGCTGGCTCGAAAGAAGCAGCGTTAGCATCTCAAAGAGACGAATTGACAAGGAGGGACAGGTGAAAAGCAACAGAAACGAAGACACTCGAACAAGAGGTCGCTTACACGGGACGTCGGCCGCCCGCACGAGAGAGACAGAGAAGGGAAATGTAAGGAATCCTACCTACATAATAACTTAATGGAAGGAATCCTACCTACATAATAACTTAAACCCACAACTGAGACCAACGGTCAGACACCGCGAGCTCAGCGGTGGGGCGCTCAGGAACAATCCCCCTAGGAACGCGAAATCCCATAGGACTTCTGACGAGCACAGACACGCGTCAGAAGTCCCCCCTGAGGGGGTATAGATCTACAGACTGAAAACAAATGATTCTAGTCGTCATTTTGGGAGAGAGTACAGTAATTTTCTGGTACCTTCCAATTTGTCAGAAATACAATGTAGCTCGACAATCCCCACCGATTAGTTATCTACCGTATCAACACCTAATACACTCAAAGATGAAGGTGTATACAATTTTCAGTTCTATGGAAATCACATAGGACATTATGAGTCCTTTTACATTCTCAGAGTAACAGTCGGTATTCAAACTTACAATTTAGGCGAGTATTTTTCAGAATGCAGGTCAAGCAGATTAAAAGCTAATATTAAACAAAAAATGAGTATTTGCAAGAAAGGCTTTCTTACAAATTTATCAGATCTATGTTGAGAAACATTTGGTTATTTTCATTCTACGAATAACTTTCGGTGCGAAAACTAAACAAGAACAAGCAGGTTAAAATTAGGTACCAGCCTTTAATGGGACGCGTGAAGTTAAACAAACATGCACACAAAACTTAAACTAGTACCATAAAGAATAATATCAACGATAATGTATTTCTGTAGCTAAGAAAATTTTAGTCAACATAAAACAACGGTTGCGAGTTTATGAGATTGAGATTCAATACGATGAAATGAGATGTTCAAAAAATCGTGACTGGTATAGAATGCAAGTCGTCAGCATAAACTAATATTAATCCCAAAAACCGAATAAATCAGGGCGTTCAATGTAAAATATCGCGGAGATAACACTAAACAGTTTTGAAAAAATGTAAATGTAATTAGTGATTAACGGTAGAGGCACCGACATTCAGAACTGTAAAATGAATGACCACGGTATTCAAAGCATAAAAAATGCATATAACTTTAAATTTAGTCTACTGAAAACAAATATCCTACACAACATATAGCATACCTTTAGAAAATAATTATTCTGAATCCAGCACTTACACTGTAAAAATGGCCTATTACATATCAATAAAACAGCACAGCGAATTGCATCTTCCTATGAGCGAGTCTGGAATACTCTGGCGGATGAAGTGACCTGCCTTGTAAACGAGTTTGATAGGAACCGTCAATAGAATTAAAGATATTGCCAGATTCGAATGGTGTGCAAGTTAAAACGATATTTATTTCAAGTTTTACAATTAGAAAAACTAAACATGCAAATGGAAAAAAGTATTTGCAATTGTCAACATCGTAGGAAAATTTAGGCCTGTTGAAGTTGGTATCAACACACTCATTCGATCTGATAGCGAGGCAATCTTGATTCATAAGTAAACTCTTAATAAAAAAATCAAGAAGTATTATCGTTGACATGATGCGCTATTGCTGGTGTCTGTCTCACTTTCATCGGAATTAGGCATATTATAGAAAGGGTTTGTATTCTTTGGTGGACGGGCCTTCGCTAACGACGCAAGGTCTCCATCTAAGTCCGCGAGTTTGCCTCCTGAAGGCGCGATTGTGCAAGGGTCGTCAGCCACTCGGCTCGCAACTGGAAGCTTGGGGTTCAGGTCCAGGTTGATGGTAGGGCTAGAGTGAGATTTTTTAGCCCCGGGTAGAGATTGTGGAGCAGAGTTTACTGTGTCTGAGCCAACTGAAGGAGAGAAAAGTTGATGTTGAGAGAGTGCTGCATTAAATGGATTACCGTTAAAGCCTGAATAACTGGCATTTATATTATTGTGGATTTTGGGGTCCATTTCTATATTCTCACTGCTTACATTCAAATCCATCAAATTTCGGTTTAAGTCATTTAAATCACCCGTTTTTGCTCTGCGCTTGCTCTGGTTTTCTTTATCTAAGTACAGGGATCTACCGATATTCTCCAACGAACTTGCGGTGGATTCGGAAGATATCTCAAATTTTTCACTTGACAAATTTTCCCCAGAATTTTTATTATTCGCCCTCGACTTTTTCTTCTTGGAGTTTCCAGACTGAAGAGTACGACCAGAAACTTGACTAGGATCTTCAACTGGACGAACAACTGTGTTGGTTCTCAAGGAAGAAAGAGAGTCTCCATTGCAGTCGTGTTCCTCAAGTTCCTCACGGCACATTTCTGAGATGGGAATCTTGAGCCCAAACTTTGCTGAGAGAGCGCGAGATTTTTCCTGACTTTCGTTGATACATTTCGTATCACCAGATCGCCTAAAATGAGTATTTTTGTCACGCTCGGTCTGAGAGTTTGAATTTCGCTCTGCATGACCGTTGTCGCGGTCTAAATCTTGAGTCAATATACCATGAACATCACCATGATTGGTTCTCCTGTAGTTATCATCTGATGGGTGTGATGAGCTTTCCAGACCAGAAGAAAAGTTGTATGATTCATAGTCGTCAGAATCTGTGGCTATTCCAGGCTCATAGCGAGCATTAGTTTTAGTATTCAGACCAAGTAATCCCGTTATAGTGTTCCCAGCAGCATAACTGATGCTTCTCAGGCTCAACTTCTTCTGAGTCTTTCGCAATCCTACAGAACCCATTTGTGTTTCGTTGCGGGTAAGAGGATAATCTTCATGAGTTGAGGAAGGTCGGGCAGAATCACTTTCCTGCCTACGCAAAATAGGGTGAACGTAACTCCGTGTAGTGGCCAGACTTCTTCTGTCAGACACTGAACGCGCCAGTGCCCGGTGTGTGTGAGAGGTATCAACAGTGTTGTTGTCTTGGACGGGTGCTGAAGAGTGAGAAGAGACTGGTGCTGAAGCTGGAGGGATGAAGCTTGGATACGACGTCCTTGACCGTGAATTGAGGTATGAGGGATACGATATTTGAATAGGTTGGTCAGGGAAACCCAAGTCATCGCTTGAAGGAACAACATTTGAGCGCACATTCCTAGTAATACCACACGCTCCTTCCACTGCAGCACTGTCCTGCTCCATAACAGCTGAATAAGAAGGCGGTGGATCATGGTGTCTGGCACTCGAACTGTTGTGTGTGCCACCCAGGCAAGTCTGGGACTCTGACTGTTTACCGGGGTTTCTCTTAGGAGGCAAGTCCGGCCGGCCCTCGTCAGGCATGTTCACGCGCAGCTTCTCACTTTCAGCTGAAGAGGGAGCGGCGGCCGCATCTCTGTCAAATGAATGCCCCAGAACTTGTTCTTTAGCTCTCTGCACAAACGCCGCAGCTTCGCGGTTACCTGATGAATAAAGACAATTCATAAGAATAAATTGCCTGGCAAAAAGTTCACAGAACAAGAGAAAGAACAGTCAATCAATATAATTGAATGTTATCAAAGATTGTTATAATCCGATAGTATCTATATCGTGCAAAAACTTTAAGTAAATGTTAAAAAATCTAGAATTTTTGGTAGTGATGTAAACACTCAACATTAATAATATCCACTCCAGGATTTGTTACCCTTATCCCTAAGTAACTTGACAAGTTTCATGCATCAATCTCTCCCGTTATCGAATCGAACGTCAATCTGACTATCATTATCTTTTTTCTTGTATCCTAACCCACATACAACTAATGAAATTCTCAAGAGCTACTCTAGGAAGGATTTTTTTACCTCAACTGGAGACAGGTACGGTATATATTGGGTTGTCATTTTAATTTAGGTTTAATTTATTTTGGGAGGGGCATTATATGCAAAATATTGAGAAAATAAATTGATTTCAGAGCAACTCTTTTAGGATAATTAGCTTTATTCAAGAACTGGCAATAGGTATATAATTGAACCCAAAAGGCGATTCATGAAATAATCCATTGATGGTGTAGGAACATTTTGTGCTCATTAAAGCAAATAAGACCCACTTTCAGATCTGCTCAAACATTTTTCATTGAAATTACACTCCAGCCTTGCCAGTAAAGCTCACCAGTGTAACGAATATCCTGAAGATCTTTGTTGTGCACATCAGGCAGTGTGCATGCCACTGAGTTGTAAGCAGAGAATACAGCCTGACAGTGCTGACCCAGGGTAACATATGCAGCACTGATTTTACGCAACCCCTCACGGAACCTAATAAGTTTCACTGTCTCATTCTCCTTGATTCTGTCCACAACTGCCCACAATCAAAAAATTATTAAGCAATTTGTGTAAGCAGGTTAATAATATGATTTTGTAAACACTAAAAATCACTTCATGTTATTATGTCTTCATACTATATGAACATTGAAATGAGAATTTGGGCTCTCCATCCAGTGTTAACAAAATGAAAGAACCCAAATGCCCTTGAAAATTTACATAGTTTATAACTTCATTCATAACTTCATAATTTCATTGCAAATAACTATTTAGAAACAACAAAAAAGAAATACCTACCTGAATTATATAGGAGGATTAGATTAATTACAAACATTGACATATATATAAAGGCTTATACTACAAAGAGTTTTGGAGAAAATATATACGATACCAATTAGTAACTGACCTTCGAGATAAGCCAAATCTTTGCCTTTCTCAGCCTGCACTACACGCTCTTCATAGAGCTTGACTTCTTCAGCTCCCTTGATGCTGCACTTGGCCAGTTCCTTCCTGCACTTGATCTCACGTTGTTCTCTGATGCTGTACAGCTCGCGGGACTGATCAACATGGCGCTCACCTTCTAAGATCAGCTCAAACTGGGTCCTGTACTCCCGGAGCCGATCTATAAGTCATTTAAATCATCATTCTGCCCATTATTCCGCCAGAAATGAAAGCTAGAGTATCATGGAAAAATTGCATAAATATTTTTATATGTGCACATTCAAACTTTGGGGTAAGTTGATATAATTTTAAATGCAAGCTGTACCTATATTTCATAAGGCAATTACTATACTTAATCAAGGGTACCGGTATTGCAAGTTTTCAGAGAAATATTCATTCAGTTGAATCATAATGATATTAGGAGCAATCTTCAGGGGACAGAAAAATAAGTTATTTAAAAATGAAATCATAGTTCAATGCAAAAAAACACTTGCCTGCAAATTCTTTTTGGACTTCAGACCAAAGTAGAGAAAGCTCAGCCAGATATGCACACACATCTTGCATGGCTCGATTATCACATTCATTTGTCCATCTTGACAAGTCATCAGCAGCAGTTTGCTGAGCACTGATGAAACCCTTGCATGTTGTCCTCATATCACCAAGCTGCCCAATGAGAACTTGTAGGCTGCTGTGGCGACTTGACAAACCACGCAGTTTTGTACCTGACCTAAATCATAAGAAAATGCAAAACTTTAATATACCAAAGATCAATGTTCATATCAATACATACCAGAAAGAAAGTGACTTGAAAAATGATTTCGACACTGGTTACATTTTTGATTGGTTTTATGACAATTCATATGAAAATTTTGTACAAAAATTGAAATTTGTACTTTTGAAAAGTCATTGGTTAAGACATAGGAGACAAGCTTACAATCTTCTATTTTCTCCTCCAGACTATTACATAAATTACTATGAATATCTTGGAAAATTTTACCTGGATACTGACCAAAATAACAGTAGTAATATACAAAATGCCATTTACCTGCTGAATGACATACTTCAGCTTCCAAAATATTGTCACTAACAGAAATTCAAAACTTTAATTTTTAGTCTGGCTGCAGCTGGACATAAATCACAGGAAAGCTGACTAGACACTCTATACAAGTTGCAAAATCTAGTAACAAGTTTGAACATTTCAAGTGTCTCTATGTACTAAAAAGGCAGCTCTAAAAGTCTAAAATATGTTGATAATTTAAATTGAATGCCAGTGTTGATAAAAATTGGACAACTATGAGGTATTCATTGATATTTTTAACCATTTTCAAAGCTATCCCAGTGGTCAACATTCATCCCTTCCAAGAGGCGCATTGAGTTTTAAAATGGTTGCAGATGCAGCAGATTCACACCCATTAGCAGGATATGATCAAAACACAGCAGGATTATTTACAAATATCATGTGGGCTCACTTGCCAACTATGAGACTTGAGCAAAGATGAAGGGAATTGGTTGATGAAGAAATGTGGCATTTGTCTACATTTCCTTCAACTATCAATTTAAAATTTTGCATTAACTTCAGACTATAATTTTGAAGTGTTGGGATACCATTTTACACAGATCAAATTACTCTTGACTTCAAAATTCAAATTACTCTAAATACCAGAAATATTTAACCTTTTAGCAGGCAAGTTACCATAAAAGATGATTTTAAATCTATTAAAAGACCCACAAAGTGCCCTGGTTTCTGTTATTGTGTCTTTGCAGAGGGCTATCGAATAGCATCTTCAAAAAATTCCATATGCTATTCGTAAGGTGCCAGAAGCAAAAAAAGAGCGTCCCGAGTAGCCCCGTCAAAAGGGGCTACTCAGGACACTGGGAATAAAACTTCATTTTAAAATAAATATTTGAAGCATGCAGAGCGTACTCATCCATTACTAACAATACTCTGAAGTCCTCCTCTTTCATTTTAGATGATGTAGAGGTAGAATAAATGACATTTTCAGTGATTTTTACTTGTTTTTCCTTTATTGATGATATTACCATAAACATTAATTACCGTCAACTGGGGTGACTTTTTTATTTTGTTTTGCAAACAAAAACGGGGTCGTAAACGCTGGGGTCATAAACGCCAGGGTCGTAAACAAGGTCATAAACGCCGGAGTGACTTTGGCCATCCTTTATGACCCCGCTTTTGTTTGCAAAACAATATCGAAAACGCAGAAGTCACCCCAGTTGACTTGACGGTACCCTATTATTGATGCCATATTACTGTCTTATTGATATGATATTACGGTATCCATGAACATGCCATTGAGCATTTACAACAACCTTGTCCACTGCAAGCTTCATATCAGCAGCCTTATAGCATTTTTTCTGTATCTGTAAGCTCACAGGACGGCTTGTAATTTCACACCATTTTAATTGGGTTGAGTGAATTCAATATAAAAAATATAACTCAGTACTCACTGCAGTGAGTGACAGAGCATTTTCTTGTCGACAAAAACTTGAAGTCATAGACGAACTGACAGACAGACAGACTGACATGGCAAGCACGATAGTGCTCGTTTATGCGACATGCGCTAGTTTATGCACCATTTTAATTGGATCAAGTGAATATACTATAAAAAAAAGATCGTGAAAAACATACCTGAAACAGAGAGGAATGTTTTAGTGACAACCATCATATATTTTGGAGAAATAAATCATAGTTTAGGTCAATTACTTTTCATTCTATGATTCCCGGTGCACAATTATATATAGGTATAGTATTCTATGTACAATTTTGTGATGACCGATGATGCACTAATTTTTCGATAAGTGAAATTTTTTTCGCCGAGCGAGGTAAATGTAATCAATATTCTTTGTTTTTAATCCATTTTTTCTTAACTGGACCCTTTGCTTACTGAGGTTCTACTGTAAATGCATTTTTGGGGGTGTCCCGAATAGCCCCGGGGGGGTGTCCCGAGTAGCCCCGCCGTGCGGAAATGGCCGCCATTTTCTTTTTGGAACGAGTTAGAACAATTCCGTCAATTACGTTTTCAAGCCGACACCTGGGTGCATCTTTTATGTAAGTAAAATTTTTTAATATGGCAAATATTTTTTTGGCTACAGACCTTAGCAGAAGTAACTTTTCAAAATAGCACTTTTCACCATTTTTTCAGGAATTTTTCAAAGCTAGTAAATGTAGTATTTTTTAACCTCCTTTATACTAAATAGATAGGAAAAATGTTGATGTTTATGCCACTATATTTAGTTTTGCAATATTCCAATTAGTTTTGCTACTATAACAGTTTTATGCCGTGTCGGAGGACTGTCCCGAGCAGCCCCGCCAGTCCCGAGTAGCCCCGGTTGACAGTACCATACCTAGTCATTTGTCCATCATTCGGTTTATAGCGTCAGCACTTACCATGTTCAAGAAATTAAAATACAAGCATTCAAACAAAAGTTTTGACTTGGAAAACAAAAGCAATGCTCATTCATCATTTTTTCAAAGCCTAAAGTTGCACAAATTATTTGAAAAAATATATATTTTAGAATTGGTTACACTTTCTCATATTTGCTTCATGAATCATCTTTTGCATATTTCTATGCTATCCCACAAACAAGTTAAAGCAAATTACAGAGCAATGAGATTTCATACTTTGGGAAACGTGGAGAAGATATTCAAGAATAAACTTTTTATCTGCCAAAATGATAGCTCAGAAAACAGTAGAAGGTCTTTGCTCACATCATACACAATGATGTCACAAAAATACGTCAGATCAATCATTAAGTAATTGAGCAATAAAACTTTGAGATACCTTAGAATTTTTAGGCAATTAATTTCCTTCAATTTTAAGAGAAGTGGTCAGGATTCCTATAAAAAAAGTTGGTACCTTATGTAGTCAAACAATAGTTAGTACCTTGTACTGACTTGGCTACTAGATAATTATTAACGCAGAAACTCCCATTATTTATTTCAGATCCCTTCATTCCAAATCTGGTAACCATAAATCCAGTAATCCCAAATCCATTCATCCTGAATGGATGAATACCAAGCAAAACCCTATCATCAATAAAATACTTTGAAAACTTTTTTAAAAACCACATTTTTCTTGTGGACTAAGAAGTATAAAATAAATTATGGCTCGCCCCAAAAACGTGTGTCGGGCAAATTTATGATTAAAGCGAAAAGCAAACAACACACAAATTAAATAACAACAAACAAACAAATGCGAAGCTAAGTTAAGAAAAAGTTATAAAAATACAGTTCATGATTTTGAAACTTAAGTATCATAATTTACCAAATGCAATCAATCTGATATTTTGCATGGAACAAATTTCTATCTTTGCAGCAAGTAGTGCGTTCCCAACTTCCCAGTCAGGTTTGCAGTTTTTTCTTCAAAGGCACAAAGTATCCTACTAGGGTAAACGCGGTATGGTATATTGCGACACATTAAGGACGCATCGAGAAATGAAAAACTATAAAAAAAATGTATGCGTTACTCCAGTTCTGTTTGCTTTCTGTGACTCGCAAAACACCGTACTACGCGCCAGCAACGATGAAACGTCACAAAATGTTGCCATATTTATTTAAAAGCCTTTAGAATGCAAACCTACCAAATCCCTATATTCCGACACTGTGTGTGGCAATATTCGGCACGTGGTGAGGCGTATTCCGTCCGCGCTTCAAATTCTAATAATACATAATGCCGTCATCCACATGTTCGAATTCCATTTGCTGTGTGAGCTGTATTGGAATACAACACGGCTTCAAATTAGAACACCAATGAATATTGAACACTACTTAATTATGCTTTTATTAACAACTATTAAGCTTTTAATTAAGCAAATTTTGATTTTTGTACATAGCTTGGAACGATCTGTGTGTGTCCAATTCAAGTTGTGACGGAATTAGTTTTCATGTGTCTAAATCCATTTCTCAACTTAATCATCTATTAATTTATTTACCACTTGAAATCAGCAAATACAAGTATACTTAAAGGATTCCTAATATATTCACAGACGTATTTAAAAGTCTCAAACCATAATATTCTTCCTATAAAAACAGTTATTCACTATTTGGTAGAGCAAGGTCAACTGTCAAATTTGACACATTTTTCGATGATCTCACTGGGTAGTGTGCATTGTCTCTCTTTGGATTTCAATATTTTCCCGCTAGATGGCCAAGACCTAGTGTTTTGGCAGTAGTTCGACGTGCAAATGTATGACCTCACCATTTCAACCATCAACAAACGCATGGAACTAAAACAAAGCTTAATATAAAGGAGAAACTAGAGAGGTGACGGAATTACCCACGATGTTGGAATATACCGCATTTACCGCTTTACCCTACGTAATGAAATCTTGTTGCTCCAAGCCAAGATTTTCAATCAATTTTTAGGGTCATAAAAACTCATAAAGCAATTGAAACAAGCCCGGAATTATTCGACTAACCTGCGCATGTCCATTTTTTTCAATTACATAGAAGATTATTCATTTAGCAGATGACTCGGTGGTCTAAAAATAGCTGGAAAACTTTGGTCATGACTCTGACAGTAGATATATATATTCCACACGGAACACACCTATCCAAGTCATGCACATGGTAATCTTGTATCTCAATTGTACAGTTCAATCAATGAATTAGAAAGGATAGGAGATAATATATCTACTTTAGTCAGTGTAGTGGTCCACTAGTGGATGCATAGTCACTCTGCTCACTCACCTAGCAGTAATCTTGTTGACCCAGCAGCTCTAATTATGGCTTGCACGGTAGATATTTTCTACACTTGTCTTATATATTTTTAAACAAGAAAGTACAAAGTAGTATTTACTAGTATATATATACTATAGCACCAGTAGCTCTTCTTGCACTTCAGAATAATTTTTACGATGGCAAAAATGTAAAGACAAAAACAAAAAATTTACAACTCTGATGACAATAATAAATTTGATGGTCAAATTGTTAAGTAGATTAGTACGAGACTACGAGTCAAGTCAGTCAACCAGCTAGAGCTAGGTCTAACCGTCTAAGGTATGGTACCGTATGGTATGACCGTATGGCCGGGTATTGGCACTTGGCAGTGTGGCACTATTGGGTACCGTTGTACCACTGTAAGTGTAACAGGCTAACACTAACAGCATTTTCATACATATGATATTGGTTTAAATCTAATGTAGCTAATAAAGGAAATTAAAAATAAACTGATTCTAAAAAAATCAGTTTAGCCTATTTTTTCTCTGGTTTGCCACAAGCCCACAATACTCAATAGGCCCCTAATAAAGGCTCATACACTGTGATACACATACCTAGTCCTAGGTACCTACTAGCCCTGTAGCCCATAGTGGCAAAACTGGCAAAGCAGAGAGTTTTTTAGACTCTCTCTAAAGTTCATTTTTGAGTCCTATAAGTAGACCAGTAACCTAAGTATCCTGGATCCCAGCGTTATAATACTTAAAAAAAATTTTTCAATCTTGAGTAAATGAGGAAATTAAAAATGAACTGATTCTAAAAAAGCTCTGGTTTGCCACTATGAACTGTCCTAGCCTAGTACCTACTTCTAGAAAAGTGTGGGCATGGCAATGTAAGTGCAGCAGTGCTTAGCAGTTATATACCATATACTTTTTTTTAGCACTTTGCATTGCAAAAGTTAATTAGATAATATTGGCAATTTCGATAGTTATTCACCATTTTACTTATAATTTATAAAGCAACAAGATAGCCTAGATACCCCAGGGCCCAGGCTCGAGGCTTCCATGTTCCATCTACTTAGTAGGTATTTCTACTATACTACGGTAGGTAGGCCTAGCCTCCTAGAGTCCTAGGTGCATCAAATTCGACTAACCTGCGTATGGCTTTTGTTGCTTTGTCCATCGCTTTTGAAGTATTCTTCAGTTTTCGATATAGACGAATGTGTGAAAATTTATTTCATATTACTGCAAGCCTGTTAACACATAATACATTCAAGTGATTCAACAACAGGTGTCACTCAAGCTTTTACATTCAAGCCACACTAACTAATGAACGACGGCCGAGCGCGAACGCGCTCTGCAGTCTGCACACACCAACGCATGCCCTTGAACAATAAGTTCACGAGTTCTGAGTTACGAGTTACGACAGTGGTTCAATTTTTACGTCCAAGATATATCTATTCACTTGTCTGAATTAGTATATTATAGTGTAGTATAGTATAGTATAGTATAGTATAGTATAGTATAGTATAGTATAGTATAGTATAGTATAGTATAGTATAGTATAGTATAGTATAGTATTAGTATAGTATAGTATAGTTTCTTCGGCGTTGAAGAATAGGCCTGCTCGAAATTACGCGAAAGATTATTCGATTCCTTATCCAGGTCCTATCAGTATGTTAATTTTTTTCATATCATTGTAAAAATTTTCAACTGGTACGCCTTGATAAGAAAAAACACAATATTTTCATTTAAATTGCTTCAGAGGACAGATTTTAAATTGCTTCAGATGCACACTTTCAAAGTCTGCCAATCGACATCGCAATATCCGACCGTCAAATTATTTCTGTGGACGGTGCCATGTGTGCGCCTGGTGCCAGTGTACAAGACCGTTACCTGTCGTCCGTGGCGCGGTCTTGACGGCGATGTCTAACGTGAAAACCTGCAATTATCCCAACTATGTCAGCCTAACTCATGGTTGGCACTATCAATCAACGGCCTGGTGCAACTCTTTAACTCCTAGCTGACCTGTGCATTCAATGACCTCATTCGATCCTGCACGCACAGTTCGGGGTACCCCAACGAGTCTCCGACCCATGGTTTGATTGTGAATGCCGAGTCTCGAAGCGGGGGATGCGACTGATCCAGCGGGCTGTCTACCGGGCGAACTGACGCGGCAATCCTGCTGCTGCCGCTGCTGTATCCTCGAAACTCCTGGAACGCGTTGTGGCGCGACAGCTGAACAAAAATCTTCAGCAGTCCAGTCTAATGCCTCGCCTCCAGTCTGCATACAGTCATCTCCACTCAACGGAAACTGAAGGTGCTTTCATACATTCCTGCTGAAGGTGCTTTCAGACATTCTGAGCGCAGTAGACCGTGGTGACATTGCGGCAATATCTTTAATCGACTTGTCGTCCGCGTTTGATACGGTCGACCAAGCCACTATATTGCACTGACTTGACGTATCATTTGGCCTGCGCGGCACAGTGCTGCTGTGGTTCGAGTCCTATCTCAGCAATAGATTCCACTGCGTTCGATGCGGCAACTTTTCTCCCACGCCATCATTGGTCACTTGCGGCGCTCCACAGGGATCAGTTCTCGGTCCAATCCTTTTCCTGTTATATACTTTCGACGTATTGCTTATAATCGATTCACATAGTTTGAATCCGCACATGTTTGCCGACGACATCCAAATTTATGGCTAATGTGAACCGGCTGACGCCATAGCATGGCAGGATCGAATGTCTGCCTGCATGGACGCTGTCGCAGACTGGATGCGCTCCAACCGGCTTCAGCTCACGACATCAAAAACCGACTTTATTTGGTTTGTGACTGCTCGGCGCCAGCATCAGCTTCCGGCCAACCCTGTTCGCGTGGGCAACGAGTTCGTCAGCAGTTCGCAACCTGGGAATTCTGCTGGACTAGGAACTTTCAATGAACAGTGACATTGCCAAAGTCACCACCGCTTGCTTTGGCACTCTGAGACGAACACGGTAACACCTAGCATCAGCCGCTGTCTTTCGAGGCCGGTCATTGAGGCCCTTGTGGTGGCACTCGTTCTGACCAGATTGAACTATGATAATGCCACACTTTATGGATTTCCTAATAAATTACAATACGTAATGAACGTTCCTGCTTTACTCGTGTGCAATAAGCGAAAATTCGACCATGTGACGCCGATATTGCGCGATATTCACTGGCTGCGCATTCAGCAGCGCACGCAGTTCATGGTCGTTATTCTGACGTTCCGATGCCTTCACGGTCTGGCGCCTCCTTATCTCACGGAAGGTCTGAAGTGCGTGTCGGATCTGCCTTCTAAAAGACGATTACGCTCGTCATCAACAGCGGAGCTCGTCCTACCATCTACACCGTACACGTCTATCTACCGTCGGCGACAGAGCATTCCCGGTTGCCGTCGTCATAACCTGGAACAGTCTGCCGGCTTCCGTAACCTCAGCTCCTTCGTTGCAAAAGTTTCATCGACGCCTAAAGACGGAACTATTTTGTAGAACCCATTAATCTAGTGATTAGTCATTTTATCCGTTCCCTTCCTTTCTTGTGTCTATTTTTTTCGCATGCCATTAATCTTAAGTGCGACATGCCCTCGAACTTCGTTTGAACCAGACGCCACGATAAATGCTTCGTGGAATAATATTAATAATAATGATAGCTCCATTATCCATTTGATCCAAGTGTATAACCAATCATGTACGTTCGAACACGGGTGTTCAATAACCCAGAGAATTCATCTACTTAAATTTTCATGATCTAACAATTTTCCTCAGATGACGTTGGTTGATCAAAATCCTGGTTTATGGCAGTAAATTTCACATAACATAACATAACATAACATAACATAACATAACATAACATAACATAACATAACATAACATAACATAACATAACATAACACAACATAACATAACATAACATAACATAACATAACATAACATAACATAACATAACATAACATAACATAACATAACATAACAACATTGTGATGTCGGCGCTGAAGAATAGATCTGATGTGGCCTGATTTATAGGCATTGAATACAGAAATTCTGCTGAAAATAAGTACATAATTCTCGTAAATATACAATACGAAAATTTGGAACCGTGCTCCGAAACAATCTCAAAGCTCAGAAAATCAGGTTGTTGAGAGATGTTTTTTAAAAAAAACACGTTTTTCTTGTGGACTAAAAAGTAGAAAATAAATTATGGTTCGCCCCAAAAAAACGTGTGTCGGGCAGATTTATGATTAAAGCGAAAAGCACACAACACTTAAATTTTGGAAATTTGATGGTGAACGTACAGCCCGACCCACGTTTTTTTTGGGGCGAACCATAATTTATTTTCTACTTTTAGTCCACAAGAAAAACGTGTTTTTTTTAAAGTTTTTTCAAGTATTTTATTTTCTACTTTTTAGTCCACAAGAAAAACGATTAAAACTTGATTAAGTATGACTTGACGTACGTATCGATGATACGCAGCGTCAGCGCCTTCTCGTCTATAACGTGAGCGCCCGCACGTCATACTATATATATACTATATATAAACTTTACTCAATAAAACTAATTTAGTTCTCTAATTACTAGTTTTTAACACGTTTTTAAAACGTTTTTCTTAGCTTAGCTTCGCGTTTGTTTGTTTGTTTGTTTGTTTGTTTGTTGTTAACATTGACAACGAAAATTAGCCCACTTCTGATTGTTCTAGAGATCTGAAATTCGGCATGCAGGCTATTTTCGCCTAACAATTTTAGATACAATCATAAAAACTAGTAATTAGAGATCTAAATTAGTTTAATTGAGTAAAGTATATATATAGTATATATATATAGTATGACGTGCGGGCGCTCACGTTATAGACGAGCAGGCGCTAACGCTGCGTATCATCGATAGGTACGTACGTCAAGTCATACTTTATCAAGTCTTAATCGTTTTTCTTGTGGACTAAAAAGTAGAAAATAAAATACTTGGAAATTTTTTTTTTAAAAACACGTTTTTCTTGTGGACTAAAAAGTAGAAAATAAATTATGGTTCGCCCAAAAAAACGTGGGTCGGGCTGTACGTTCACCATCAAATTTCCAAAATTTATCTTGTGTGCTTTTCGCTTTAATCATAAATCTGCCCGACACACGTTTTTTTGAGGCGAACCATAATTTATTTTCTACTTTTTAGTCCACAAGAAAAACGTGTTTTTAAAAAAAAAAATTTCAAGTATTTTATTCTTAGCTTAGCTTCGCGTTTGTTTGTTTGTTTGTTGTTAACATTGACAACGAAAATTAGCCCACTTCTGATTGCTCTAGAGATCTGAAATTTGGCATGCAGGCTATTTTCGCCTAACAATTTCAGATTCAATCATAAAAACTAGCAATTAGAGACCTAAATTAGCTTAATTGAGTAAAGTATATATAAATATTGTCGGGCAGATTTATGATTAAAGCGAAAAGCACACAACACTTAAATTTTGGAAATTTGATGGTGAACGTACAGCCCGACCCACGTTTTTTCTGGCGAGCCACAATTTATTTTCTACTTTTTAGTCCACAAGAAAAACGTGTTTTTTTAAAAAGTTTTTTTAAGTATTTTATTTTCTCCTTTTTAGTCCGTTGCTGCACATGAAAAACGTTGTTGCGAGCCAATTTACTTGACTTGACGTACGTATCGATGATACGCAGCGTAAGCGCCTGCTCGTCTATAACGTCAGCGCCCGCACGTCATACTATATATATACTATTTATATATACTTTACTCAATTTAGCTAATTTAGGTCTCTAATTGCTAGTTTTAATAATTGTATCTGAAATTGTTAGGCGAAAATAGCCTGCATGCCAAATTTCAGATCTCTAGAACAATCAGAAGTGGGCTAATTTTCGTTGTTAATGTTAACAACAAACAAACAAACAAACAAATAAACAAACAAACAAACAAACGCGAAGCTAAGCTAAGAAAAACGTGTTAAAAACGTGTTAAAAATTAGGGCTTCAGTTATCGTCTGTCGGATGATGTTTGGCCACCGCAAGATGACAATGCTTGTGGGTTCCTCCATCACAGTGATGCTGACAGTCTCGTTGTGTTTGACGTTGTTGAGGGTAGCACGGAGCCTATTGAATTCATCGCGAATCTTGAGATGAAGTTTCCCAATTGTAATGCTTTGAGACCTGGTTGCGAGCTTATCTCTGATGTCAGGATAAACGGCTGCTCAATGTCGTAGTTTTTACTCCAATTACTCCAATGTAGTCCAAATAATGAAGAAGTCTATCACCTTTTTCGAAGCAAAATTTATAGATTAATTCAGATTCTTGAAGAACTCTCGCTCTTTTAAAGGGGGCTTAGCAGCGTATAGTTTAGGGTTTGACGTCAAACACGACACCTTTGACAACAACGTACGTTGTTGTAAAAAGTGTCGTGTCACGGAGCCTGTTGAATTCATCGCGGATATTGAGATGGAGTCGCTCGATTGCAATACCTTGAGATCTTGTCATGTTGCGAGTTTGTCTTAGGTGGTACAAGAAACGGCTGCTGATATAAGTACAGGATACAGCAATAATAGATCCCACGTCTTTCCTCCCAAACTGCAACCGCCCACTAACCTGTGTGTTTTTATTGCCCTACAACCTCATCAGTCATTTCGCAGATCTTGCTTTCCTCTGCATCTTTTGCGCCCACATTAAATGTATAGATGCTAGTAAGCTAGTCAATAGTAAGGCCTAACGGACGACTTTTACATGGAATTATGAGAATGAAAAATGTACTCGGTTTTAATTAATGTATGAATAGCATTATTGTTGACATAGACAGACGCGGTATATATTTCATATTAGTTAAAAATGAGCGAAATCGAGATGTATGCATGTGTGTAAATACAACAGTAAAGTATAGAGTGGAATAACTGTGGACGAACAGGGGAAAGGGTGGAGAGGGAGCCGAGTTCATTACAGATGGGGAAGGAGTGGGAAAGAATAAGATTGCGGGGACAGATGAGCTCAGAAAAATATGGTCAGTGTGGACGTGAGAAAACAAAAGTCACAAATTTTGACAAAGCACGTCAACAGCGGTTATAGCTGGAAGTGCAGCAAAAGTGAGAGCGAGCAGGAATGAAGTATTAAGGAAATGTAAAAAGTGTGGTTGTTTAATGTATTATATACGAAATTTATGTGATAGCATACAATTGTCGCAGACAGCTCTCATATTATATCATCATATCATAGTTATGTCGGCACTGATGAATATGCCTGGAGCGGCCTATCGACCATTCTTGTACTTCTCGTGACTTTTCGCCAGAGATCTACAAACAGGTCCTTTGACCGGATCTAATCAAAACTGACGTAAGTTTGAAACAGCTGCTAGAGTTCTACTAGGGTCAATATGGGGCTAGGTGTTTCAAGTCTGAACATATATTTCTCCATAGCTTTATTTGCTCGGTTCTTGAACTCCTTCAAACCCGGAGCGTCAACGACGTAATCAGGGAGGCAGTTCCACATGTCGGGACTCGAAGCGAGATGAAGTGAAGTGTTTTGTCCCCCACCAGTTGGGACTCGCGTGGATAAGTTGCAACGCATTTTTAGCGCATTTTCTCATTTATGAAAAAATGCCCTATTGTGCTCGTCATATCCGTCAGTCTGTCATATCCGCCTGTCCATGACTTCACGTTTTCGTCGACGAGAAAATGCGCTCTCTGAACACTCACTGCAGTGAGTACTGAGTTATATTTTCTTTAGTTCATGGCCGTAGCCCCTGGTGTTGGTTCTTGCTTCAAATTCTAGTAGTTCTTCTGTATACTTGTACAAACCAAGATACTCTAGTCCACACTACTGTTCAAGTTTATTCATTGGATGAATTATTTAAAAATTTAATTAGGATTTTAGCCCACCTTGCACGCCTTACAAACTCAGCGTGTAGCGCACTACATGAAAACGAAGGTGGCAAAAAATAATTCTGACAACGCTTGCAGGATTGTATTGTGAATAAATTGCTTCGTTGTTAATTAGGTTAAGAGCGGTTACAACTTAACAAAATATACGTGAAAAATCGGCTAAAACTTAGTGAAATGTTTTAACAATGCTCGCAGGAGCGTTCTGTCAATAATATAATGATCATTGTTTAAAAGGTCAAGATCGGTTTCGATGTGACGAAACTATGCGTAGAAAACACACAAAACCTAGCGTTTAGCATGCTAATTAAGATCAAAGTTATAAAAAAAATCTGTCGATGTCAATAAGTACCTCCTTTTAATAAGTCCCTGATCGGTTTCGATTTTACAAACTTATTCGTGGAAAACCTGCGTTGGAAATTCGTCCCATAAGTGTTGTGGTATCTTTCTTCTGAAAGTTGTCCGAGCAGACATTGTGAAGTCCAACCGATTCGACACTTCAGCGAACTCGCCTGCGAGCTTCGAGCTCGCAGGCGAGTTCGCAGGCGAGTTCGCTGAAGTGTCGAATCGGTTGAAGTCCATGGTTTAACGTGTAAATGTCAAGAAATCGCCTCGGAACTTACGATGCACCAGGCTTGGCGCTTTTTTCGGCTTGAACTCAGCTACAGCAATGATTTTCCGACTCCAGTTCCCTCAACCATGCAACCAAGCATTAGCTTTCTGCGGCGTTTTATCAACTCTACCAGTGCAATACCAGCTATAAATTGACTTTGCTACAATGAAAATTTTTCCAAATCAAATTCGCCTTATTACCAATTTCATTTTTATGTTACTTGGATTTAAGACGCAGGATATCGCGATTTTCGAAAATTATCGTAGGACGGCACTTAAAATGATTGATAAACTGTCATAAGGTTTTAGATGAAATTGAGTCGAGAGCGTTAAAGGCAACACTCCATTGTGCTCCGCGCATTTTGCGTTAGATCATGAAACTGCTCATATGTACCGAATATGGTGCCAGCCAATAAATAGTTATCGCGATCATTCAAAATGAACGTGTCCAACGAACAATTTAAAATAGTGGGCTTGGAGTTCTCCAGGCGGCATTTGAATGTTTTAGCAAAGCGTGGCTGCGGGTTTGGAGAAGTAGACGATGAGCTGTCGCGACATGTCACCGCTTTGGTAAGGCTCATGTTTTAAGTGCAAAGAAGTTAGGGCTTTATAAATTGTTTAATTTTGAATTACCAATTACTGAATTATTTTTTATGCGAGATTCTGTTCCTAAAATTTGATTTTCATGCGAATAACGGCAGGAATAGTATATATTAGGTAATTCATCCACTGCCGACTGGGGCCCAGAGACCAGAGGCAGAGTACCTAGCCTAGCTAGCTCCTACCTAGCTTAGCTAGCTAGCTACCTAGTCTTGCTAGTGGCAAATGGCCATCACAACTTTGAAGTTGACAGTTCATTTTTAATTCCTAATGAGCATCAAGATTTGATTATATTCTTCTTTAAAATTATTCTGTACCTATTTAAACTACCTAATCTCTATTGCTGGTAGGCCTAGGCCTATGTGGTAGGCTCCTAATTACTCTACCTACTGACTACTGAGTACCTACTAGGCTACTTATATAGCCTATTTACATGTCTAGAATTTTAACTGGAATACCTATTCTGGAAAGTGCAAGAGAACCAAAAATTAAAGTCTGTAACTAACACTAAATGTCAATTCTTAAAAATGAATTTGAGGATCAGTCTAAAAAAAGGTCTCTTCTTTGACTTAGAATTGACTAGGTAGCTAGCCTATAATAGGTAGCCTAGGTAGGTATAGTTACTAATGGCAAAATTTGATAGTAGCTAGCTAGCCCTACCTAGGCATCTAGGTAGGGCATGATGACACGGTTGATGGTCCAGGGGCAGGCTGGAATTCTATGATGGTGCATGGGCCATGGAGCTTGTCATTTTGGGGCAGATGCATATTGATCTCCAGATTGTAATTGGTTCATGGTTGTGACGGCATTCACTTCAGACTATGATTGGTTGGTCTGTACAGCACAGGCTGGAATTCTAGGATAGTCAATAGTCATAACTTCATAAGACCATAGCCTAGGCCCTAGTGCATGACCATGATCCATGAAGCCTGCCATTTTTGGGTGGATGCATGTCTCTTGTTAGATTTTGATTGGTTTTGACTTGTGATGTCATCCTCTCCAGGCTGTGATTGGTTCATTTGGTTGGTGGGATAAAGGGATTGTGATATTGTGATTATTGTCCTCTGGCAGTGATTGGTTGGTGGGATTGTGATGTCATCCTCTCCAGACTGTGATTGCTTGTGTCCAATATGCTCTGTAATCTGGTTAATTTAATACCTCTCCAATTGAAGCCTGATCAATTTGACACCAATGCTTGTTCACAATTTCATCCATTTCTATTGCATTTGCTTAATATCTATGGTTAAAATAAAGAACCACATTTTTGTTGGGAATGTTGGCAGTTTTTGAATATTAATAAGAACAAAGATTCTATTCAATTTCTTTAGAATAATCTAAAAAATGGGATATTTGAGGTGCAGGTTGATTACTGTAATCGTTACTGTTCAACGCCTAATGCAAGTTTAACTAGTAATAATGCATCATGACCATTCATCATGAAGATGAAGATATCTTGGCAGAATTTTCTAGTGTGAACTGTGAAAGGGAGATAGGTTCCCTTGATGATTGGTCTGTTGATCATTCATGATTTCATGTGTAGAAACTTCTTTTACTAGCCAATCCTGAAATTTGTGTGCTCATGGTGCTTTTTCCAGGTTCCTGCATATGGATAACCAAAGTGGCCTTGTCTATTGTTGACCTCATTTATATAGTTAAATATACTTACCATCTATTTTTAAGAATGTATTGAACCAGAATTATTTTGTATATTCATATACTTGTACAGAAAATATCTGCAATTTACACATTAATATTACTCTATGTGTAATGTATTGTTGAAGTGCATTACAGTTTTCATCGGGAAGCCATAGTTGACTTCTTGGAATGGTGGTTTTAATGTGGTTCTTATTTTCAAGCTCAATTTAGCCTAGTTTGACATTAACACAGGTTTTTACACACTTTGAATAGTTTTAATTGTTGTATATCTGTAGCAGTACACAATCTAAAGCTTTGCTGCCAGTTTTTTGAGCTGCAAGATTCTCACTAGATGAATTATCTCCCATAACATAAACCAAAGTACATTATCAAGCTACAAAATTCCATTATTATTTAAAATGTAGCTTTGCAGCTGCAAGATTTCAGTGATAGGTTAGAATTTTTATAGCTTTCATATTTGTATCTTACAGCTTCAGAAATTCACCCTTCATGGAGCTTCTTGTTGACTGAAGTTAGATAAAAGTGGCCACTTGTATGGCACCAACAGAAGACTTGGGCAATATTGAAGCCACACTGCCCAAGCATGGATTTTTAGTTCTGTGACTTTGAAGATGTTATCATTCTGCAAATTTAGATTTGTATTTTTTCTCATATATTCTGAAAATATTAAATATAATTTTGCCTCACAGCCTCAGGAAATTGCATTATATCAAATTGTTGACACTCCATTAACTTGAACAGTTGTAAATTAAATTCAAATGTGAAATTATGGCACTTTAAAATTCTGGGGACTGGTTCTACTCATCCTTGCTATTTAAAGTGAAAATTATGAAATGTGGGGCATCATTTATGAGGCACAATGGTTACTTTCTAATGAACGACACTTCATTTTAGATTACAATACAACCCACCCATATATATGTAATAATTTTGACCAAGTACCTCAACTTCCACTAAAGTGATTTGAGACATTACAACCAGGTAATTCCTTCATACAAAGTCCATGTTGTGATTTTTATAGGACTTGAAAATGAACAAGCAAAAAAAAAATTTAACTCAAATTATTTGAAAATGAACTCAGCTGGTAAAAAAAGTAATTAAGTGTAAAGGATTGTCAATGTCAAGGCAAATCACTAGGCTTCTCTGAGTGTTTATTGCAAAAAGAGAAGTGCATATTTGTTTCACATGCAGACCAAGTTTATCGTAGCTGAAATGGCCTAGTGCTCAATTTTGATATCCATTTATATATGCGTTTCTTCTGGCCTACCAACAATGGATAATTAATCTAGTGACATTATTACTTGGATGATTTGAACAATTAGATAACAGCAGTGGAATCCAACTCTGGTCACATATGCTAGAGTGTTTGATTATTTCGACAAATTCGACTACTGTATAGACAGATATCATAACATAGTGATCTCGGTGCTGCAGTGTAGGCCTGATGTGGCCTGTCGCCGATTCTTTTCCTTTTTGTGCCTTGTTCACAGAAGATCTAGAATTGTGTCATTTGACTGGATCTTTTTACGGCTGACGAAAGTTTGAATTAGCTACTCGACTTCCACCGGGTTTGATAGGGTGCTAGGCATTTCAAATCTGAACATATATTTTTCCATAGTTATATCTAATCTGTTCTTGAACGCATTCATACTTGGAGTGCCAATGATGTCATCTGGGAGGCTGTTCCACATGTTGGTGAAATGAGACATGCATCTGAAGTCATGCATCTGAAGGACATATTGAATAACTTTTTATATATTGAGAAAATAACCTTGTTCCCATTTCAGCCAAAAATTATTTCTTTAAATTTATTTGACATTACAAATTCTTGCCTAACCATCCATAGAAAAGAATTGTTCAGTACCTTGTTATCAATGGTTGGCAAGTTTTCCTGGCAGAACTAGACATGACTTGAATGTTAGCTCCTATTAGCACTTATGTTATCCTAGAAAATGTATGCAACTTTCTTAATCTTGTATTTAAAGTATTCATAGGTAGATGAGCAAATTTATTTGAACTGCATAAAACATTGACAGAAATTATTTTAAAATCTTGAGTGCACCTGTGCCTAAGTAATTTTCCTGCAAAGCCCAAATGTCTCTGTTGGTCATAGATTATGATGATGAGAAGTGAAGCTATTTATATTGAGCATTAATTGTCCTTTTATACCCAAAATAACGATTTCTTAAGTTTAAAATAAATTGGGATAGCAAAGATGTATATACAGCTACTTTGATACTTAACTGAAAATTCATTCCTAAGTTCAAGCTGATGAACTTGAAAAGAGAGTTCTAGTATCTAAAACGTTATTAATATTTGAGTCTGAACTATTATTACTTTTTAACACGTTTTTCTTTTTCTTTACTCAGCTTTGCGTTTGGTTGTTTGTTAACATTGACAACAAAAATTAGCCCACTTCAAATTGCTCTTGAGATCTGAAATTTGGCATGCAGGCTATTTTCGCCTAACAATTTCAGATACAATCATAAAAACTAGCAATTAGAGACCTAAATTAGTTTAATTGAGTAAAGTATATATATACTATATATATAGTATGACGTGCGGGCGCTCATGTTATAGGCGAGCAGGCGTTGACGCTGCGTATCATCGATACGTACGTCAAGTCATACTTAATCAAATCTTAATCGTTTTTCTTGTGGACTGAAAAGTAGAAAATAAAACTAAAAAAAAACTTATTAAGAGAAACACATTTTTCTTGTGGACTAAAAAGTAGAAAATAAATTATGGTTTGCCCCAAAAAACGTGGGTCGGGCTGTACGTTCACCATCAAATTTCCAAAATTCGTGTGTTGTGTGCTTTTTGCTTTAATCATAAATCTGCCCGACACACGTTTTTTGGGGGCGAGCCATAATTTATTTTCTACTTTTTAGTCCACAAGAAAAACGTGTTTCTTTTAAAAAGTTTTTTTTTAAGTATTTTATTAAAGCTTCCATTGTTCTGAGTTCAGCTGCCATATTATTTTGATGATTACATTTATTAGGGTTTGATTGGAGAGGTTTAGAAATTTACATAGGTCATGGGTATGCAACAGTTATGGATGGCTACATCTTATTGTGTGTTTTCAATTTTTTGTTCACAGATAGCAGAGTTGATCCCACAGTTAGAGCTGTGTCCAGTGCTTCTCTCTCAGCTCTCTATTGGCGACTTGGTTCTGGCGTTCATACGCCTTGAGGGAGATTTAGAGCCTGGCTTGCATCGTCTTAAAATCTTGGGTTTGTTCTCACTGCTTCAGTACTTATCCTATTTACAACAGGGATAACAAATTATTTATCCTATTGTAAAGCTGTAAGGAAGTAGAATGAAGAAATACCTCTTATATTGATGGAGAGTGTGAAATAGTGTGAGAATACCATTGAAATCTCATTTTTATATCTACTTCATTTGCAGTTAATTTTCATCTAAATATTCAGTTATTCATGTGTAATGGACTCCTACTGTCTGTTGGTATTATCTGTATTTGAATGTGTATTTTGTTTAACTTGATTGGGTGTCAATATATTGATGATATATCTTGAAATGTCACCAAAGTGGCATTTCAAAAGTTTGTTTTACCAAAGTTCTCCTTGAGGGTGCAGGTTTATTTTAAAAATTAAATTAATTAATTACTTGATAAATTGTTATTATAATTAATTTATTATTAACTGTAACCCAATATTTCAGGTATCAAAGTGAAAAATCAGACGGTGACTGGAGTTTTCATTGATCGTTGTCAATGGTATCAAAGCATGAGCATGACCTGCCTCTTCACATGTCCTGCTTTAATAAAATCCATTGCTCCTGTGTGCGAGGTCCTGCGTATTGCTGGAGTTAGCCCTCCATATCCTACCTCTCAGGTCAGCCTTCCTACTGGTGAGGCCTTTACCCCAACAAAGCTCCTTTGCGAAAGTGCCCTGTCTTTTGCTTGTCACACTCATGGACAAAAACCAATTACGAATCAACCTAGTGAAGTGGACGTGGTGCAATTTGTTTCTGAAATGAGATTTTGTCCCCGGTCACCTTTATGGCCCTCGTCTAACTCTCGAGTGATAGTGAGATTTAATCCAGCGGGACCCTGGCTTCAGGCTTCTGTGTTGACCATCAATGAAATGTTGCTCGGTGCTGACCTGTGTGGCCGCGTGTGTCGAGAAGCTTCCAAGACTTCGCTGTTTTATCCTCTTGATCCTGCCGGATCTGGCAGGCTGCTATCTGATGTCCTGGCAGAGCGTGGTCTCACGCTAGCTAATGTGCCAAAGCCTGAACAAAATTCGAAGCCTGGTATCCCGACCTCTGTACCAACAATTCACCCTGGATTTTTGGAGCTTCGTCCAGAATTTTCTGACACAAGGAATTCAATGACACAAGGAATTGCTTCAACCCCTCAGATTTGCCCACCAAAACCTCAAGCAGAAAGTTTCAAGACGGTCATTTTCGCAATTGGAACCTATGACTTGTGTCGAGTTTTATCGGTGGAAAGAGGTCCTTGGAAGTTCACAATTGGGTTGTTTTCGCAGCTCGAAGACACCAAAAAGCTGCGTATGCTATTAAACAATCGAGAACGTGTTATTTGTCCCCCCAGCGAGCTTGAAGTTGGCAGTTGCGTCATCGCCCGGCGTGAGGTCGATAACTTACGGTACCGAGCCGTTGTAACCCATCCTCCGTTGGGCCAATATGTCAAGGTCCTTTTTGTGGACATCGGGGAGAACGGCCTAGTATCGTGCGATGGATTGTCGGCTGTTTCAGCCGAACTAGCCGCCATACCACTGCTCTCCATTCGTTGCCGTCTCGAGGGATTACCTGATCTCCCTGACGCTCAAATTAGTCGCGTGTTTCATCGCGTTATCGCGAAAGACGAATCTTATGCTCTAATGGCAACGGTCGTACGTTACGTGGAGAAGGAGCGAGTGACGGTTATCCACCTCGATGTTAAATTCCCTGCATCGGAACATCACATGCTGGATCTTATTGCTCAGCCTGATTTTGAGAGAAGAGAACTTCGTGGTGGCGAGAAGGCACTTGTGGCATATCATGACCCAATCAATGATTTCGTTTTCTTTCACCTACAAGAGAACCTATCGTTGGTGAGTAGCCTTCGGATCTTTTGTGTAAACGAATACTCTGCTTTTGTTTTAGTTTTAGAATCTGAAAATATTGAAAGCCCATTTTTCTTATGCTGATGACTAATTATTACGTTTTCAGGTGGATGCTATTCAGGAACGCATCGCTAACTGCGCTGCAACACCTCTGGAGTGTGAGCCGTGCCCTGAGATGCCATGCCTTGCTCCTTATGAGGGCGAGCTGTATAGGGCTTGCGTGGTGTCTTGTGACGATCGCAAAAACACCGTTCAGGTGCATATCACGCTTTCCTTTCAATTTGCTTTGTGTTTTCTGTTATTCTACAAGCCGTGATATCATTTTAATGCGTCTTTTATAATTTTACATGCCTCACATTAATTTACATTTTTTTTGTTCTTTAAGCGGCCTCGCAATCATTGTAATGTATTTTTTGTTATTTTTTCGTGTCTCACAATCATTGCCATGCGGTAGTTATTCCATGCGATGTTTTTGTTAACCTCAAGGCGATCTTAAATTAATTTTGAATCGATGTACCTGGTCATGAATGAGTAATAGTGTAATAATAATAGTCTAACTTATAATAATCGAATATTGTACGATATTTCGATTACATATGAATGAATATTGATTTTCATTATTCGTAGTTCGACGGTAAAAGTTGGATTTTTCATAGTTTTGGACCACCTGAAGTGTCACCTTGAAATGCTTCTCATGCATACGTAGTCCATGATTTGTACCCCAGAATATTGGAAGAATGTAGGGTGATGACTGGCCCAATTGTGTGCGTTCATGACCATGTCTCAAACAGTCAACATGTGCGTGCTACCATAATTTAAAACGCGATTACAAAGGACTTGACTATCTATAAATATAAACTAGAATTCCAAGTTGTTGTTGGTATCTTGCTTGTCGTTTAAATTTGCCTTCTGACAGGTGTATTTTGTGGATTATGGCAACCTTGCTAGCGTGGAGAAGACGGCACTGCTGACTCTGCCTCCTGATCTGCTGAGTGTCCCAGCGCAGGCTTGTGGTGCTCTTGTAGAGCTCGACAAGCAGCAACACCAGGAGCCTTCCTTCACCGTCGAGCAGCTGCTGCAGGTGCGGTCTTGCCGTTTATATATGTAAAAGATTTTTGCAGGGTACTATATTAATGGCTAATCGTGTCAGTATGTGTTGCATATCTAAACTAAAGCAATCAAAATTGTCTTGAAAATCCTGTGAATGAGGTGTACTGGCATGGGGTTGTATTGAAATAATGAAAACATTTCGTTTGTACAATTCTTAATGTATCTATAGGCGTTAGTGTAGATTGTACATTCTTGCCCAGTATTGTTGTCACAATGTTGTGATAACATGAGAACGATTGTTCTTTCAGCTAAAGGATTAATTTAAGACAATCAAGACAATGGAATTAAGACTTGGCCTTCTAGTGCTGCAAATTTTAAAGTTAACGATTTAGTTTGGTGTGCTTGTTTCTAAGACTCAGGGTGATATTAACGAATAAATTAGCATGCAGGTCCTAGATTCATAATCAAATCGCGCATTCTGAGCCTTGAACGTTACATACCTTTTTGAAAAATTGTCTTATTATTGGGCATCAAAGGAATGTGGTCTAGTCAAATGTTGTTCACAGCACAGAAAAGTTGATGAATTACACTTAGTATTGTAATGAGGCGTATCAAGGAGCGTTCCATTGAAAGCTTGTCTATATTACATGCAGTGTTCACCGACCTGTCCGTTAGCGTGCGCTGATACTCATATATAGCGTTCTGTTGCTGATAATTCGGCTGTGATATTCATCTGGGTTGATATCAAACGCACCAATACTGTTTTCCGATAGCTACTAATGGCTTTGTGTTCTCCAGTATTTTTTAATGCCACCCTTCTACTTGTTCAATGCGCCTATCGAGCCAATTTTCGCGGAACCTCGCGAAAATTCTAAAAAAATTAGTCTTTGTTCTCGTCTAAACGTCAAATCAGACGGCGAGCTTCTGTTCGGGGCCTTGATTGTTTAAACCCAAAAGAGGGGTTTTTGGGTTCGCGTCTCTAATTTTTCAAGTCACTTACTTTTCATGAATCAATCGCAAATTAAAAAATAATTTGGGTCCGTTGAGGCACATTTCTATTTAAAACGTCTAATTCGTGAGATAATTGAAGGAACTTCTCTACGAGCGGGACTTTGAATCCGTGAAGAGCCCAGGCTGCAAAACAAATGCGCCGCAACTCCACGGTAACGGTGCCGCGATTTCATTTTTTAGTTTTCGTTAGTACTCGGGCTGCGTGTTGTGTAATGGAAAAACAAGAACGTGGTCAAACAGAGCGCATCAAAAGGCAACTTTTTGTTATGAAAATTGTTTTTCTAAATCATCCGTCAGGTCGTGGTACGGTGCCAACGTTGGCTCTTTGGATGTCGCTCAAAAGGTTCCAGGGACTTGCTGATGGTTTACCGATGCAAAACCATCGTTTGCACTAGAGTTGCTCCTGTCAACTTTTTCAAAAAAACTCTCGAAGACCGTTTCTTTTTTTGCGATGTTAAGTTTTTTGGAAAAAACTACAAAAAAATACGTCTTCCAGGCGGTAAAGGAATCAGGACTCACTCCAGTGATCCAAGTGAAGCTTGGAAGATCCCAAATTACGGTCCCTGAGTTAGTCCAGCCAATTGGGTCCACAGCCACTCGAACCCAACCAAACCTTGCCAAGGGAGGTGATAGAAACGCGACAGACTCTTAGACATATACTTAATAATTGGTAATCTAAATGAAGGCCCAGATGTAGGTAGGGCTCCGTGAAGCAGGCAAGGCTCCGTGAAGCAGGCAAGGCTCCGTGAAGCAGGCAAGGCTTGCGCCAGGTAGGAGGATGATGAAGATGAGGAGCCGGTACGTTTACTCGTGGATGAGTAGCCCTCTGGTGGCCAGTCAGTGGGTCTATCTGTCATAGAATGCATGGGTTAGCAATCGCCGGTCTGGAACATTCGGGTTTAAATGGAAGGCATGATAAGAGGAGCCAAGGCGATTACAAATGAACTAATTATCGATCGTAGTTACACAAGTGATCATCCAACAGATGGATATATTGACAACGACGTTTAAGGCAGGTAAACTACCAGGAATCGAAAGTAGGACTTACCGAAGGTGGACGACTAGCAGCGCGCTATCCACCTCCCACGAGTTCTAAGGAGACAATGAGCAGTAGTCGATACCTGCGGCTGGTAATTAGCTATGTACCTGCATGACGTGGCGCTGCGGACCAATGAAGGTTGGCCGCTGTTGCCATGCCTGATGAATTTCCCCTACACAGGCATCCATCAGAAATTCATATCTAGTCAAAAATGTTTGTCCAGATGTGGTCTACAAGATATTTTTGGCAAAATTTAGTCCTCGCTTAGACCTTTTTAACTAAAAATCTATAAAACCTCTCGACTTGTCCAAAATAAGTCTTGTCAAAAATCTAAGTCGAAGCCTCAATGGGACTGACCCTCCTTTTGGTGATGGGCGAAATGGGGTACATACATATTTAAGGCCATTTTACTCGGCCAACACAAAAGCCACAAGTGCTAAACGTTTTAAAAATTTGGAGCATAATCATATGGTATCTTTCATACCCCTCAGGCCATGCAACTGGCCAATGTGCCGTTGCCTCGCCTCCTAGCCACACATGGTGTCCTGTTATAAAATCTACTGCCCCCTTATGGGCCGGGTGGTGTTGGGCGTGAAGAAAATCATAATCTGACTGCAAATAAATGATTAATCATTACGTATAAATAGTAACTTAGTCGCGCATTTTGGAATGCAATGGTGCAAGAACGTTTTACGGGGAAAGGCGTTGGGAGTTCACCTGCCTGTATAAATGAAATTGTGGGACGGGACTACATTTTACACGCAATACAATGAAAGAGATTGACTCTGCAACGAATTGTGCAGCGTAGGTTTTTCAGGACACCAAGGTTTTATGCCAGTTATAGCTTTGTTGTATTACTAGCGAGATATTCGCTGAAGAAAGGCACAAATGTGACTTCAGATTGCCAAGGATATATTTTTGTGATCGATTAGCGTGAATACTTAACTAATTGGAATGAAAATTTAAACGGGCACCTGATATAATTTACCCGTCTGTTGTAGTGACAGTGAGACGTATCACCATCTTAGGTTAGGATGCGTTAGTTTGGGTTAGGTTAGCTGAGGTTAAGTAAGGTCATAGGTTAGGTTTGGTTAATGTTGATGATGTAGTTTAAATTGCATGGATTGCGTTGTGTGGGAAAGTGTTGTTGGTTGTTTGCGTATTTTGTGTAGAGTTGTTTTTGTGTGTTCTGAGAGGTATGCGCGGACATGTATTTGTATTAGTGAATAGTGAGTCGTTGTTGTGTAGGTGTATAATGTTCGTGCGTTTTTATGTTTATTGTATGTATTGTATTATTTCGTATTTCATGATGCCAACAATTAGAAATAACAGGGAAATGTGTACTTGTTGAAGGCCTTTGGTTTAGATGGAATAGAGTTTCTCCAGACATTTAACCCTTGCTCTTTGATTTGACGAGGTATTAGTATTTCTGGTTTCGTCATAGATAATTTGTATAATATTATACTCGTATCTTCTCAGTTACCCTTGTTAGTTATTGAAATTATTTTTCTGTTGATGGTATGGATAACAGTAATTTTTTGCTAGTAATATGTAAGGCAAAAATGTTGAATCCTGCAAAATGTTGTTTAATCCAAAATCCTGCAAAAATGTTGAAGACAATTTTATCATGATTCAGAACATGAATCAATTGGATAGGGTACTGAACACCGAATTAATTATGTATATAATTATTTGCGCAGGACATTGGTGAAAATGTAGTCGAGATTCGCGTGACCGGCCGCACGACGATGTTCATGGGCGATGCTCTGCCGGTCATCTGCCTGCCGCAGTGTCGTGTTGAGCAGAGGTGTCCTGGAGCACCTGAAGATAATCAACCGCATCTAGATACCTCGACACTCCATCGAGATTCCTTTACTTTGAAGCCACTGCAAGATACCACTGCTTCTTCGCCCAGTCAGGGTACTACCACCTCGAAACCCTATCAAGATACCACCGCCTCGAAACCACTGCAAGATCCTGCTGATTCTTCGCCAAATCAAGGTACTACCACCTCGAAACCCTATCAAGATACCACCGTCTCGAAACCACTGCAAGATCCTGCTGATTCTTCGCCAAATCAAGGTACTAACACCTCGACCCCGCATCAAGACACCACCGCCTCGGTATCCCCTACTGTTACGATCACTTTGGGATCCAATCAAAATACCACCACTTCGACGCCTCACCCAGGTACCTCCATACACGGATATACTCGCAGAAATTATTCCTTTTGTTGTTTTTATTTTGTCGTTTAATACTTTATATTAAATTTTTGGGTGTAGATGAATATGAATAATTTTTGAAAATAGATGAACATTTTTACCTGGTATTCATTTTGACTTTGAAATTTAAATAATGTTTATATCAACATTTGACCACTGTATTACTTTACATTGTATTGGCTCATTGTTCATGTTCTTGAGTCGTCTCCCTTGTTGCAAGCCTTCAGTCTTCATGCTGAGGCTTGTGCAAAGGTTTTTACGCTTGATATGATCTCTAATCTGAGCTACTATACTAGTTACTCTGATTTCTTGAACTAATGATTGTTGATTCGTGACTGAATTTAACTCGAACTGAGGGCCCAGCAATTATTACCATTGAACAAACTCGTGACCGAGTTCTCGTTCATTAATTTTTGTAGGATTTTCTATTAACTGATGAAGAATATTTAAATGCGTTCTGATTACTCATGCTGAACTTATTTCCAATTCACTTCTAAGTCTATTTAAATGCATATATCAATAGTAAACTACCAGTTGAATCACGCACATGCATGGGTTAGACAAAATAAGGGAAACACCTGAGAAATTCATAGAATATATTTTAGTTTGGTGTAGGACAACCTTCTGCGGCAATTGCAGCTTCAATGATTCCGAGGTATTGATTCATATAAATTGTGAATGGTTTCCAAAGGAATTTTAACACCCATTCTTTAGTTAAAACTCCTTGCAGCTTCTGCGGGAATTGACTTCTGATTTGCATCTCTAAAATCGACCATAAATGCTCAATAATATTCAGGTTTGGCGATTGTGGTGGCCAAATGGTATACTCTACTTTATTAGAATATTGCACACACAATTTTTTAACAATTAAAATCTATGGATCGGGGCATTATCATCTTGAAAGATGGCGTTCGCCTCCGGAAATAGTGGTTTAACCGTTGGATGAACTTGTTCATCCAAAATTCCTAAATAGTCACGGCTGCTGATTCTTCCATCAAGAGAAATCACTGATCCGCCGGATTTCCGAGAAATGGCACCCCAGATCATCAGAATGATTTGGGACGGCCATGTTTTAAAGTTGGGAGGAAGCAGTCGGGATTAAATGACTATTGGATTGTCTCCCAACGTATACTCGACCGAAGGTTGGAAATAAGGTAAACGATGATTGGTCAGAGAAAATTGCATTTTCCCAATGATCCAGGGAATTTAATCGTTTTTTACACCATTCTAAACGCTTTGATACACTTGTATTTGTAACCAGAGATTTTCTAATTGCAGTTCTTCCATTAAATCTAGATCTGTGCAGCTGTCGTCGGACAGTTTAATAGAAACTGGGTTATGTTACTTATGTAGGTGTCCATTGAGGTCTGCAGTAATTTTAACAGCCGTGGTCTTTCGATTCTCCCTCACAATTCGATTTAGGTACGGACAGTCTCTCTCAGACAACTTCGACTTTAAGGCAGACCTGTGCTTTGCTGAGGTCGTTTCTCCTTCTCTTTCTAAAGCAGTCATTACTTTTGAGACAGTAACTTAAGAAACGTCGAGCATTCGTAAACTTTGTCACCCTAGCACCCGCCTTACGGGCACAGAAAATTTGGTCTTTTTGAGTCAGAGAAGTTTGCTATATATAGGTTAGGTTATAAGCACTAAAATTTGCTCGAAATATCTGTTCAAAGATGAAATAAAATATCAATTAGCAGCAATAATAAAACAAGAATGTGTCACGTTTTCATTGTTTGAAATTTATTCAAAAATTACGATATCAGAATGGCAGGTGTTCCCCTTATTTTGTCCAAATCCGGTATATACTGTATATATCGTGTAAGGGTACGTACACAGTGCAAGCCGGTTGCCAGCGTGCTGGTTACCTGCTGAAGCTGGCTCCTGAAACCATAGAAAACAGAAGCCTATTCGTACAGGTTTTCACTGTGAACACTTACATTATTATCCTATGTTCATTCTTGTGGCAGGTTGGAGCAGGTTGCCTGCGCGGGCAAACCTGCTTCCACTGTGTGCGTACCCTTACTGCAGAAAACGTGCTTGAAGTCAGTAATGAGTGTTTTTCCATTGCAGATGTGCTTGTGATTGAGAAAGGAAGCCTAATGATGTGCTGCGTGATGAGCGTCAAGAATAATGCCTGCTGTGTCAACTTGAAGCAAGATTTTCTTCGTTTGCAGGTCAGGAGCTCCTATCGTTCAAGTAATATTTGCTGTGAACGTCTTGAGAAGATAGTATTGCTGGCTACTCTCATTGTTTATTTATTCATAATTATATACAACGATTTGCTGTCGTTCAGAGCTGCCTGATGAATTTTTTGGGGTGTTGAACACGTATTATATTTTTAATGCATGAATTGTTAACGCATTTAAATATCAAAATTTTACATAGACTTTATCATTCTTACGTTTATACTCTTAAGTTGTGTGCTCCTTTTTTGAAAGTTGCCATTAGAAATTTCTCCTTTGCCGTTCTTATTGGGAGTTAAATTTTCTCGCATTGCGAAACCAGTAAACGCTTTACTCGTTAAGCTTGAACAAAATTTTTGATTTCAACCTAAGCTATAAATTATGTAGACGTAGAAAGCACACAATGACAGTTTTTAGTTTATTGATGTGAACTGAAAATACGAACAAAACTTTTTATCGGTAGTACCTGTTGCTTTATCAAGACTGAGTTGACCTTTGATGTTCCGTTTATTTGCTATTATCGAATGCTGACATAGGTAGCTTGTTCTCGTTCCAGGTTAGGGCGCATTTTTATAAGTAAATACACAGTGCAACCATTTTAGCTGAATATCATTATGAACTTGTTTGAATGAAGATTAGCGATGTTCTACAATTTTAGTACTAAATGCCGTTAACTGCAAGAATATCTCGATCTTGATTGATGATGATTCTCGAAGGATCTGGATTGACGATGATATTCGAAGGCACGTGACGTCCATGAATATATTTGTATGCTTCAGATGGTCGCTGATGATGTTGAGGCAGCTTATAGCTCAAGTGACTTGTCCGCAACTCCTGTGGCGTGTGGCGATTTGGTGGGGGTGAAAGTTAGCACGCCTCTACCCAGCACTCGAGCCCTCCTGCCGCAGTGGCTCAGAGCAGAGATTACGCATGTCTCGGACACAGGCACCTGCACCCTGAACCTCGTTGATGTTGGCCCCACTATCAAAGTGCCGCTTGCTGCTGTGAGCATAACTTGCGCATTACTCTTTGATACTTGAGACCTGTGTTGCGAATCTTTATTGAACCTCTGACTCGAGAAACGCTCACGCTTAAATTAGTATTACCTTTTTGTGGGAGTACTTAACATTGGGATAGTTAACAAAATTGTTGATCGATTACAGGTACATAAGCTGCCCGAGTCTCTGTTGATGCTGCCCAGCTTTGGCATCTGGTGCCGGGTGCCTTTGCTTTCTGCCTCTTCCCCGCACCTTGATCATCTCTTGAGCCAGCACGCTGTGGTCGTAAAGTTTCAACACTACGATCCCATTTCTGACGTTTGGCAGGTAGTTTTTCCTTTGTATTGACAACGTAGACTTCCATAACTAAACTGCAATAAATTTTATTGCGTTTCCACGAGTTTTACAGATTCAGTATTCGGAATTGTACGACAAAAAAAAAATGAAAACTTTGGTTTCAGAGCAAGATTTCAACTCCGCTATGAACGCTTGAATACAATCGTAAAGGATGTCATATTGTATTCTAGATCTCGCTGCGCACTAACTCGTTGCAATTTACCTCTTATATCTCCTTTCTTGAAAAAATGTGACTATACCTGCCCTACATATGTGACTGCATAATTTATAACTAGTTAATTTTTCGCGCAAAAAAAAAAAAATTCTCGCTTGTCGAGTACGTTTATTAAGTTTTCCCGTGTCATTCAGGTGAAGCTCTTCGAAGAGGTTCGGCATCCTGACGTTACCTATGAGGTTGACGGCGTCATCAGGTGAGCATTCACTTGAGTTAAAGTTACGCTATTCATGGTCAAAACGTAGCGCACGATGTGCTCCGAGCTGCCACAATGAAGGCCAAAATTACTATGTAATGTCAAATATTTCTCACGAGTAATATGTTAGTACGTCGTACTAACATCATTTTCAGATTTGCTTTTCATCTGTTGACTGTTCCTCGTGTCAGAAAAATTATAGATGATTACTGGAATTAAATCGGCGGCCCAGGTTGTAGCTGGCCGGGGGCTTGAAGGATTCTCTATCAACTTTTCGTATGTAAATCGTATCGTGGAAGTAAATCGTATCTTCTACGATTTACTTCTTTTCTGTTGTTGCGCCCTTATCATTTATGAATTCTTTCTTCACGTATCTGAAATGCCAACTGTCAAAGTTCGAATAACTCTGTCAGACTCTGGTTCTGTCTCTGTCAGATCTAGAGGATCTGGTAATCGATTGAAAAAGAATCTGAGGGGTTTTGGTTCGTTTATAATTGTCCGAATAACATTAAATTTTCATTGGCCAGGGAAGGATAATAACAAGACGTGTATCTAAGCGTAAGTATTAAAGATAGGTTCACGGGATACACTAGATAGAAGCTACGGGATCAAAGAACAGTATGTGCAGTAAGTTTGGAGATAGAGTATTACGACACTGCGTGTTGGTATAAGTGCCGGAATCTAAGACGACGTGAGCTCGTCTAGAGTTTGCAGGCTTTACGATGACTGCCTAAGACTGACTGGCAGTACGCTCTCCGAGCTCATATACGCGGTGACCCGCGAATAGTGACGTCACAGAAGGTGACGTAATAGTCACTAATGACATCACGACCTGACACAACAATGTCCGTTTCTCACGTAGTCAGTAAACTGGCCCTTTGCCTTTGAATCCTTTAAATGATTTTTAATAAGGGACAGGGGTGATATACGATCTTTTTATCTCGTTGTAACTCAATGTAATAATATGCTTTGGGAACTAGGACTGATGCCAGAATGACACCGCCGCTAATCTCCCACCAACGTGACGAATCGGAACCATCAAAACACGAGAGGTACCTATCGTGGATACGTGCATGATCTGACCTTGTATAATTCCAGGCTAGGAACTAGCACACAAAGTGGCTTAGCCAATCTTCTGTGTCCACCTCTACTAATTATACTATTGACAGTAACACTAATGTTCTATGGTTCGGGAAGCGATGCAAAAATATGAATATATGTGTAAATATTATTTAGTATATATAGGTCTATTTATGGTTGATAATTTTTTGCGAACGTTTTACAGGTTTCAACCCGTTGAAACCGCGCTTGTTTATGTTCTACCATATTTCGAGCAACCTTTCTTACTCGGGTATTGAACTGTCTTTGTACTGGCATCAGCTCTTTTCTGGCATCCAGCATTAAAATTTAGGCAGGTTTAACTTTAGATAGGTTCATGAATGTCATTCTGGTGTTATGCACAAGTGACTCCAGTTACATGCCAGTGTCGTCTATCCCGTGGCAATGGCGACAAGCTTGAGTCCGAACATTTTTTTTTACTAGAAATGTCCGCTTTTCCAGCTCTGACAATTTCAAGAACCTAAAGAAGAGCACCATTGCGGCTCGACCGTGCGACGTTGCTACCAACTGGCGGGATAAATCTCCAGCTCGCATCTCACCTCAGTCTTCTCGTAAGCTTTCATACATGTTACCGTGAAGGCGTGAACATTAGTTCGTGATCAGTGATTCTATATTTTTTACTTTTTTTGAGGTTGACACTGATAAACTTAAATCTCTGATACACGTGATTTATTATTTTATATTTTAGAATTAGTTATTAAGTAAATTTCATGCAATAGATTTTGATTTGTTTGTAGTAATTCTTAGAAGTAATTGAAGTTTTACCATCATAAAGAGAATGCCTCCTGCGATGGACTGGGTTTAGGTTGGTACTGCACCTCGCTAATTATGTAGGTTTATTTTGGCAAGAAAAGTAAAGCGTAATACAAGGTAACATGTTGTAATGTTCGTAACATGTTAATATTCGTAGGAGGCAATTTCATGTCTTCACGTGATTATTCTCCTATTCATGTTCTAACCTAAAAATAGTGCTCCAACAAAATTCTTGTTTGAACCACTCCAAAATACGAAACTCTGCAAAGCACTCGCGAGTCTTTGAAAATCAGCTGTTATTCATATTTTTTCTCCTTATGTTTTCCTTTCAGAAGATGCATCAAACTCGTCCACCATTCATAAGCAGCATGGTGATATCATGTTGTCTAATTCTAGAAGCGTTGACTCGCCTTCAGCTCGAACCCCAATCTATTCGCAAAAGCCGCTTCTGGAGCCAAAGCACAAATCGCCTCTTTCTGTTGATCCTTCGGGGATACTTTTAATCGAAAATTATCTTAAACCTCAACGGGTACAGGAAAGGTCATCCATAGTTGCGCACGGAGCCATTCGTTGTAATGGCAATACTGACTTAGGTCTAAAAAGTAAATATGATTTTATTGAAGAGGACCCAATCGACCCTTCTGTTGGACAGAAAACTGAAGAAAAAATTCTGGTCGAAGATGTTGCAATCCCTTCGCCCAAAGATGAAAGATCAAACTCCAATCAATGTCGTGCTGTTCAAAAATCGGTGAGGTTTTCTCGACCTATTCACGAAGAAGCTATTTACTCAAGTGAGGAGGCAACTGAAGACCTAGCAGTTACCTGCTCACTTACACTGACAGCTGGCAGCTTGGTGGGATTGCTATCATTTATGAGCATCAATGTTGAGGAGCAACTGTCGGTGCAGGTGACCTGGGTTGTAACTCCTGTGAAATTTTGGTGCCATCTTCTCGGCCCGGACAATAATCTCTTCCATGAGATACAACAGAAATATGCTCGGTAAGTTTTCTTTATAATTCGTTTACTCTGGCAATATTCATCAGCGATTTCATATGCCTGTGAATGTTCATATGCCTGTTCATATGCCTGTTCATATGCCTGTATGTGTTGAAATTTTATAGCTATTTAATTAATGGCAGGTCAATTTAAATTCTGGTTTTAATTGATTGTGGAAATACGGACAGATAGGTGTGCTTAAGTGGTGAATGTGGCAGAAAATTTTCGGTTTGAATTGAATTTGTTTATATATACATTACATGATCGATGAAAGTGATTTTCAAAAGGGAGTCGAGGTCTGTCGTGAATTTTTCAGTCTGAATCACTTTTTGGCTAATGAGTACTATTTTATGTCTTCGGTTAAAAAGTTATGTGAAGTCTTTGAATTAGGAGTTGTAATTTTCATGCATGTTTTTAAGGTGTGGTCATGAAGAGTTGGAAGTTTTGCCTAACGTGCACGAAGGAGACCTGGTATTCGCTCAGTTTGCGGATGATAAATGCTGGTACCGAGGTCAGGTACTGTCAAGTAGCGGACACCAGCACAAAATCTTCTTCCTGGACTATGGCAATGAGACGCTCTCCACCACTGATGACCTAAGAGCTTTGCCTGCTGAATTTCGTGGCGTCCCAGTGCAGGCCGTGCCTTGTTGGCTGCCCGATGTCGTACCCAGGCATGTCATGTCTAATGCTTGTGCTAGCTATGCCTTGCTAGGGATTATTCTCTGAAAAGTAGCATTGTACCTTTTTATTTTTGTATTATTTTCTTTAGCATAAGTGCCACCAGTATAGGGTTCACCTCAGCTGATTTCACAGCGCAATGTACTTAATTGTTGGCGAGTTTACCATTATCATTTGAGTTGACGAAGTTTGTCCCAGTTCATACATGTTTATTGAAGTTGATAAAATACGAAAAATGTCAAAAAATTGCATATTATGCGGAGTGTCAATTCGAGGATCAAGGAATTTATTCTAATTGTCTCCTGATATATGATTGGATACATTATTTGTCTTTGCAGCCAGGGAGAGTGGTGTGAAGAAGCAATCGCTATGGCTGAAGAAGTATTGTATGAGGAAGTCCTGCACCTCCAGGTGTCCCACGCGTCCAATGTTGAGCCTCGCGAACCGGGCGTACATTTCCCGGTTCCTTTCGATGGCGCTTGTGTCGTCCACTCCGTCGTAGGAGGCAATTTGAATCTCGGCGAACAGCTCTTGAATTCTGGCCTCGCAAGGAGCGCAGATGAGGATTCAAAAGTAAACTTGATTGAATCTGACCTCGAAAATCCTGTCTATGCGGCAGAGTGTAATTCTGAAGTTGATGATGCGACGTTGACTGAACAAATTGAAACTTCAGACCGCGTTTCTACTAAAACAAGGAAAGTTGTTACTGTTGCTGCAAAAGGAGATGAATCATTCGAAGTTTCGGCAAATGTACTCGCGACACAAAGTTCTGATGGGCAGACGTGCGCAGACATTTTTCAAGAGAATCGTGGATCATCGTACAGCGTCGTAACTGAAAACCCTTGTGCTAGTGCTACGTTTGACCTCGCGTTAGAGGGAAATGTCAACTCTGACGGTGACACATCGGAGCAGGCTCAGAATGCAGACTCTTATTTGGTATCGGGCGACTCAGTCTACTTAGTTCACTGCGAAAACGTCGAAAATTTCAAGAGTGCGGTGTGCATTGAAAACGATGACGATGCGAGCGCTGACAAAGGCCATTTTGATTTACCAAAACCCGAAAATTACGTCACTCTGCCATGTAAAACCTTGCAGAGCGTGAATGAATCTCATGAGAATTACAAGATTGTTGCTTATGTGCAGCGAGATGCTGACACCTCCGCTCTGAAGCTTATGTATCAAGACGTCAACACGGTCGTAGCAGAGGGTGCCTCGGAGGTAAACTCAATGCACTTGTGTAAAGTGTGATTAGCAATTTGAAATTTGAGTCATGAATATTTTGTTCTTATTTCATCATCATGTACATGCATTATTAAATCATGTTACCTAATTTCTGTTGAAAAATTGCTCTGATGCTAGAAAAAAACATATTGGACTATAATATGAAATATTGGCTAAATGCTTACTAGTCAAGAAAGCTAGCCATTGAAGATTCATACATGCAAGAAGTTTGCATGGCCGCTATACGAAATTATTTTGCACAGGTGGGCTCTGACGCGATCACGCCTTGGATGTATTGCCTAGTCAAGTCTCCAACCGACGGCGTACATTACCGCGCAGTCGTAGAGGACTGCACACAGCCTGATGTCGGCCTGCTGGTCCGGTACCTGGACTACGGAAATACGGAGCTCATCACTGACATCCCGAATAGCGTGAGTGCTCACTGTATCATGCAATGTCCAAGCCTTATTCGTTTGTTGTATTTTTGTCAGTTTGTTAGTGTTTGTTAGCGCCACAAATATATAGATGCTGTTCCAGCGCGTGTCAACGATACCTACCGTGTCGGGATGTTAGCTTTGTCTGGAATTTTATTGTTGATGGGATTGTAGTAGGGCATCGCCAAATTGGATGGAAAGCATTGCATCAAAAATTGACATTTGCTTCATAACTTGGTTGTAAGTCTAAAATTAGGTTTAACTGCAATCTATTTGATATTTTAAAAGGAGTGCCAAAAAATGAATGATTGTGAATTATTAATATTGATATACTTGTTGCACGAGTGTTAGTAATGTCACATGCAGCGATGAATGCTCGGTCTTGAAAGAGTAATGAACATTTTGTTTCGTGTTTCAATATAGCAAGTGGCAGAAATTTGATACAGTTCAAATTTACCTCTGTCTATTTCGAGCAATAGGCGCCAAATGCAAAAATTAATGAAGTTTGTAACGAACGGTCGAAGAAGCAAATGTATCTTATTGTCAGCCAATTTTTGCGATATCGCAATTTGAAAACGGAAATGCATTCAATCTTTGCGATATCGCAATTTGAAAACCGAAATGCCTCAAATCTTTGCGATATCGCAAATTGAAAATTGAAATGCCTCCAATCTTTGCGATATCGCTATTTGAAAACTGAAATGCTTTTTTCGTGGCAGGTGCTGGAGTGTCCCGATTGGCTGCTCACCCGTCCCCCGCTTGCATATCGCTGTCTTCTTCCATGCCGCTGCTCTCCTTCGCATCTGCTACAGCGCTGGGAAGACATAGTCAGTGTATTAGTCAATGCGAGGTATTGAATTGAAAGAGTCTCTCAAAGCATCTGTCAATGAAGTGTGTGCTAAATCGAGGTTTTTATGAACGAAAATGGTATTGTACGCCTGAATTTTTCCATTATAGCAAATTGTTTCGCATGTAACCTTCATGCATTAAAACCTCAGTGAACATCCGACAATTTTATAACCTCAGTGGACAATTGTAAAAAGGATTGGTATGAATTTTATCCAGACTAGGTTTTAATATTTTTTATCATTTGTAATGTAGAAAAGTCTAATTAGCGGGAAAACGCCGAGTATGTAAACACTTTCAGATAAACACTATGTAAACACATTAACAAATTTAGGCGTAGAATAGGTAGCGCTCTAATAAACCGTGCATGTGCAGGAACTATCGGTGTTGGTGACAGACGCTGACGACGTAAACACAGGCTGTGATTTTACCATAGAGCTGTACTATCAAGGTGTCAATATTGCGGCCATTTCAAATGANGCTGCCTACGACGCGGCTGATGTCAACGCTGCCTGCGAAGCGGCTGATGCCAACTCTGCCTATGAAGCGGCTGATGTCAACGCTGCGTGCGAAGTAACTGACGCCAACGCTGCTTGCGAAGTAGCTGATGCCAACGCTGCCTACAAAGCGGCTGATGCCAACGCTGCCTACAAAGCGGCTGATGCCAACGTCGCCTGTGAAGCGGCTGATGATAGCGTCGCCAATAAAGAAAGTGATGAAAACATCTGTTACGAAGTGAACGCCGAAAATGCTTTTCGTACCTCTTCGAAGCCTGTAGATGCGAGTGTTGGCATGCTAAAGCAGCCCAATGCCCATGCTGACTTGCAGAAGCCTTCTGAAGCCCATGCCGAGTTGTTAGAATCTTTCAAAGCCCATCTTGTGTTGCAGGAACCTTACAAACCCCATGCTGAATTGCCGGAACCTTACGAACCTCGTGCAGAGTTGCAGGAACTTTATGAACCTCGTGCAGATTTGCTAGAACCTTACAAACCTCATGCAGAGTTGCTGGACTCATCTGAAGCACATGCTGAGTTGCTGGAACCTTCTGAAGCCTATGCCGAGTTGCTAAAACCTTCTGAAGCCCATGCTGAGTTGCTGGAACCTTCTGAAGCCTATGCTGAGTTGCTGGAACCTTCTGAAGCCCATGCTGAGTTGCTGGAACCTTCTGAAGCCCATGCTGAGTTGCTGGAACCTTCTGAAGCCTATGCCGAGTTGCTGGAACCTTCTGAAGCCTATGCCGAGTTGCTGGAACCTTCTGAAGCTCATGCTAAGTTGCTGGAACCTTCTGAAGCCCATGCTGAGTTGCTGGAACCTTCTGAAGCCCATGCTGAGTTGCTGGAACCTTCTGAAGCCCATGCTGGGTTGCTGAAACCTTCTGAAGCCTATGCCGAGTTGCTGGAACCTTCTGAAGCCCATGCTGAGTTGCTGGAACCTTCTGAAGCTCATGCTGAGTTGCTGGAACCTTCTGAAGCCCATGCTGAGTTGTTGGAACCTTCTGAAGCTCATGATGAGTTGTTGGAACCTTCTGAAGCTCATGATGAGTTGCTGGAGCCTTCCGAGGTTCATGATGAATTGCTGGAGCCTCCCGAGGCTCATGATGAGTTGCTGGATCCTTCCGAGGCTCATGCCGAGCTGCTGGAGCCTTCCAAAGCCCATGCTGAATTGCTGGAAAATACATTTGATAACGAGGTCGAGAACCATCTTCGAAGACATGAGGTTGTAGGTTCGCTGTCTCCTGCACTTACATTGTCGCAATCAACAGAACAAGAAGTTCCCAAAACTGACATATGCGGGATGCTCGACGGAGATGTCATGTTGTCCTCCAGTAATGATAGTTCTCCTCTTGTACCTCCTTGCTTTTCGCCTATCCTCGCACCACCATTCAATTTCACTGATCGCTCATTCCCTGACTACCGACATACTTTGTCTCCCAAAGAAAATGTGGAGCACGATATCCTGCAAAATTCCCCGCCTAACTCGGCATGCTGCATTGTCCCGCAGTCATGTGATGAGACCTGGACGCTAGAGTCCCCGTATAAGTGTCAACAGATGAGCAAGGCATTTATTCCCCAAATTCCAAAAATGGGAGAAATATATTCAATTAACATAGCTCAAATGAATGCTGATCTCACTATGGACATACAGTTTAGAGACGACATTTCAGCGTGGAATGAGATGTCGGTTCGCTTGCAAGAATTTGTCACGAGCGGAAATATGGTGCCTCTGAAGAACGCTCCACCAAACTCTTTCTGTATTGCTCGCTATGAAGTGGACAATTGCTGGTATAGAGCAAGAAAGCTCGTCGAACTCAACGTGAACGAATCATTTGTTGTATTTTTTGATTATGGTAATTATGAAGTTGTACCGAAAGATTCTGTATACGAGATGCCTGAGGAGTTCTGGGATGTACCTGCTCAAGCCGTGAATGTGCAATTTGAGATCTCAGAATCATGCAAAGAGCACGACAAAGGTTCTGTAATACGAGCAATTACCAATTTGGATCTTTCTTGCAACCTTAGTATCATCATCAGAGAAGGCTTTTACAAGGAGTGGATAGTGAGCGATTTGTTCGTAGATGGCGAAAGTTTGATCCCACATCTAACTTGTTATGAATGTGGAGGCAGCATTGTTGTCGACGATAATTCTATAGAAGACTATAGAGAGGATCGCACTGTAAGCGAAGATAAATTCGTAAATATTCCTGAACTATCGGTGCCTATGGGTGTTCTTCTGCCAGTTGAAGTATCATCGGTCACGAATGATGAGCTTTACGTTAATTTAAAAGAACACGCGTGCGAAGCCGCTCGCTATCGTGACCAGCTCAATTCTTACATGAACTGCTGTAAACCTGCCAGTTTCACCGAATTACCTGCTATCGGAAGTGCGTGCGTGGTTTTGAATCACAGCGATTCATTGTGGAGACGTGCTCAGGTTGTCAAGCACAATGCCAACGGGACAGCAGTTGTTCGTTGTGTAGACTACGGATCTTGTGATACTCTCGACTCGGGAGAAATGTTCCCGATTCCACCGAAATTTACCCGCTTACCAGCCCAAGCTGTTTCCTGCGTTTGGAAGAATGAAGCTTGCCGCAGAGATTTATTGAAGGTTATTCAAGCTAGTGACGTAGAAGACATTCGTTTCGAATTCTCACAATCGGAAACTGAAAACACCATCATAATCACAAGAACAAAGTTACGTGACCGTCAACGTGCATCAACTAGTGACGATGGATATCTGTCTTGCAGCAAAGATATTTTTTTGACCAGCACAGCTGACACTGCTGTTCCCTACATGAAAACGCAATCCCCTGGGTTCGTCAAGTCATTAACTGCCGTGAAATGTGAGCCTGTTGTCACTATCCCTAAACCAACCTTGAATGCAGGTGTGATCCCACTGCGAGTTCTAGCAATTGACGACGAGTGTCGCGTATTAGGACGAAATCTTGTAGATGACTGTGAGTGGCAGGAAATGATGGCGGAATTGCAGACTCACATGAATGCAACTTCCACCTTAGCATTCGACTCGTGTCCCGCTTTGGGTAGTTTTTGCGTAACAAGAGTGAAAGAAATGCAGCAATGGATTCGTTGTGAGATTATAGGAACAACCCCCCATGATCTTGAGGTAGTAATTGTGCGAGACGTCGATCAAGGCTTTACTCACCGAATTCCAGTTCTGAGCCTTTTTCCACTCAAACCAAAATTTTCTGCCCTACCCGCCCAAAGTGTTCGGCTAACCGTGAAGGGCTTGCAAGATTGTCCTAAGCATATTAACTGCACGGCTTTTGATCGTTTGCCGGAATTAGTTTCCACTGACATTGATGTCGAAGTTTTATGTGATGATAACGGCGCCACAATCTTGAAGATGCTTCGTGCAGGAACTGTTATCGCCGCACATAGCTTATGTTTGGGCCCTCCAAGACAACTTCGAGTAGAAAATTCAGAAGACTCTCTCTGTGTTGGAAGTGATAAAGTGACCTCGCGTGCCTCCCGAAGTTTTCTAAACCCTATTTGTGAGGAGGAAGAAGTTGATGATAATTTGCATGGTCGTAATGGTTCGTCACTCGGTGCGGCGCAGGCTGGAATCTCTGAAAGCCCGGCAGACAGGGAAGCATCAATTTTAGAACGGCATGAGAAAATAGCTATCGGGTGTATCACTCATGTGGAAGATTCGTCTTCGGGGTTTTGCGTCTGGGTGATTCCTAACCGTGACACGGACCTGCTGACTTTCATTTCTTCATCGCTGCAAGTCCGGTGGGCAGATCTTCCAGCGCCAGAACACGTTTCGTTCAGTTGCATTTATGGAGCGCAAGCATCTGAAGCGTCGTTTGTCACCATTTCTCCCGGTAGTGTTCACACGTTTCCCAGTGATGATACCGCTACCGTTCTTTCGGCATTGAACTTCCACCGAGTTATTGTTCTTGATGCCGTCAATCGCGACCGTCTAAGCGTGCTGTTCATTGATACAGGTCGCCGTGGAACGTTGTCGAAAAAAGCACTGAAAACTCTGCCTCACTACCTCAGTGATATCCAACCTTTGGCAATGCAATTGGTCATCCCCATTGTGCTAAAACAAGTATCGTCAATGTTCTGGGAGTATTTGTTGAAGGCTTTTGTTGGTCAGACGTGTGCTTACTCTTCTAAAACGAGTCTTGAAAAAACTTCTGTGAAGGGCGCTGTAATTGTTACTGAAACACTCGGTAATATTGCCTCTTTTCTGCACAGCAAAGGTTGCGTTGCGAAATCAACTACCGAGGATTATCATTCGCTGTGTGCTGATGAAGAGCAGATTTTACGAGCAGAGTTATCGGCGCATTTGTCACAGAATACAGAGAGATCTTTGTATTATTCTGTTCAAGACTTGGATGCTCGACTGGAGATCCTCAAAGAGGAGGTGTAGCTTGTCATTCTCGTTCAACAGTTTTGAGCACTTACTGCGTACTCGATGGATTTAATGGTTCTGCAAATTTTTTTACTCACTGGATTTATGGTTTACAAGTTCTTTTCTTGAGGTAATATGATTAATCTCTAGGGTTTTTCAATGAATAGTTCTTGCGCTTACACTTGATTCATCGAAATGGTTGCATGGATCTCGTTTTATTTTATTTTTCACCTATGGAACAATTTTAGTTTTGAGAGCAAGACGTGAGATGCATATTGTTAGCATATTGGCTCTACAACGGAAGTATCTCTTGCAAAATCTATTGCCTTAATTTCATTATGTTCAAAATATTTGAATAACTCGTTCTGCTCTTTACGATGTACGCGAAACTGTTTTTTTTTTCTCGTTTTCCGACTAAATTTCTATAAAAAAATTGGTTTAGTAAATCGTTGGTTGAAGGAAATGATTATATTGTGTGCATTCAGTATTGAGAATTACTGATAATCTTCGTGTTAACAGTCTGAAATAAGAAAAGAGCTTCCTTTAATCAATTTGATTTCTCTCATTGCATTTAAATACTACATTAAAGTGTTCGCGCTCAAATGATTTTTTTTTTCTGTTAAGTCCTTGAATATTCGTTCATTTCATTGGATGAAATGTTAATAGCTCAATTCTATTTCACCGCGTTCTTCTCACTTCGGTGAGTCAAATCTTTGATAATGAATATCGCTCATTAAATAACATTTAATAAAGCCAAATTGCCACCTAATTGGAAGCGAGAGGGCGAACAACTTGCCAGCGTATTCCTAGAGAGAGAAAGAGTAAGTAGATGAAGCGAAGTTCCGGCACCGCTCAAGTAATATAACTAGCAGGTTTTTGATGAAGAAATATGCGCTTTCTGAACATAGGTACGGTCATGCTTTACCATGGGGGCGGTAATGTTGAATTTTTTTTTTATCTGCAACTTATCAGGAGGCTGTGGCTCGCAGAATGAAATTCCTGTTGAGCTCAGTTCTAGACAATGATGCGAGATGTCATCATATAGTTATAGTTGGCATTAAATAGTCCCGAGTGAAGGATGTTGATGCTTTTACTAAGCAATCTTGTTGCATTCCATTGCATATAGCATCTGTTTGCAACAAATGTTAGTAATTTTGCGGAGATATCAATTTTTATAATGGTAGAGTAAATTGAATCTTGCAAAATTGATTTCTTTTCAAACTGCTGAAATAATGCAACTCGTAATACTTCTGATCCGGTTGTTCGTCAAATATATTGACATGGTACTGATGGTAGAACTTGTGCTGTATTAGTTGAACCGTGTTAGGAGTATATTGCGCAGTGGCGAACGAAGACGCCCAAAGTCGTTCGTTATCTCTCTGATCCTTCACCGTATGTGCAATAAAGTTCTATGTAATATACCTTGATGTACACGGTACAAACTACTACTTAACTTAACAGCTAAAACAAGCCGTCCAGATTTTTTGGATCGTCGTAGTCAGGTCAAGCTGACGGTAGAGGGCGCGGCTACTCAGAACTTCTCAAATCGAAGTTGTGCCTGTGAGAGCGCGTCTTCCATTTCAGCTAGTGTCAGATGGTCAGTGGTGCTGTGATGAGTAAACCGTTTGCCATGGCGGCTGCTGATGGCTATCGCGAACAACCTGAGCTTTTTGTTTATTGTGTTCTCTGAAAACGTTCCTTCCTACGTGACACTGCTCTGTTTTTAACTATCCCGTTCCATGAGCCAAGTGCTACACCATTTAATTTGTCTTCATAGGATCGGTCTCTTCGCCTAAGATCCTTTGATGAGGGTGTGACTGGCATCCAATTATTAAATCTGTGAGTTCATTTTTATTATAATTTATTTGTTGAGAATAATTTACGAAATATTTACAGTATGCTGCCAGCCGCCTGCCGCCACCGAAACATACCGGCTAACGAACGAAAACTATGAAAATTTACATATTCGAAAAAACGTTTTCCATCTCTTTAGTCGTTTTTTAGCGGTCTGATCTTAACTAAATTATTCAGATTAAGATTGTGAATTAACTTTTTCTGTATCATATAAATGATTCAAGATTATTTGAATTTTATCAAAATAAGCAGCTACGGGCTTAAAGGCGCGTGCTGTGAGCTTATCGATCAGTGTCCGTGCGCCTCCTTTAACTAGCGCGCGAACGAGGCTCGTGGTAGGCTGAACTAAATTAAACCTTACCCTTATCCTGAATACAAGTTCAACTCGATTTGTTGAAACTGAGTTGGGAAACGTTTTACGATTGACATATAATAGCTACTCACTTCTTCATTATCAAAAATCTGGATGGAGCACAACTCCCTTGTTTTTGGGCGTGTTGCGCGAACAATTTGTCGTGACGGTAGGACCAACCTTTTTGCTCTCTTTCTTGCTTCGTCCAAATATAGCGATCCGAATTCGGCCATATTTACTATTTAGTGTCCAATTTTTTTAAAATGTCAGAGTGCACGGAATCCAACAAAGAAGTTCAAATAGAACTCTAAAAAAAATCATTGTAGGGCTCACATATGTCTGGAAAGTGAACGCTTATGATTGAGGCACAAGCTCTTTCACCATCGAATACGAGATACAAAATGCGGGATGCCGAGCAAGCAATATAATATTCGCGGTAACTTATCAGATTATTTTCCTCATGAAAGTAGCTAAATTGAAATATTCAGACATAAAAATAAATTTTTTCGATTCTTAAGCTATTTTAGTTAGGAGGGAACATTGCTACGTTCGTTATTAGCCCGAGAGGGGAAAAGAAACACTTTGGCATCCCCTGTTGAGGGGAGAGTTGACTCGGCAACAGTAAAAATAGACATGCCGAATACTCTTACTCCGAATGCCACGAGCACAGCACTCAAACGAGCGTAGCGTCACAGAGCAAACTGTTGATATCGATAACCATTTTTTATGTATTGTGGTAAATGGATACAATCAATATTTAACACTACTGAAAACCATGATGTTACCTTGGGTTGCAGGTAGAAGCTATTGGTTGAGAGCATATTAAGACTTACAATAAAAACATGGTAGTAAGTGAAATTAATTAATAATTATATGGATTTCAGTCATCACTACAGAGTTCCGCGCACTGCTATCATTATTTTCTTGACACTAAATAATTACCTACTGAAAACTTGCTAGTAATTCGAAACACTCTACATCCCATGCAACTGTAACGTGCGATGAAGAATATAATATATAGAACTCTTTGTATGATTTATTTATGCATCGATTCTTCGATTGCCACTAATACTTGGCTTATTAGTCGGTAGCGGTAAAAAAACTGGCACATTATCGTGTACTACAGAAAATTGAGATTATTTAGAGCGTTGCAACTTAAATCATACCCACTATTGCTGAATTGAATACAAATCAATCTGGTGAATATTAGATTAAGTAATTGACTAAAAATTTATTTTACCTCGAGTGTAGGATACCATATAATAATCTACATGAAGGTTTTAAATTTAGCCCGCGCCATGTACGAAGTATGTCAAACGTACGAAATTAGGTAAAATCGGTACGGAATCTAACAAAAATATGTTACAGTCTCCCGCCAAGTCATTTCATTTTATTTAATTGAAGCTCGTTATCTGATGCTGTGTACCCGTTGACAAGCGTGGATTCGCATTCAACGCAAACTAGAAGGTCAAACATATAATAAGTTCGATCTATTATTTCCTGCACTAACTATACTTATTGCATTTTGAGGAATATTTATGTAAAAAAAAATTCTTCATCGGTGATACAGTCTAAGTTTAAGATTTTTATCACGATATAGTGCTCATCTTTAGCTATGCTATTTTTAAATGAAATTTTGAACCACGTCTTCGGTTTTTCGCAACAATGCTATATTACCTCAGTTGCTTCCATAATCGATTCATTTATGAGGTACCATGAGCACGAGTGACGTGTACACGCAAGTATGATTGTGGCAGCATAACAAATAAAACTAACAATTAAGATTGTGGCAGCTTAATATTAGGTTTAATTTCCAAGATGGAATTGACGATAATAATGCTATGTGAGTTACGACGCATGCAGCTATGGCGGGGTCGTGATGTGAGGGATGGGCTCTGAGGGGCATGCCTGTCGCCCTCACATTGAACTCGTTCGTCTCACAAGCTCAGAGCGCTCGAAGATTCTCGCCTACCCTGTTCAGCTGCGGCTAGAATACTGCCACTTCAGGTAACAGGCACTTCAGTGAAGTTCAGTCTCTTCATTATCATCAATATCACGCTCTTCTGGATCTTCGATAACCATGTTTTAGTCAGATTTTTGTGCAGACGTCCCTGCCTCTTTATTCTGATAGTTTTCATTTTCTAATCAGCTTTCGTGTGCGTGAGTTAATTAAGATACGTTCTCTGATGAAATATTTCTCGTTTTAGACATATTATCAGCTTCTACCATTATTGCAGTTTTCAAGCTTAACTTTCAAATAAATTGAAAACAACGAATCAATACTTCTACCAAAGTAGTGTAACGTTAACTGGATCTCATCTGTGCTTGCTTTAGTCGACCATGAATATTCGTCCACGACTACATTCAATCAATCAATCAAACATAATCAATCGTCAGTTATGGAAAGATCGGGTTCCAAAGGCCGGAATCCCTTGTGAATCAAGTCACGAAAAATTCAAGAATCGGCAACAGGCCATGGGCCTATTTCTTCAATGCCGACATTTCTATTCTATTATATTCTAACAGAAGCGCTTCGTACGCGCAACCTGAGTTTGAGCTGCCGACGCTGCCTCGACCAACGGTGCTTGTTTCTTCAGCGCCGCCTCGCTGGCTCCCTCCTTCCCTCTATCCGGCCTGGAGGCGTTTCACTCTCACTGGTATACAGCTGATATATAACAAAATATACTTTTAGCCTATAGTTTCTATTTCAAATGGTTATATTACACAAGAGATTTATAATGCGCCTGTAGTTTTATTTTTAATGTTTATACCACAAAACATCTATGTAATCAGGCTATAGTTTTATTTTTAATTTCTAGTAGGTAATAGGAACAATGTAGGAGACAAGGAGAGAAATATATTACAGTAAAATGTATGTAAGATTATTAGGTGAACGATCGGCAACTCAGTTTAAGTTGGGAACTTTATTTAAACTTTTTTCTCAGCACCGCGAAGACTCAGGTTAACTTAAACCTATTGATTCAATATTTGAACATACCAGTGCTAATTTTTTGTGATAAAAACGAGTTACTGGAACATTGTAATGGCTTCCTCAAGGCTCTCAATGTTTGGTCATGTTCGGTAAATATTATTGCATTGGAATGGAGAATTGTAGTTCCTAGATGAGAGTTATATAGGAATGCATTCAGCTGCTCAGAACTGAGTACCGTGCAGTCAGCTGCTCAGAACTGAGTACCGTGCAGTTACTGAGTATCGTGCAGTCAGCTGCTCAGAACTGAGTATACTGTGCAGTCAGCTGCTCAGAACTGAGTATACTGTGCAGTCAGCTGCTCAGAACTGAGTACCGTGCAGTCAGGTGCTCAGAACTGTCGTGTGTCCAGGTGTTAGTGGCCGTAGCAAGTCGTGCAGTCAGCTACTCAGAGGTGAAGTGATTGGACGACCATCGGTGAGTCGGTCTGAAGGTTGCCTTCTCGCTCTGCTCGTTTCGAGATCATCGAACTGCGCACACCCTATCCATTCCGCAACCGCACACCCCCTCCGTTCCTCCACTGCACTTCACGCCTCCACCAAAGACGTCAGGTTCATAGACCGGTCGCCGAACGTCAACTATATTTTTTAAGTATATACATAGCCTCCGGGCCTTGGCCATAATAATTGTTAGTTAAACGGCTCAGAGTTGCTTTAAAAATGAGGTAATCACAATAATTTCAAAGTAATAAACGGTTTTACAAATAATAGTAATGTGTATGTTAACTTGATAACGATAAATCAAGCTAAAATTTGGCTCAATTCTTCATGAATTTTTTGTAACCGTTCGATAATGCCTCATGTATGAACGGAATTTCTTTAATATGATAACGTTTAAGTTTTCTGGATACAAATAAATTTGAAAGAGTTCAAGTTACTTTGTTGAGTACATTGAGTAGCATTTTTGGATTAAAATGTAAATTTCTAACTTTATTTCGATAGCGTAACCCCAAAATATTCTCGAATGTATTTTGTAATGTTTTTTGACGAGTTCATTGTGACGACTCAAAGTAATCAGCCACACAGCATGTTACTTTGTTTTGTCCATCTCCTTTTTTTGTGTAGATACTCATATTGGTGAACTCATTTTTATTGTCTCGTTTTTTTCTCCAGTTACAGTCGCATTTTTTCCCTCACGCGACCTTGCCGAAGTCTAGCCAGCATGTCGACTTCATCGAGACCTGACCACGTCACCAAGGCCAGTACTCTGCCCCAGACTGCAAGACCCCCGACACGAAAACCCCGAGGCCTCAGAGCTTTCTGGCGGAGGATAAGCCATTCTCCCAAGCCAGAAGAGAAGCCATCTCGAGAGGTTCCAAACTTGCAATCCACAGTATCGGCTCAGAGTCTGGATGTTGTCTTGCGTGTCCCTCGTTCTGAAGGCGAGTCAACGAGCCCCAGGGCCAAAAAAGGTGCACGGGAAACCCCTGAGAAGAGAAAAAGCAACATAGGGGCCTTTTTCTCTGCTCTAACTCAATGTAAATCTGGAGAATGTTCGACCAAAAGGAGAAGAACTTCCAAAATATTGTCGTCGCAAGATTCTGACTCATTGGTCACCACACCTTGTAGTCATGGCAACGGAGAGTTGAGGCCCGAAAAGGTAACTTCTGAACGCTATACTTCATCCATTGAAATACTTAATCATTGCAATATTAAATGTCATTACTCAAGATGGTATACTCGAAAATTTTACCGGCACCAATCGTTTTATCATTAAACTAAATCGGCTTCGCTCTTGATTTTGTCAGGCTGAGTATAAAATGTTAATAGTGTTCGACTTTTGCATTACCGGTATTGTAATTAACTAGTATCATCTTTTATAATTGCAGTATCTCGTGCTTAGATGCTAGGTATCTTCAGTATCTCCCTAGTTCAGCTCTTCATCTGAGAGTGAATCATACAGAACTAGTGATTTTTTTTCTTCGTGGCTACTGCATGATACCATTTTTTTAACCGACTACTCAGATGTCAATTAATCTAGTAACTCATTCTATCGTTTTTTAGTACGATGTGCCTGCTACCATCGTGCCCACTATCACTTCGCAGGATATCCAGGTAATTCACCGGAATGTTGTTTTGTACACTAAATTCCGTTATAAAAAATAATAGAACTGTAGAAAAAATTATGTATCTTATCTTTCAATTCTAAATTGAGACAATCATCAAATTGTTTACACGCTATATTATTTTGTTATCAACTTTTGCCTTCGCGCACTTACACCGTAATGTGTTACATATGTATTAAAGTTTGTGTTTTTAATTGAAGTCTAAGAGTATGAATTTTTCTTCGAATTTTAATTTTAGCTGTGGAATTAATTCATTGTACATTCGAAACAAGGGGATGACATGGGCTGGAATAAAAAAATAAAAATTATTAAAATATACTTATTTAAATTCTTTAGTTCGTGTTTTTAATTCTAAATTTTGTTCGGAAAATAATTTAATTCAAATTCCGAAATGGGAGCCAAGTAGCAATTCTTGGTTAAATGAAGGTATTCTATGAGTCGTTTTCTTATTGCTGTATGATTGAAAGGAATAATAAGGATTGGAGATGATTACTCTATGACAGAAATGGCGTTAATTTCGTTTGAAAATAAATTAAATGATTGGGGCTAACAACATTTTTATATTTCAGTGCATCACTTCATCAACCCGAGCAACAGTCCAGGAACTCTACGTGTCTGGAGTTGCGTCTCGGAGCTCTGCATCTGTCGCCTCGTCTCAGTGAGTTTTTATTAGGGGATTTACCTACCTAATTAGGGATCTAATTAGTTAAATCTAATCCTAAAATTAGAGATCAGATAATTATATACCAATCCTAGTATTTGGGATCCCTAATCTAATACCAGGGATCTTCTAGTTCCCAAACTTTTTGTGGTCGCGTACCACCTGGAGGTTCCGTAGTCACCACGTATCAATAGGTACCCGCCGCGTCCTACTAGTTTGCATAATATTTAGCATTAATAGCACTTTATCAGTCTCAATGTGTTAATAGTTCGCTCACTAAGTATAAGTTTACCGACTGAATTTAACGGTTGTTCGCTGGCACTAGAGGAGAAGCGTATTGCAGCAATGCTACGGGTTCCACAGTTTGGGATCCAGTTACTGGCCCACAACAGAATGAGCAACTCGGTGATGCTATAAGCTAGGAGATGGTTGGGGGCATGGTTGAACTGCTGGGGAGGGGGGTTCATTCGTATACATTTCTATTATATTCAGAATTAACTGAAGTCAAATGTGTTAGTAAATTATGTGTTATATTTTAATTACAGCGTGTCTTTTATATTTTTTAATTAAATGATTGTCTGTTCGAAAATAAGTGAAAGTTATTCGACAATTATGCGAATTTTGCTTTATTTACTAGACGTTAAGAAAATGCAGCTGTGCTGTTACATCAGCTCGTATCCTTGAGAATTTTCTCGATTATGTAATGTTTCGTAATTCATCCAGAACGTAAAATTAACACGTTCACTGTTTCACTGTTAACACTGTGTATACACATAAACGGAATTGAGTTCGGCATACAACAATGAATTTAAGATAAGAAACGCCCAATTGTTGAGATGAGATTGTCATTCTAGAAACTAAAAACATTTAAGAAACTCAGGCGAGAACTGAGCTATGTCATTAATCATTTGGTTCCAGGGGTTGTTGTTGTTTATTGAGGATGTGGGGTTGTCCCCCATGTCCCTCACGGCTCAAGTTGTCACTAAGTCTTTACTTTTTATTTATTTTTATGGGAGAATTAGAAACTGATCCATGAGGTACTAAATAAGGTTTAATTTGTGCCTAACCACTCTGAAAATTTATGAAAAGAAAAGAAACACACACACACAAAAGAAAAAAAAAAAGTTCCAGGGGTTATTTACGTTACGGGTTATTTCCAGCAGCACCGCAGCGTGGTCCACGTGAATCAAGACCAGAAATAGAAATAGTACCGATTGTTTTAACGATAATGATAATACGATATATCATTATATAGACTGATAATATACAGAGCTGCGAAACACGGCAGAAAATAAAATTAGAAGGCCTAGATTGTGCATTAACTTATCAAATAACTCAAGATCAAGATATTTATTCATCGTAGCTAGTTTAAAATACCTAAATAATGGGTCAAATTGGGGGTTTTGGAAATTGATTATTATTATTATTATCAATAACATTATTCAACATTAACATTATTTCACCATGGTGAAATAAATGTTTAAAGTTGAAATGTCTGTCGGCTAGCATCATTATTATGCCATCATATGCAACAGGTAAAAGTCTAATAGCTTTTTCAAACTAAAGATAGTTTTGAAAAGATTCGGTCAAAGGACATGTCTTTAAATCTCCTGCGAACAAATCACGAAAATTACAAGAATAGGCGACATCTAACCGACATCACTATGATATGATAATATAAATTAGTTTTCGTTTCACATGCCGTTTTTTTTTGGGCCTCAAAAGAAGATGGATGAAAATGTATTTGAAGATTAACTTGTAAATTGTAAGAACGTGAAATTAGAGTTCTAACTTAATTTGTAGTGACTCGAATTCACATCTCGCACTAGCATTTCTCTCGAATGCCACAATTAATTTTATTAAACCTTTAAACTCGTGATTATCGACCTCTGTAACAATATCTTACTTAATGATCATGATTTCGATTACGTATTTCGGATTTCATCAATTTCACTTTAAACCATTATAAAATATACAGTTAACATACTAAACCTTCTGAGTCTCACTCAAGCCCCACGTGATGCCTATATACTACGAACAATAGGGAGAGGATGAACTTAAATATCTCAATTCACTATACTTAAACAGCCCTGCACTCAACTCCCTAAAAATTCAATCATCATTTCCGATTTCTGATCGAGCAGAATTTCCGATGATAAAAGCGGTTTTACCTAAACTGCATTCATTTAATTTATGTCCTTGTACAGTTTCCCTATTCATTGGTAATATACATACCTGAAAAATAATTTAACTGGAAATCCTTTATTTTTGGTTATTTCTTCTTTCACACGGCTCCATCCTAAATTCTTGAAGATGATCCATAATTTAGACTGAAATGAATTTTCCCAAACTAAATTTAGCTGAAGCTGTTATATGCATAGCAATTAAGGAGTCGATTGTTGATTTTGTAATTGTTTGCATTATTCGATGATGGTGAGGTGAGTTCTACAGACTCAGAGAAGTGTTGATCCAGTGATCAGTGACAGTGAAGAGTGAACGTGCTACGCTGAGTCGCAGTCTCTCGCAGACCTTACTGTTCAGCTGTTTTTAGCGCAAATTAATTTAAAATTTTAACCTTCTACAAAGTTCAAGTTATATGTGATAAGTTTTAAATTAATAAAAAATTGAATTGACCGAAACTCAAATAGGTATATTGACCTCCTTATTGCAGTCTGCAGCTTCAAATGGATTTTGCCTGTACGTCAGTACCTAACTCAAGTCTGTGTTGTGTCGAATGAAAGCCCATCTACTATTTATAACTATAAGTATTTGGTCAGAACTGGTAATGGTCATGAATGATGATTGACGAGGGTCTGCTATTTATTTCAGTAAGTAGATTTGACTTTTTCCTCATATTGTACAGAAAAATTGTAACGTCTTAGCCCAACTGCCCAATGCTGGGCAGGGTAGTGTGGCCCAGTGGTTAACTGGGCAGGGTGGCCCTCTGACCAGTGGTTAAAGTTCAGAGTACCAAGATTGGCGCAGAGAGGCGTGGGTTTGATCCCAGCTCTGCGCGCCAGTTTCTGGTCAGGATCGGAAAGGAGGCCGGGCCACCCGGGCGGTTAAGGACAGCAAAATTGTAGCAATGAGTTGCAAAATGCAAGTTCAAGACCGCGAATTGCGAAATGCTGTGAATGTTCTGCGACATAGTGACAAACCACAGATTTTTTAGAATCAGTTCATTTTAAATTTCCTCATTTACTCAAGATTTAAACCAATTTCTTATGTATGAAACTGCAGGTATCCAGGATACTTTAGTGGTCTACATATAGGACTCAAAAATGAACTTGAGGGAGAGTCTAAAAAACTCTCTGCTTTGCCACTATGTTCTGCGATGTTAAAAATCAGCGACAGGCCTACGGCCTAATAAACGCTGAAACCGCTATTATTATTATTAGGTATTATATTATAATGCTATACAGTATACCGTCAGCGGTCAGACGGTTAGAGTCAAACGGGGTACCGTAAAATGGGGTAACTTAGACCACTTTTTTTTTATAAATGATGCCATTTTTTTACTAGCTAAATTAAACTTAAATTGAAACATGCAAAATTCAGGTCTATACTCTAGCGTCTAGCTTCACTCACCATAAATTGCTGGCTCCTGCCTCTCATAGTCTTTATGTAATTTCAAAAAGAGTGATGGTCTTTGTTACCCCAGCTCTTGGGGTAACTTAGACTGGGTGGTAAAATCAATTATATTTTTTGGTAAAATAATTCCAAATAACTCCAGGTTTTGGTGCATTGTAGTAGAACTCTTCTAGTTACATATGCAAATGACAAACTTGAGGAAAGTATCATAGTTTGCAAATGGGGGGTGCTGCCCCATAATGAGGGAAATGAGACTACCAAATGGCAGCCCTGATGAGGTAATATTGACTGGCTTGGAAATTAAGTTAAAATTACCATATATAAGACTCTGTAGAGTCTGAAACATAAATAGGCTGTCAAACATAAAATATGTTATATATGGTAATTTTATATTAACTTCCAAGCCGGTCTATGTTACCCCGTCAGGGCTGACATTAGGTGGTCTAAGTTACTCCATTTGGGGGCGGCGCCCCCCATTTGCAAACTAGGGTAAAGGCGGTATATTCCGTTATCGTGGGTAATTCCGTCACCTCTCTAGTTTTTCCTTTATATTAAGCTTTGTTTTAGTTCCATGCGTTCGTTGATGGTTGAAATGGTGACGTCATACATTTGCGCGTCAAACTAATGCCAAAACACTAGGTCTTGGCCATCTAGCGAGAAAATATTGAGATCCAAAGAGAGACAATGCACGCTACCCAGTGAGATCATCGAAAAATGTGTCAAATTTGACAGTTGACCTTGCTCTACCAAATAGTGAATAACTGTTTGTATAGGAAGAATATTGTGGTTTGAGACTTTTAAATACGTCTGTGAATATATTAGGAATCCTTTAAGTATACTTGTATTTGCTGATTTCAAGTGGTAAATAAATTAATAGATGATTAAAATGAGAAATGGATTTAGACTCATGAAAACTAATTCCGTCACAACTTGAATTGGACACACACAGATCGTTCCAAGCTATGTACAAAAATTAAAATTTGCTTAATTAAAAGCTTAATAGTTGTTAATTAAAAGCCTAATTAAGTAGTGTTCAATATTCATTAGTGTTCTAATTCAAAGCCGTGTTGTATCCCAATACAGCTCACACAGCGAACGGAATTCGAACATGTGGATGACGGCATTACATATCAGTAGAATTTGAAGCGCGGACGGAATACGCCTCACCATGTGCCGAATATTGCCACACACAGTGACGGAATATAGGGATTTGGTAGGTTTGCATTCTAAAGGCTTTTACATAAAATATGGCAACATTTTGTGACGTTTCATCATTGTCGACGCGTACTACGGTGTTTTGAGAGTCACCTAAAGCAAACAAAACTTGAGTAATGCATACGGTTATTTTTTTTATAGTTTTTCATATCTCGATGCGTCCTTAATGTGACGGAATATACCTCGTTTACCCTATGACACTTTCCTAAAATTTGTCATTTGCATATGTAACTAGAAGAGTTCTACTACAATGCATCAAAACCTGGAGTTATTTAACCAAAAAATAAAAAAAAATTGGAGNAGGCCTTTAATGCCCTTTGACAAAATTTTTCTATGTCAAATAGTTTTTGAGTTGTGGGGGTTTTTGTTAAAAAAAACGAAAAGTGGTCTAAGTTACCCCGCCGGTCTAAGTTACCCATTTTACGGTACCAAATAAGGGATGGGTGGGGTAATAAGGGACAGTCCTCCAAGGCTCCAACATTTCATAGAATTTTAGAAATGTTGTAGCAGCTAAACTAATTGAGATATTGCAAAACTAAAAATAGGGGCATGAAGCTCAATATTTTTCCTATCTATGTAGTATGTACATAAAGCAAGTTAGGAAATCATATACATTTACTCGGTACCTCTAAAAATCCTTTTAAAAAGTGTGAAGAGTGAGATTTTGGAAAAGTGCCTCCGCAGGGTCTGTAAAAGGTTCCGCTGAGGTCTGTCTGTAGCAAAAAATTAATCACCGTATTAAAAAATGTTACTTACATAAAAGTTACACACAGGTGTTTGCTTAAAAATGTGATTGACAGACTTGGTGAGTTGGTGTATCTCATTCCAGAAAACAATGGCAGCCATTTCTGCATGATGGGGACAGGGTAATAAGGGACACTCCCCAGTCCCCCAGGCCCCAGGGTAATAAGGGACACCACTAAAAATACATTTACAGAATTACAGTAGGGCCTTGGTTAGCAAAGGCTCCAGTTAACAAAAAAAGCAATTAACAACAAAGAATTTTGATTAGATATACCTTGCTAAGCAAAAAAATTCTCCTTGACAAAAAATTGGTGCAAAGTGCATCATCAGTTATCAGTTTATCACCTAACTGTGCATAGAATATCATAGATAGAATTGTTTACCAGGCAACATACGTGAAAAGTAATTAATATAAACTATGATTTTTTTCTCAATAAATATGATGGTTGTCACTAAAATATTCCTTTGTGATTCAGGTATGTTTTTACAATCTTTTTTGTTATAGTGAATTCACTTGACTCAATAAAAATGTTGCGAAATTACTAGCCATCCTGGAAGCTTACCTACAGAAGAAATGCTACATGGCTCAATATATCAATAAAGGAAAATATATATCAATAAAGGAAAATATATATCAATAATATATCAATAAAGGGAAAACGAGTAAAAATCACATAAAACATCATTTATTCTACATCTGCATCATCTACATAGGAAGAGGAAGACTTCAGAGTACTGTTAGTAATGAGTACACTCTGCATGCTTCAAATGTTTTAAAATTGAGTTTTATTACAAGTGTCCCTTATTACCCCATTCCCAAGGTTAGTTCAGGAGGCTTTTATTTTGCATTGGGCACCTTACGAATAGCAAATGGAATTTTTTCAAAGATGCCATATGATAGCCTTTGCAAATACCGTTAAAATGAGCCTAAACTTGTTTATGTTGTCATGGTAAAAAGTTATTAAGGAAAAATGCTCAAAACCATCCCTTATTACCCCGTTTGATGGTAGTATACTTTGGTTAGTTTGTATTAGTGCATTGCCATTGCTCACATTTAGTAAGTAAAAGAGAAAAATTTTCTTCAAAAGCAAAGTATACCACAGTCAGACTAAATCCCAGAAATATGTATGATCTATGTTTTGGCTGATTTTGGAATTTTCCAGTACAGAAAACTGCAGATGATGCAGCAGAATCAGAATGAGCAGATCAGACTCGCTCACTATAATCTACATTGTATACATTAATCCTAGAATGGAATTTTCCTAGTTATTACTAAAATGTCATGGCTTAAAAGAGACAAATTGTCACTCCATTTGGAATCCAGCTACCCAGCTGTGCTATGTTATTAGCAATTAGATAGGAAGTATAATGAATTTAGCAGGAATCATTATCATGTGGTTTATAGAATTGCAGAAAAGCTCTAGTTGCAGCTTGAACAGTAAATTTATTCCACGTCAGACCTTACCAGCACTGACCTTACCAGCACTTGGCTTTTTCAGACGCTCAGTCAAAAAATCAAACTCTTTGCCAATCATGCCTAAAAAATAGATGTATTTCATGCCTGCTTGTAAGCACCCCATGGTACTGCCTTGGGCTCATTCTTACCACATTGGGCTCACTCTTTCTGCATTGGGCTCACTCTTACCACATTGGGCTCACTCTTACCACATTGGGCTCACTCTTACCACATTGGACTTCCTTTTATTGCATTGGGCTCCCTTTTACTGCATTGGGCTCACTCTTTCTGCATTGGGCTCACTCTTTCTGCATTGGGCTCACTCTTTCTGCATTGGGCTCACTCTTACCACATTGGGCTCACTCTTACTGCATTGGACTCCCTTTTATTGCATTGGGCTCACTCTTACTGCATTGGACTCCCTTTTACTGCATTGGGCTCACTCTTACCGCATTGAGCTCACTCTTACTGCATTGGGCTCACTCTAACTGCATTGGGCTCACTCTGACTGCATTGGGCTCACTCTTTCTGCATTGGGCTCACTCTTACCGCATTGGGCTCACTCTTACCGCATTGGGCTCACTCTTACCGCATTGGGCTCACTCTTACCACATTGGGCTCACTCTTACTGCATTGGACTCCTTTTTACTGCATTGGGCTCACTCTTACTGCATTGGGCTCACTCTTACTGCATTGGTCTCATTCTTACTGCATTGGGCTCATTCTTACTGCTCTTACTGCATTGGGTTCTCACTCACTGCATTAGGCTTTGATTATCAAGGCAATAGACATGTTGTGACAGGGTTGGATTTATTTTATGAATTATGTTTTGAATCTAAAAAGATCTTCACTTTATAAAGATATGGCTATTCATCACTAAATTCAGTGATTTGTGAATTGTAGGTTATAATATGGTTCTAACTAAAATTTTTATCAAGGGCAGAAGCTTGTGCTAGTGATCATTAGTTTCTTCATCTCATGAATGATTGAAGTTGCAAGGAGTCAATAGATGTTCTTGCTGTTTTCTTCTATATTCACCAAGGTCCAAGTGCTCATTGAATTTGTATCGAATGTAATTAGACTAAGTGGCCTTTTTTATGGGACCCAAAGTTTTCTTACCGAGATATACGTATAGGGGAAAATAAGGTTTTGCCAGCTCTTACTTTGATCAATACTCTGAGATTGTAGGGTTCAGAATTTCTAGTAGGTAGAATTTGAACATTTCTCTGTCAAGTGCTTGCATATCTACTGATAATTTCTAAATAGATGGTAACAATGTCTCTTATTTTTAAGCAGCTTTCCTTGAAGAAGGATGTAGCAGTAATCTAAGCATCAATTTGTGGTCCATAGAATCTCCAAATTATTTATCCCAGAAGTAAAATGACCTTGAGATACATTAACTTATATCTAAATGTTCTATTATGCATTAATTCACTTCTATGCTACTAATTTCTAAAATTATTGGAAGTAAAATTTGTGGTGGTAATCTTTTTAATGATATTCTTTTTTAATCTCTTCAATGTTGGGTATAGGATTAAGAAATAAAATGGACTAATTGTTACAGCAAGTAATGACAGAAAATTTTTTTGCTCAATCAGGTTTGGTGTGATGAGCACCAAGACTGAAGTTGCTTCTGCACTTCACAGCAATTCCTTGGTCTTGAACTCAACTGAGGAGCCACAACGCATCTTCTTAGCTGCACACAACTCCAACGCAGGGAGCAGCATGCCTGTTGGGACAGGCAACTACAGAACCGACTGTCGTGGTGCAGTCACGTCCCCCACCAGTACTGGTTAGTTATAGTGGACTTATGAGGACTTAGTATTTCGAACTCGCTACTTGTGAGTATTGAGTATTTGTGATTAGCACTTGACCAACCGTTTCTGACGGTATATTGTTTTCATCAGCATCCAAATGTTTTCGTCTGAAAGCAAATTCGTATTTGACCGAATGTGAGTTGTCATGAAAGAAATGGGTTTATTTGCTCACAATTTTTATTAAAAAAGGTTAGATTTTTCCAAAACTGACAATGATAGGATTAGATTCTTAGATTATAGATTAGATTATTAGTTCTTCGATTATAGAAGTTGTTTTCTATAACCAAATGCACTTTGCCGAATAGTCAATATCTTAAGTGTCTTTTCATTCCCATAAAAATATCCTATTAAAGTGCTTGAATGTCGATGATGAAAACCATTTTAACAACTGTTCACAATTTTCCTATTGGTTGAGTTGTGCATTAGGGCTTACGCATGAGTGCTGTCTTACAATGGCTTGCTGATGGCTCAGCTCTGCACGCCTCCTGCGCAAGGATGTGCATCACAGTCCGTTGCGGCTGCTGCTGCGGCTCTGTTTGTTGCCACTGCTCTTTTTTTCTCTGAACTCTGCTTCCTTTGATGATGCAACGGTTCTACCCGACGTGTCTATTGCTCAGTATGCTGTTGTTGATGCTTCTTTTTCGACGCTTTTGTTGTTGCTCTGTAATCTGCCGCTAACTGATAAGACTGCTGCTGCCGACGTTGTGATGCTGATGCTCGTCTATCTGCATCTAGCGGTCTAGCTGTTGCGGCTGCTGCCATTGTTACCGACGCTATGAATGGTAACAGTTATGCTGTAGCTTATATTTGTGTTGCTGTTGCTCTGCTATCTTCCTGAAACTAATATTTCTGTTGCCATCGATGCTCTGAGTGCGGCCGCTGCGGCTCCAGCTGATGTTTGTGCTGCTGCTGCTCAGTAAGCGCTCGTTTTACCTCCAACAGTGGCGCTGCGCGAGTGGAAGCGAGATCAGTCGAGTTGTGGTCGCGGTGAGAGGAGGTTGTGGCTGAGCTTTGCTTGCCCGTGGCCGGGAAGCACGACCTTGAATTTCTCGTGATAGCTAAAGCTTGTAGACTTCTTGCGTGCTCCGGAAGTGCCGCTCTCTTCGCTTAAATCGATCTGTGCTTTCCCTCTCTTTTAGCTTGTACAAGATTTTCCAAGTACGGACACAAATTGTTCATTTGGCGACTAATACGTACTAATTTCTCCTTCGCTCAGTAGACTTGGTTGTAACTTATAATCAGTAGCAGCAGGTTAAGAAATTTATGTAGTTATTCAGACAAGCATTCTTCTCTATAATATTTGTAACCAAATTTTATGTTTCCGATTGCAGGGTTTTCTAATTATGGGAAAAATTGCCATTTCGTGTGACCTCTCCTTTGGTACACAAAGCTTGTAAGTTGTATATGTGTATTATGAGTATTATATACTTTTTCACCGAAAAAACGGAAAGTTAACAAATTTCATGCAACATACTTAATTCTTGGTTTCAGATTTAGAAGTACTGGGTATTACATAATTCTTTATAATGGTAACTCAGCTGGAGTTGTTCATCACAGCCAACCAGTGTTATTGAATTAGTTCTACGTTGGTGCAAAATGAGACTAAGACTGAAAGCGTCTCGCGTTTGCTGTATAGTAGTACAACATTATTTTCTGCAATTGTGCAACCGAAATTCTTGAATTTCTACATGATGTCTAAACTTTTCTTGTTATTAACATCATGGAATCGAGAAAGTAACCAAAATTTGCCCTCTATTCCTAGTTTTTTTTCTGATTGAAATCAATGTACACGATGTAAACTTGTATTGAATGACATTTAAAACGCTGAAACGTGACGTTAAAAACAATAGGAACCTCAAGAACAAAGACTAAGCTCCAAAATTTTTAAAATTCTTCTGCTGTCATCGTAAGCTAAGCTTTGACGAATTGGAACTTGGACTAAATGACCTAAAGCATCTAATTAGCGTCGGTTTTTTAACTGTGTCGGCGTAAAAGCAATAGTTTCTAAAGCTTTCGCTCGCATCACTTGAATTTAATGCGTTCAAAACATTCTATCACGTGAGCCAGCGTGACGAATGAGAAAGCATTTGTATTCCGTTTATCTGATTTATCTTTGTTTGTTCCGTGTCCCTAATCTCCACAATCGAAATAATTAGTTATGGTATCAAAGATACGCGTTTAGTGTGGACAGTATAATCCGCAGGTTGGCCAAGAATTGTGAAGGTCAGCTACACACACAGACTCCAGTTTGTCACTGCTTCATGATCTTAGAGTTGGCGTCGTGTACAAATTGAATATATAATGTGCGTGCGTGGGCGATGCTACCTTGGGGACGTGTTGTCAGCTAACCGTTTATTACTTCCACTACTTGCACGATGATCACAAATCCATAGTAAATACCGGTGATTGCCTGCCTCATTTGACACTCTTAATAGCGTCTCTGCTTGATAGAATCTTAGATTGAATTTAAAAAAATAATTGCGTATGTTACCTGGGCGGTGTTAATTAAGTACCGCGGTCTTGTCAGGTTAACTTGCTTTATTCGAGGCAAACTGGTTGTTGACTGCCGTAACTGGAAATGTGCTTGTATTATCATGGAGCACGTGGCTTCTGGTGCAGCGATTGCTTGCTAGGTGGCCTCACCGCCCCAGCCCTGACCCCCGCCCTCGCCTCCCACACACGCTCCCCTTCCCACGCAGCGCCTCTCTTCGGCCTACCGCTGCATAATGTGGTGATCTTGTGATGATTCAGAATACGTTGAGGTTGTGATGCAATGATTTATAATGAGTTGAGAGGGTGATGACTTAATTATGTATTATTGGTTATTGTGGTGATCTTGTGATGATTTAGAATACGTTGAGGTTGTGAGGCAATGATTTATAATGAGTTGAGAGGGTGACGACGTAATTATGTATTATTGGTTATGGTGGTGATGTGATGATTTAGAATACGTTGAGGTGATGATGCAATGATTTAAAATGCGTTGAGATGGTGATGATGTAATTGCGTATTATTCCGAAGGGCCTTATTAAATCTCTATTTTCATGATATTTTAATGATTTATAATTTGTTGAAGTGGGAATGTGGTCATGTATTTTTGCTTGCAGTGGTGATGTGATCGTTTATAATTCGTTGAGGTGGCAGATAAAAGTTGTGTATTTTTGGTTACGTTTGTGATGTTGTGATGATTTATAATGCGTTGAGATTGTGAATCGCACCGGTAGTCGTCCATTAGCGGTTACTGGGGTGATATAATGATTTATAATTCGTTCTTGTAGTAATGTCGTACTGATGTGTTATTGTTTGCGGTAGTGATGCTGTGATTTAATATTGGTTTTAAAGATGATATGATGACGAACTGTTTGTGATCGTGATGTTTTTGTGATGATGTATTGTTCATTATGATGGTGACGTAAAAAGGAGGTAATGCTGGATTGTGATGGTTATATTTATATACCATATGATGTTGAGCCTTTACATCAACTGTTGTGGTGATATCACTGTGATAAGTTCTAAAGGGGAATGAAAGGGGAAAAAGAGTAAAGTAAAGGGGGAAAAGAAGTAAAATTATTACTGTACGTTTAAGTAGTACGCAAAATGAATTGGAGCTTGTGCTTGTAGGCCACGGTAAATTCATGACAATTTGCATTTTTTCATTAGTTGTTGTGCCTTGAGCACCGATCGTATGGGCATTTTTGCTCAAATTATAGTAATTTGTTAGAAATTTGCTCGTACTTTTGCAATGGACATAATCGTTCAGTTAATCCCTCATACTATTTGCGTCATACGTGGGCCATCGTTGACAGGTACCTGCACTGATACTCTAATTGGCCGGGCCAAACTGGGTCTGGTTGACCCTCGCAAAACAAAAAGCACATCACTATTAGGACGAAGTCTCACTTATTTCTGTGAGTGTAAGCATACAGCAAAATTGAATTCACTGGTTGATTGGTTAAGCCTACATTCATGCTATGTCTTGGAATAAATACTGAAGTATTTATTTCCTAGTTTTAAAATTATTTAGATAATAAATTCGCGGCGTTACTGACTACTTCTTGCCTGATTTGTTCGTTATCTGGAATGAACCGGAGTGAACACTGCACAAATTTCAATGTTGGTATGTGCATGTATCTCGTCTACAATTATATAGTGGCTGAAGTAGCACAAACTCGGCGTCTCTAACTTATACTACTAGCTACCTCTCAACTTATTTTCAGAAATACCTGTATGTATGGAAAAGCATTCAAAAGCCAGCACTTACTCTATATCTCACCTGCTGCGAGATTTCCTCAATAATATCTGAAGGGATGAGTGCAATAAGTTTATTACCATGCTTAAGCTGGCTAAAATATAACGCACATTTAAGGCTTAACTAATAGAGAAGACTTTCCCCCTTAACGCGTGGTCGCTGTGGCAGGGTGCCAGCACGGGGCGCTATCTCGCCTGGATCACTTTCTATACCCTACATGTAGGATGTGGCCCGCGCTGACCTACATGTGCACTCCTACGTGCAGGATGCCCAATATGTCGTTGGTCTACATGTTTAACGCTTCGTGCAGGCTGTCCAATATGTCGTTGGTCTACATGTTTAACGCTTCGTGCAGGCTGTCCAATATGTTGTTGGTCTACATGTTTAACGCTGCGTGCAGGCTGCTCAATATGTTGTTGGTCTGCATATTTAGCGCTTCGTGCAGGCTGCCCAATATTTCGTTGGTCTATCTGTTTAACTTGGCGTGCAAGATGTCTAATATGTCGCAGTTCTACATATTTAACGCTTCGTGCAGGCTGCCTAATATGTCGTGTATCTACATGTTTAACGCTGCGGGATGGCTGTCAAATCTGCCTTAGCTGTACGTACCGGTACATGTCTAGCGCTACGTTCAGGCTACTTAATACGTCATTGAAATCTGTCGTAGGTCTACATGTTAACACTACGTGATGGCTGTCAATTATGTCGTTATTGTACATGTTCATCGCTACGTACAGGCTGACTATGACTCTGTTGATCAGGCCTATCACGACGTACGGCATAAGTTTCGTTTTACGTTCACTTGAACCCCCTCATAATTATTCGTCGTGACTCGCGACTTGAATTATTTTCCACAATATTTTGTTTCAGTATCAATTTATGACACTTGCGGCTACTACCTGACATCGAAATTATTCAATTGCATTTCCTTATTTCTACAATATGGTCGACCCGAAGGTGAATTAGAAGTTGTCACTTCTGGTGAAAATGTCAACAAGTAGTGAATGTACTTGCCCGGTTTATATTGGTTTAGTGATCGCAAAATGAATCTTCGCCATTTTGCGCAGGATGAAAACCCTAATATGTGAATCCTTTTTTTTTTTTGTGGCACAAAATTGTCTATTTGTTTTCATTCGTAGTTCAATAGTACTTATAATTTACATGTTTCAGATTCATTGAATAGTCCAGTCGACAGCGGCGAACACGGCAAGCGTGAGGTGAGAATGATGGAAGTTTATGGTTTATATTTTTTATGAGATGTACCTATATTGCATACGGGTATTGATATTAATTTGATGTATTTTTCTTTGTGTATGCTTATATGAAGGATGAAATTACACGTATCGCACATCGATGTGGTGCTCGACTACGCATTTAATGAAATTGATGTTTTGCGATAAACTAGATTTGTTGAATTTGTTAAATTTGAGAGCAGAGTTTCTGCGCACATGCTAGGTTTGTCTGGATAGTGAGGCACTTGTGCAAACACCCGACCCTTCTGATGTACCAGAGGTCGATGTTCGTGTTCTTTAGCGTTAACGCAATACGTCAGGTAACGATGCCGTTAAACAAATCATGGAATTTGTTTAAAGAAATTAAATTTAATTTATATTGTTTCATAGAAGCGAAACAAGTGGTACTATTTAAACTATATTGCTTCACGGAAGCGATACAAATGCAAATTTCTCCAGGAAGGGAAGCTTGCTTTAAGAAATGTTGTCTTTCATCCCCAAGTTTATTCAAGTGTTGATGTGTTTATTCAAGTGTGTACTTAGAACTGTCAGTCTTGTCAGAAATTAAATGTCATATTTAGTGTCTATAACTTACGCCCGAAGAAGACTCGTAAGGAATATTGATAGAAAATTCGTTGCGTTCTTCGTAAACTGAATAACTTTGTTGTATAGCTGATTTTATTCTGTATGGAATTCGCATATGTTGTTATACAGTGCTCGTACCTTGACGTGGATGCAATGAAAAAATTTAGATCCTCACTTTCCGATGTACGTGATATAGAAAACAACTAACTGCAACTTGACAACAAACTGACGGTCGGTGCTCGCGTGTCGCGGCGTGGTGTCTGTTTACGTTGGCCTTATCGTAAGAAGGATTGCGTGTTCTTATCAAGGCCTCCTGCGATCAAGCATGATGTATTTTAACATCAAGGATTACGTATTCCCTTAAATATTGTAGCGGTATATCAATTATTCAGATAATACAAAGGTTTAGTTCACAAGCGTTAATGTTGGAATCGGATTATGGTTATACCTGGTTCGCGTTTTGTATTTTTTAGATAAATTTCCTTTTTCTTATCAAATGCTTCGTTTTTTTCCAACGTTTCGCTCCATTGAAGCCTTCAAATAAATAATTTATATCAATAAGGTCGTTTACTTTATTCTCAGTAATGAATAATTTTCGTTTACTTTATTCTCAGTAATGAATAATTTCATCAATGTGATCTTGATGTATGAGTAATAATATCATGTTTCACGACGCATGCTCTCGTCTTGCAGAAAAACCTCTGGTGCGTGAGCCGTGCGCCTCCATCGTACCTGGCCATAGCGTGCGCTGTCAGCGGCTACAGTAACATCAACAGGTCATTTATGCATTGATTTGTTCATAATTGTCAGTAGAGGTGATATCGCTGGTATATATTGACAAGGTATCTATCGCTATCGGTGATATCGCTGGTAGGTACTATCTATGTTAATCCTTACCCCGAAGTGAAGGCGATAAGTGGGCTAAGTTACAACGTGTTGTTTGAGTCGTGATTTTACTACAGTTGCAACTCCCGGAATTTTCGCCCCCTTTTGTCACACGTTGCTTGTCGTCGGGGTATTATTAAGTCTGTATTGCAGTGTAATGACGTGAAAAAATTATTCTATTTTTAAAGAGTAGAGGATGAAACTTTTCTGAGAATAGCAATTGTGCTTGTGGCTACATTAGCATGGATTATTATAAAACGTAAACATAATTTTGGTGCCGACGCTTGTCTCCGAGGTCGGTGTTGTGATCAGTTAGGGTCTGTTGCCATGACTACCGCAACTGATTGTTGCCATGACAACTTGATGCGTCGCTCCATTACCCAAGCTTGGCTTGCTTCTGTGTCGCAATGATCGTGTTCGGGGTAACGTTAACTTATGCATCTCCATGTATTAACAAGCCTTGTGTTGTATGTAGTGATCTCTCTATGTGGACTGTTGTGTAAATCATGTTTGACAGGCGCAAAGAGGCGACGTCTATTAGGGAATTTCGGCTCGGAAATTCCAGAGCAACATTAATATTTCCTTGCAATGATGTTGCAAGATCTCTACGACTGAAAACATTAATTTGGACATTTAGATGCTTAGAGATACTCATAGAGTGATGCATCCACCGATACTTAGAGCTTCTGTACTCACAAATACTTGAGGTTATTGTACCACAAATACTTAAGGTTATTCTACCTACAAATACTCGCAAATACTTACGTCTGATTTGCCCACAGATACGACAGCGCCGTGCGTGAAGGCTTCAGGTCTCGGGACGCTAGTCCTGCTGCCCCCAGACTCGCCTTTGCCAGGAGTCGCGACTCTAGCCCCCTCAGAGAGCGACTCAAGTCTCCTGAATTTAAGGTAGGCTGCAGCTTGATCCTAGTCGTTGACGTCTGCGAGTGTTGTATACAGTGAACTACTCTTATTCAGTGCTGTGTTGTTAGCACGTTAAGGCAATTTTTTTTTATTTTTGAACATTTTTAACAGTTTATAGCGTACGGAGTTGGAAATTGCTTCTGATTTTTTTAGTTTTTGTTCAATTTTAATTGTTAGCTGAGATGTTCGTTGATAAAAGTATGCAAAATATATTAATCTGTTTAATACCATTAACTGATAAACTGGGTTTTCCTGCATGTAAAAAGAGATCTTTCTTATGATCTCGTGACGTGTAAATACTTGTGAATAGTTCTCTCTTGAATTTTCAATAGACTCATTCAGTGAGAGTTTAGTTTATTGATAAATTTTCATTAATTGGTTATTTATGTCAGCAAACTTTCAAGACTTTTTTCTTTGCATTTCACTCTTTTATTTTAGAGCAGTAACGTTATATTCTCTAATTTGCCTGAATGACATTTACTTTTGGTTCTTACTTAACCAAAGTCTCATAACATTTTGTGTGTTGCAGTGCACACCCCAGGAGACAGCAGTGCGTATCAGTGAACTGAAGGCTCAGCTTGCACGCTGTGCTCAGGAACTAGGAGGTGACCTCGACTACCGCAGTCGCCAGAACTCCATCAGGAGGCGCGATAAGAAGCCTCCCACCGGCCGCAGTGTGAGCGTCGACAGAGGCTACCTCACCAAAGCCAGCGAAATCAACACCGGTGCTAGTCAAAGGCAAAATCCTGCTAGAAAATCCCTTCTGTGTCCAGAGTACAGTCAAAATTCTTCTAGGTCTACTGCTGATGAGCGGCGTAACTACTTCAGTTGTGCAAGTATGACGTCTAATGAAGTGCCTGTTAGACTTACCGATACGCATTCCAGTATTAATGATTTGATAAACTCTCCTTTATCTGTACATCATCCAAGTGATCTAGATAATCGTATAGAAAGTACCAAGTCATTCATCAAAGAACGAATAGAAAGGCTCTATGGTCCCGGAGCTTTAGCTGTTGGTTTCTCCCGTCGAAGTGAAGCAGTTAACCGAACCATGGGTAATAGCATTAAACGAACTCCTGACACGCGCTGTCAAGGACGTATTATCCCAATAAAACTTGAATATGACGACCAAGTAGACAATAGTGTGTCCTCCAAGGAACCTGGTCGAGGAATGCCCAGCGTTTTCCGACACCTTAGACCCGAGTTCAGGTATCAGCTCCCTGTCAAATCATCGGTCGCCTCAAGCAACTCATCTTCCGGCAACAATTCTGATAAATTTTCCACAAACAATGCACCAAATATTAGAGAAATACCTGTTGAAATTGAGACCAGCAAAGCTTCTAATGGTACTGCAAAGCCTTATTCCATGTTGTCTTGTCAAGAAGATTCTAGAACTCATTCCAACCTTTCACCTGCGAAAGAAAATTCTTGTGATGTTGGTGTCACTAAGAAGACTGATGTGGAAGCAAGTGTGATACTGAATAATAGTAACCATTCCTCTAACAATTCATCTGAAATAAGGAGTGACAGCTCCACAAATGTCCCTCACAACGGGTGTGGTACGTCGTCATTACGCAGTGCGATGGTGGTTGAGACCTCTCAATCTGAAGCTACCGTTCCTGCTGCAAATGACGAGAAAGTAATCAAGGATGGACATTACTTCCTGAAGGTTGGTTGTAGACACGATAAAAGTTGTAAAAGTTGACGAGTCAATCTTTTATTACTTTTTCGATCTGATCCATCAACTTCAAATCACGAATCACGATCAAGTATCGTTAGGTATTTGCTAATCAATTGTTTGAATCTCTCGCAAATTGTTTCAGGAGCACCAAACATGATTTTATTACTCCTTTAATACCCAAATCGTTACGAGAAAGTACCGATAGTTATTAATCCTATTTTTTTCATGTGTACAGATCGTGGCACAGGAAGTGTCAGAGCTGGAAGCTGGAGTAGAACAGCTGGATAAGGACCTGGAGGCGCATGGATCCATCATGACAGAGGAGGTGCGGGGCAAGCTTCTGGCCGCCTCAGGCAAGACCAAGCTCCTTATCTCACAGAAGATCAAGCAGTTCAAAGGACTCTGCCAGAAGAATATTGTAAGCTCCAAATTGAAGTAACCATACTGTTATTCGATGAGTCTTAGTTCGTTTATGATTATCGTTCAGGTTTTTGTGTTTCCATGCAATTTGGCAGGAATCATATGGCCTGTGCTTAGTTATTTCTATGTCATTGATAATCATGTACAAATTATGAATTACTTTTTTCTATCATGAATGCTTGGAATCTGTTTGTCTTGTGCATCGTTGCTTTGATGAATGTATACATTAAATTAATGCTTAGTTATTCGGTTCGTTATTAAAAGAATCCACATAAAAATTGCGAGATTTTTTATTTTTATTTTTTTTTCATCGTGTTGAAATTTGTTATCCGTATCATCATATTTCTTCAATATTACGTTTGTTTAACGATTTCATATTTCTTATCAATATGTAAGCAATTCCTATTTATAATTTTTCTTGCACTTGCAAATTTATAAATATAAATTTTAGCTGCCTAGTATTTCGAAGCATTTTTCTAACGCAACGCTTTATGTATTTTTGAATTCATCGAGGCTTTTAAACTAATTTTAGGCCGGCCAGCAAGAGGGCGAGCAATTCCCAACGACATGCGAAGACCTGGCCGGCTTTTGGGACATGGTGAGCCTGCAGGTGGAGGACGTACGAGCCATGCATAGCGCCCTTGCTCAGCTCAGAACAAACGGCTGGAAGGAGGTGAGATCGAGTAATATATTTGATATGTGCACATAGTTGTGAGTAAATGTTGGAGTTTTGACACTTGCTGATGACCCTCTTTAATATTCAACTAAGTTGTAAAGTTGCCTTTGGTGTGTTAAATCAGAGATTGACAAATTCTTCAATAGTTAAGAGAAGTTATCACTTAATACATTTGTTTTGTCTAGGTTACAACCGAGTTGGATCAAAGCAGTAGTGGCCCTTCAGCTTTGGGAGGGAAAAGTCGTCCCGCTCGTCGCATGAAGGCGGCGCCCCCAGCCGCAATGTCTGAGGCCGCCAAAGCAAAAGAAGATGCTAGGAAGAAGGCTGCTGAGGAGCGAAGAAAGGCAATGCGTGAAGCCATGAAGGCCAAACTTGCTGCTGCCCAAAACACAGAAGATAATGTTGAAATTTTCGTCCCCGAAAATTAATCTTTAACAAACCAAGCTGTAATCCGTTGAAAACTCTTCATTCTGCTTGTTAATTATTATTATGGTCTTTAATTCATTGTGTTGATGTTGCCTAATGCAAGCGGTTAGTGATGACGTTACGAAGCAAAGATTTTTAATTCATTCGTGAAACACGTCAGCTGAGCGTCACGCTTGGTGCCGTTGTGATTTTTGCTCAGCGTTGTGCTGCTGATGCTGTGATAATTTATCAGGTTCTCAATTGCTCATTAGGTCTACTCCATTCTTGACTCGTTGAATTGAATGCAATACGGCTTGAGCTAGCGAGATTAGGTGCGATCTTATTAAACTGCTTTGTGTAAATATCAATACCAACAGCTGAAATGCATGTTTGTCACCGATGAATGTTGCGTGCAGGAAATCACTACTGATGGCTTCTATTGGGTATTGAGAGGTGAGCTCACAATTACTATGGAATAAGTCAGATAAAAACTATCTCGAAGAGTCCCTTGCACTAAACTCGACTTATCAGTTTCATTGTACTTGACTCGGATGTCTTGAAGCTACTTTCCAAATATCAGTTGCTGGTAGTGAATTCTGTACAGTAATTTGCAAGCAGCTATCCTGGAATTTTTGGGACAGGCTCCCTTGAAGCTACATGAAAACGGCCGTGAGAACATTTTATCGGTTACCCCGTATTTTTAATCCTATTTATGATAGTAAACATTGTTTCAGCCTCTTTGGGTGTTCATTTAGACCCGGTGACACTGCGAAAAAGCTTCTCTCTCGAGTGCTTCTGTTGTTTTTTGGTTGTGTCGCTATGCCATTTTAAATAAATTCTTATGAATTCTGAAAGCATTTTTAGTTGCTGTCGCACTGTTCGATTGTAGGCACGATCCTGGTTACGGATGGACCACCTTTTTGTGCAGCGCCGTTTCATGAATTGGTGTTTAGCTCGTCTGCCGCTCAGTTTTGTGGCACAAGAACAAATGTGGTATTAAATTTCGTTTTCAGTTATTTACTCTTTTCCCTTCTTTTCGAGCTGTGTAGGATTCGAACAGTATGATTTTTAAAACCTTGTGGGATGCCGGAGTAAATAACAATTGAAATCGATGAAGCTTTCGCATGAAAATATGTTGTGTACTCCTGAAAAGTATTACTTATAGTATATAATTTGTGAGTAAATAGCGTGTTATAAGCCAAAAACTATTTTTCTTAAGTAATCAGAAGTAGATTTAGTTTACGATTAATATTTATTAAAGCTATGTAGGAGGACCTCCATAGTTTCAGGCATTCCATAGAAACATTATATTTCAATCCCGACTAAATATTGAGACTATTTTACTTCGGAATATAATCTCAGCTCGCATAATTTTACAACTTCGGTTCTAATCCATTGTGTAGATCAACGTGGATAGTTACTGAAACGACGATTACGAAAGGTCACGAAGATGCACGCGATTCGGCTGTGCTTCCTCTATGAAAACGATTACATATAAACATTCAAATGAAATTTTGTCTATGCTCCGCTTTTGCTGCGTTATGTACGATTCATAACTCCCGCAAAACTTTGAAAAATTTTTAATTTATAAATTATGAAAGTGTAAACTCTTGACGCCGTGTTTTACTTGCCCATCAGGAGTTTCCACTTCGGTTTCCGAATTCCCTAGGAAGCATCGCTTTGTATTTTTTCTCCGAGATAATTCATTCGGTCATGCTTGAAGCTGTCATCATAAGCTACAGTTACATTTGTGTAATTTATGACGATAATTCAACTTTTATTTATTAGTGGTGGAAATTTAATAGCTTGTTTGATCTTAAAATTTAATAGCCTGTTTGATCAATCACAAGCGCTCGATTTCCCGCGTAATATGGTATCTGCTTTCCAGTATGTCAAGGCAATCAAAATAATTTACTACCTTAATATTTCTTCAGTGGATGTTACTTGTAAATTTTGTTTTTCTTGTACAATCTTCCGTTATTTATCGTTATTTTCATGTAAGTAATACATTTGGTTTGAGCGCATTTAAGATGCACGTAAAATTACAGCTTTAAGGCTACGTTTCGGTTCGGACATTCATCCGGCCAGAGTTCCTGCTTCTTTGGAACTAACAATATCTCCCAACACGACAGAATTCCATAAATTCTTTGCCCCTGAGATCATAGCAGCCTTCTGGCCGTAATGAATTAAAACTTTTCTATTTTAATTCAATCGTGAATTGTTCTGCTATTCGGGCTTCTTATTGACAAATGAAATTGAAAAAAGTGACCTGTAGAAAAGATATATTTCTTTAGATCTCTTAACTTGCAAGTTAACCAAAGGTTAATTGATTCAGTTGAGTTCTCTACCGCACACGCGGCTCTGCATTTGATGTAATGACTAATGAGAGGGGTGGTAATGATGAAATTGAATGTGATAGAAGTCGCTAGAGCCATCATTCTCCTCTCGAGTGACGCTGGGCCATCAGTCTCGTATCGTGTGATGCTGGGCCATTAGTCTGGTCTTCGCCGTGATTCACTCTTTTTTTTTACCATGAATCACTCTCAATGAGTTGCACTTTAACTCATTTAACGTCGGAACAACTATGCACTTTACAGTTTCGGAGGTGAGAGGCCTAGTGCTGCCTTCGTTGACGTCTGTAGGCCATTTGAGAAGATTGAAGAACAAGCTGTCTCCTGTCGGTCGTATATCTGAGTGGTGGACCCCTTTTTGCGAGCTCATCGATGAAGGACTGTGTTAATGGCGGGTATGTCGCAATGTTCGTGCATTGTTTGTACGAACACTAAAAGTATTAGGATTACCAACCTTGTGGAATATTGCCGTTTTTAGCACGAAATAAAAGCGACTTTAACGCTTTTCAGTGGTCGGAAGGTTACTTAATAAATGATCAGTCAGGGTACAAGTTAAGGTAAGTACTCATAGACGCCGCACATTGAAGAGTTTCCAGTCACAGTGGCTTATTCGAAAATTAAGGATCAACCCTCAGGGCAGAAGCTCTAATGATTCTAGCAAACAGACAGGTAGGATTAAAAGAATCCATCAGTTTTCACCCTGTATCGTACCTATATATTTTTCGTTTGCTATTAAACTTATGTGTAACGTGCCCTCGAAGTTTGTTTGAACCATACGACACGATAACTGCATCGTAGAATAACAATAAAAATAATAAAGATAAGTGGCAATGATGCCGGACAACTGACAAGTATCAATTATCGAGACCGAACCGAAGTGCCGTTACATGTATTTAACGATGATTAGTAAAGGGCGCTCATTCATGCAACTAGTTCAATTTGTTAGAGGAAAGTTAGAAATGGCTGATTTGGAAGGTAACATCGCCATAGCAGTCACGTTTAATCTCGATCCAATTTTTTGGATAGCCTGATTGGAGTGCATTAGCTTTACAGTTTACATGTTTAGAGGACTAAACATAATCGAACTTCGCAGGAATAAGATGATAGTATTTTCCAGTATATTTATCCTGAACATGCAGTCAAGCATGTACAAAAATTACTGTTTTTCGCAACACAGAGCAGCGATCCCTCAATTAGTCAATACCGGCGTCCGGAATCATACATACCACACAAAAATGTTCCAGCAAGCCGCAACTCATGCTCACCCACGAGATCGGTCGCAACCTTTTCTTTGGGTCATCGGTGTTTGTGTGCTAAGTGCAAACTGCAAAGTGCACCTAATAACTTAACCCAAATTCTATAATCGAGCACTAGACTCTGCATGATTGAAAACGTGTTGTAATTGAGCATTGTGGCGCACTGTATTTCAAAGGTACTGACTAAAACCCGGACCCGGACCGGTCCGCCGGACCCGGACCGAGTGACTTTGCGGTACTGACTAAAACCCGGACCCGGACCGGTCCGCCGGACCCGGACCGAGTGACTAAAACCCGGACCCGGACCGGTCCGGCGGACCAGTTTCAAAAAAATAAATGGCTGCAAATCATCTGAAAAGTCGAGAAAACTTTTAATTTCACATATAAAATTTTTATATTTACTTAGAAAAATTTCATCGCACCAACATATTCGGGTCACAGAAAAGTTCATTTCTCGATCGAACTAATCGATAGAGAATCTTCTGAAACGTCCAGAAAACATAAAAAGTTGGTATCGAATTTTCGAAAATTTACTTAGAAAAATTTCACTTCAGGTCCGGGGAG